TCAAGAACCTGCTCAGAAGTCTTAGAAAATAAATAATACAGTTCTATAAAACGCCTACCATTACAACCAATGATCCTGATGAATCAGGAAGACGGAGACAGAATTAACTATTAATCAAAAAGTACTACAAGAACCGGCATTAGCTCTTTTTTAAGTATATATTTAATAATCTGTAGTAATCTACTACCCAGTACCTGATATCTTTTATAATTACCCGGGATATAATTTTTTATTTCTTCAGAAGAGATGTGTTCTTGAATCTGATAAATAGATAAAATATAAGTATAACTGAGACAGATCAGATACTATCTTTCTTATTTAATACTAAAATTTTGAGTAATATTAACTCTTCCTCTGTTAAGCTTTTTCCGCATCCATCAGGTACCCCAGATTATGATTATATATTAGAAGTTGAGTATAAACTACCCCTGGTATCTATAGCAGATAATAAATACAAGATATCTCAAGCTGCAGGCGCTGAAATTATTATAATTAAGAATAGATATAAGATATCTTAAGATACGGGTGCTGGAGCTCCCACAGTCAAGAACAGACATGAGGTATATCAGAATACGGGCGCTGATATTATTATAAAAGAGACTGAACTAACTGCTTCTTTTACTATAGGCTTTGAGATTAAACCAGCTCTATTAAAAAGACTAAATTATATTATTTTATATCAGGATATCCGAGCCATTCTGCATCAGTGGTATTATTTAATTAATATATATCTAATCATTCTTTTTCTCTTTGAATCATGCATGTATTACAAGTTCTGTATTTCAGATAATTATACTCTCTGTAGAATATTATTAGATCTTTCCAGAGAGCACTATTTCCTTGTTATAAAATATAACAGTGAAATGCAGAATCTAATAAATATTTATAAAGAGACCTTGAAAGCACGGCTTATTTTTATTAAAAGAAAGAATCACCCTATAAATAAAAAATACAGTATAACTAATTCTTGAATCACAGTTGATAGTCTTCGAAGATATACATCTAATTATGATATCAGAACGGGAAAGAGAAAACGCCAGCAATAAAAGAGTATAGAAAAAGTAAAATCTAAATAGATTATAATAATTTAAAGAGAATTTTATTATCTGAGTAGATTACTCTAGTCTATTAAGACTATATAAGTCTAGAATAGCAGCCCAGTCTTTCTAGTTTATAAAAGTCTAAACAGATTTCAATAATTTAAAGAGACTGATCTAGCTGAGAAAGATTCTAGTTTTCTGGAGGAATCATAGTAATCTAGTAAGATTTAAGTAATTTAAGAAAATAATACAGTCTTCTTAAACTGTAAAAATCAAGGTAGATCTAAGTCAGCTACTGAGATTATATTAATCTGGAAAGATAGTCTAGTCTCTTTAGACCATGAAATTCTAGATAGATTTCATCTATCCAAGTAGACTGTTAAGGTCTGAAAAGACAATAAATCTACAGAGATTCTAGTTATCTGATAGAATTATAATAGTCAGTTAAAACTTTACTAGTCTGGAAAGCTGATCTAGTCTTTCTAAATCATGATAATCTATATAGATTCAAGTTATCTGAATAATATGCCTTAGTTTACTAAGATAACCAGGCCATGCGGATTATGGTAGACTACTGAGACTCTACTAATCTGGAAAGCTGATCTAGTCTTTCTAGATTATGATAGTCTATGTAGATTCAAGTTATTATCTGAACAATATAACTTAGTCTATTTAGACTACCAACAGATAAGATTATTACTGGGATTATATATAAAGTTTCTATGCTTGTTCTCATTGCATCAATTCGAGAGTGTACTAGCCATCGGATAAATCTTAACTAGATATTTGAACGGTCTTATCTTTGGATATAATAAAAAGAACCGTAGTACAGACAGCCTTCACCAGGGCCCCTGTAGCTTAGTCCAGAATTTTAATTAATCCTTTTATGTATACCTTGCGCCCCTCCACTCTTACAGGCCAGGTACTGATCCTCAGCAGAGCCTGAGGATTAACTAACCGGAGATAAAAATAATTAAATTAGCTGTAAAAACTTCTGCACAGCAATCCGCGAAAATTTGGTCTAAGTAGAATATCTGTATTCCTCCATACAGCTTTCCTGGATAATAGCAGATCTGTTATTAAAATCTCAGTATTATCGTATAATCAGCTGCTTTGCTCATGGGAACAGCTTGAATACTCGGATTATAACCTTCTATTAATACTGTTTTTAATACGGGTCCTGATATAGGGGTGGACAATGTCTATTACCTGTTAATAAATATTTATATAAATTTAGATAAATCTACAAACATACCTTGATAGCACATTTGCGATAATTTCTCACTAGCTTTTGTGTTCACAAAGGACACCATTATCCTATTTTCACGTGTAATTACATATTATCTGGTTATAGATTTATGAGAAAACCTTCGTTCTGCTGAGTATATAGTTAAAAGAAGTATCGTGAGCGTTTAAATTTACTTTATATAATATATTCTTAATATAGCAGAGGAACTGCCCCAGTTGCATAAATAACACAAATATATTCACTCTTATTTAAATATAAGTGGGTCCGCTAGTCGCTTCCTCTACAGTAAAAGTTAAATTTATTAATGTATCCTGGACTAGCGCTATTATCTATGCTAATTAGTATGACGATTACCTAACACAGACTCTGCGAGCCGATTCCTGATGTGTATAAAGATAAATCTCTAGATCTGAAACTTCTATCTAGTAGAGACATCATTCTTTGGAATCTATCATGGTCCATTTTTCAGTGGGGTTTGCCACTCCTCTTAAAGCACGCAGCTTTGCAATACAGGGGCAGGCTAAGTTAGAGAAAGTAAGTTAGAAGATACCTCACAAGGCAGTAGTATCCTTGGAGAGATACTGGACTTTGCAGCGGCTGATCCCAAGCACTGGCCATAATAAGCCTTGATGAGATACCAAGTTTGTCAGGAAAGTAATAGAATACGGAGTATAGAGAAGAAAATAGTAGTCTCTATTTTCCTCAGCCTATAAATTATTATTAATAATAATATCAAAAACAATAATAGCCCTATAAGATAAGACCAGAAGAAAGCAACAATCTTGAAATAGTCAACTTATATAAAGTAGTCTTGTTTTTAATAAATTATTATTTATTTTCACCAATTCTACTCAACAATTTAGCTACCGGGTCAATTCTCTGGCGGAAAGAGATGGCTAGAACGATGAAAAAAAATAAAGAAAAGATAAATAAGAAATCAGAAATATAAAAGAATATACTTAGCTATAGACAATGATAGAGATAGAAAACAATAAATTAAATAATTATACTGGAAGAATCCTATTTAATTCTTCTATACAGGCTTCTTTATTTAAAGAATAATATGATCAAGTAAGTCTCTAATATAACTAAAATCTTTGCTTAATTAATATACTATCATCTTATATCCGGTAGACTCAAATATCCGAGCGGACATAGAATCGCAGTCGAAAATATAATAAGATCCAAATCTAAGACTTTTTTAAAGTATTTTAATTCTTTTTTTTCATAAGTATAGCTTTTGTTACTTCTCAGTCAGTATTATTCAGATTACCTGCATGGTATAAATAAGCTAATGGAATACTGTTCTTATAATCCCTAGTATTTATAGTTGCTTCATAGTCTAATAATATTTTTATAGCAGCCAGTGAACTGTACTCAGCAGTCCAGGAAAGAGATATCCGACTGTACATATCTTGTGAATTAATATTTGGCTTCTTTTAGAAAAGATAAAGAAGTAGGTCGGTATATCTCTCCATGGCAGTATAATAAAGAAGGGATCTTCTGAAGATATCTTATCTTTCTAGTATTTATAGTAATTTAAGTAATGTACGTGCCTTCTCAAGGAATTCTAAAAGATTATTATTCTATTTTATCATCTGAAGATTCCTCAGCCGGTTAAATTCAAGATTAATACGCTTTGAGAAAGTTAGAAGGCGGCGAGTGAGACAGCTGCAAGAAGCAACAAGTCAATCAGTTATTGTGAAGCAAGTAATAGAAGAGGAGAGCGATGGTCCATACTGTATATTGTCCCGGCCAGACAGACATCATGGGTCTTCAAACCTGGCTTTACGGGTTCGTCGCCAGCTGTTGTGAATAACGACCCAGTCTCGCCAATCCCGGCATTTGCACACACAATATCAATGCGGCCTTGTTTGGTGTAGATATCCCTAAACACCTGTGCCTGAATTTCCCAAGAAGCCACATCGCAAAGATGGAAACTGAATGTGAGGTGGGGGAACTCGGCCTCCAGTGATTTCAGAGCTGAATTTGCTGTGTTCGAATCAATACCGAGTAGCGCAATGTGGGCGACATTCTGTTCACTGTGCGCCAGGTACTTCACAATTGCTAAGCCGATTCCAGCTGCGCCACCTTTCTGCAAATGAGAAAGATGTTCTATGAGAAACATGGAGTTGAGCTTACCTGTCACTATTGCAGTTCTGGACGGCATGTCATCAGGCTCGTCAGCTGGCGAATGAAAAAGCAGAGGTGAGATAAAGGAAGGTCAAAGGGCGGTCGCGAAGATGAAGTCGACAAATTTATTTGAACACACGCCCGTGTCAAGGTGTCTTGTATAGTAGCTTGTTTGATGGGTAGAGGCTATCCAGATCCAACCCTAGACGGAAAAGGAGCCGCAATAGTGTGAAGCAAGAATCGATCAATCGGAGTACGCGGCCCACGGCAGCTCCTCAGCCGCGGCTTAAGGCGAATTGAGAACCCAGGGATGCCGATTGGCCCACTATTGCTCATTGGAGACTATCTAACAATAATTCGTGACAAACAAATGATCGCTCCGCCTCTTCTTTCCAAAAAAAGATTAATAGAACTTTAGGGTCCAGCGTCGAGCTGCCATACACCCTCCGCCCCCCCCCCATCCCTCCACTCCAAACGAATCAGGAGGCTTAGCTTTATCCAAAATTATAACAGTGTGAATACTCCTGCTTGACTCTCACCTTCTACATATCCTCCAATTCCATACATTCGAGTGCGAGATGATGAAGACTTTTGATACTGAAATTATTTACAAGCCCCTAAGCCCTCCCAAAACAGGGGTTGGCTACCAAGGCTTCAGTCCTCGTACAGAGGTCTTGCCGAAGGGTTGGAGCAAGGAAGGAAAGCGCGCCTTGACGTGTGATATTCTGATTGAGCATGACGTGGGGTACAAGGTCCGGGATGGAACCACACTGTACGCCGACATTCTTCGTCCCCCTACCGGTATGGTGCCCGCTATCGTCTGCTGGAGTCCTTTCGGGAAGAAATTTAATGGCTCAGACGCGCTGAACCTGATGGCTCCATACAATTTGGGCCTGTCAGATGACGCACTTAGTGGGCTGGAGAAGTTCGAGGCTCCGGATCCTGCGTTCTGGGTCGACAAGGGATACGCAATCGTAAACGTCGACAACAGAGGAAGTTTTGACTCTGAGGGCTCGTGTGCCGTGCTCGGCCGTCAGGAAGGCGAAGATGGGCATGATGTGATTGAATCCATTGCGAAAGAGCCTTGGTGCACAGGAAGCGTTGGGATGGCAGGCAATTCTCACCTTGCGCAAAGCCAGTGGTTCATCGCGGCGCAGCGGCCACCGTCACTCAAGGCTATTGCGCCGTGGGAAGGCTGCGCTGATATGTACCGCGAGACTTTCGTCCGCGGCGGGATTTACTGTGGCGATCTCTTCGATGATTTGATCTCCAAATATGTCATTCATGGCCGCGAAATTGAAAGCATCCGGGGTATGTTTGACAAATATCCACTCGCCAACGATTACTGGAACGACAAACGGGCCGATATCGAGAGGATTAATGTACCGACTTACATCACCGGTACTTGGTCGAACACTATGCATGGCATGGGCGCAATTCGAGGGTGGCTCAAAGTTGACACTCCTCACAAATGGCTCAGGTTCCATCCCTACCAGGAATGGTATGACTTGTGGGGCTGCTCGGAGTCTAACCAAGAGCTACTCCAATTCTTCGATCGTTATCTCAAGGGAATTCAAAATAACTGGGAGAGCACACCCCGGGTTCGTATGGCGCTGCTCAGGTTCGGCCAGAAGCCATCTCTTGGGGGTACAGTGAAAGAGGACTTCCCTGTCCCTAATACGCGATATAAAAAGACATACCTTGGGTCCAAGGAGCAGTTGACCTTTGAGCCCCCAACGGACTGTCGAGCCTTGACGTACGACGCTACATCTCCGACGGAATTCTTGAAATTCGTGCACACCTTCGAAGAGACTACGCAGATCATGGGGATACCAAAGGCGGTTTTGTACATGTCATGCCAAGAACACGATGACATGGATGTCTTTGTTATCCTTCGCAAGCTATCATCAACAGGGGAGCCCATGCTGTGCCTGAACGTGCCTTGGAAAGGTTTGCCGGTTAAGTCATTTGACGATATTCCCGAAAAGCTACGTACGGAAGTCATTCTGTACAAGGGACCAACTGGAATCCTCCGCGCCTCTCACCGCGCAATAAACCATGATAAGTCAATGCACCCCAACTGGCCTTTCCACCCCCATGACCGAGAAGAGCGCATCCCGCCCGGACAAATTGTCAAGCTTGAAATTGGGATCTGGGCAACAGGTATACATTTCGAGGCTGGGGAAAGTATACAGTTTGAAGTTGCAGGGCATTTTCGTGGTGTATCAAATTTTGGCAAGCAGGAACATGTCAAGAACAAAGGCCAGCATATTGTTCACATTGGCGGCGAGTGCAACAGTCATGTAATCATTCCCTTTTGTTAGGTGGACAGAAAGGTGGTAGGATTGATCTAGTGAATCCAATTAGTAGTTTATGTTTCACTTGTTTTTGGTCACATGTCCTCTGCTTGCTTGATTTGCCCGCCCATTGTGGACAGACCTCCACCATTTCTACCAGAGTAGCAGACTATGTCGGGACTAATTTACGGGTTCTTTACCTACCTGAAATCCGTGATCAAACTTGGTCCAATTGAATAAAATGTGGCATACGTATCCAGCCGGTACTCATCAACCCAGGGAGCCTCTGGTTTACAATGGATTATCCCTTTGGGAGATAGAAACCCCCTAATCCGACAGCCTTAGTTGATAGATTTCCGTGCGTGGAAACTTAGGTATTGATTCAACTATTACTTCTACGTACTGTTCTGTGCCATCGCTCTTTTTCCGATTCAGAGGCCTAAGCGCATCTTGTCGTCACGCGCCTGGGCAAAGACTTGCACCACACCCGGGCCGGCTTGAAGTAACCCGGACTACCCGATTGGGCCCCTGGAATAGGACTTTGGAAGTGAAGGTTATCGGCTAGAGATGTAAATGGGAAAAGAGTGTGGCTAATCGTATATGAGGATGACATACTGGATTTCGATGATAAAACAAAGATAGCTTTGAACCGGATTTAGGTAGTTGACTTGCACGAGCTTCTGCATTTACTATTACATCCGCATTCTCAACTCATCATCCTCGTACTTGAAATGGCGCCCTACATTGGAGGTAATGCCAATGCCTCGCATGAAGCGGTCAAACACGACGACTGGCGCGACGAATTCGCCACAAAAGGCTATGTGGTACTCAAGAATGTGGTGCCTCCTGACCGGGCGCTTTACTACCGCCAAAAGATGCTGGATTGGCTGGGTTCCTTTGCCAACGGCTTTGACATTAACGATCAAATCTCCTGGACCGAAGAGAATCTGCCATGGAGCTTTAAGAATGGCATGTACCTCAACTTCTGTGCCGCGCATGAGAAGTACGTGTGGGAAGCGAGGCAGGAGCCGGGGGTCTTGGATGCCTTTTCTAAGATCTGGGGTACTGAGGAGTTGATCTCATCATACGATACAATCAACATTACTCTCCCCAATGCCGCAGAGATGGGTGGCACAAAGCCGTGGCCACACGTTGATCAGGCTCCCGAAAGGAACGGGATGCACTGCGTGCAGGGCTTCATTAATCGTGAGTAATTAGAAGATAGAGCAAGAGCACTGATATACTAACTCGTGCGCCTTGTCGCAGTGTCTGAGGCTGGTCCAAAGGACGGTGGCTTAGTGGTTATGGAAGGGAGTGCACCATTGTTTGAGAAGTTCTTCAAACAATTTCCGCCCGACAGAACAAAGGGTCCGCTCGCCGCTCTCCATTATGACTTCTACCCCTTTCAGAATGAAGATCTCAAGTGGTATGAAGACCATGGGTGCAAGGTTGTCAAGGTCTGCGCTGAGCCTGGCGACCTGGTCTTGTGGGACTCTCGCCAGATGCACTACGCCGTCTATCCCGAGACCGACATTATCCGCACCGTCATTTACACATGCTTTACTCCCGCTGCGTGGATTTCCACAGAGGATCGGGAGAAAAAGAAGGAAATCTTCCATAAATGGGAGGCGACTACCCATTGGCCGCATATCAACATACATTCACATGGGAAGCATATGATTGACGGGAAACTAGATCCGTTGGAGAGAACAGAACCATTGGAGAAGCCTGAATTGACCGAGAAGCTGAAGAGACTTGCTGGATTGGAGCCGTATTAGCATGCTGGGGAGGACCTTTCGTATGATCTGCTTTGTACGTAGTGATCGGACTTTATCCTGTGATGAGGAAGAATGTAGTAAATAGCCTGACGCAAAGCACTGAAATCCTTTGTTTATTCCACCTAAGCTTGACTCCCACTAACACTTAAAAAACGGACAGTCCTGCATGTACAGTACCCGGCAAGTAAGAAACGTCATGTAGCGAAAACTTCGGCATACAAGCCCTCTAAACCGATCGAGGGAGCGCAGACCAAGGTGGCGACATAAGCCGGTGCTTGTGACCCAACGAGCCCTGCGCCAAGTATCACTTTCTCCTCCACCCCGGAATGTGCGGAGTGTTGGTTTGGCAGTCCTGAACATCTCTGGCCCGGATAATACGGGCTCCCCGCAGCATCCTGGATGCACATGCTAACTTGATTACCCTGGCGGTTATATCTGCGCATATCTCCACAGACTGTAAGTCGACCATCAATTTACCACGAGTATTTACAAACTTCTATTGCTGCGACCAAATACGAGCAATGGATATGAAGGCTTCTGAAGTGCATACGGATGATCTCGGGTTTTATAAAGAAGTTCAGGATCGGGTGGTCGGTGGTGCTAAACTCATTGACGGCTCAGACATAGTCCTTGTGCCCACCCCAACGAATGACCCCAACGGCAAGACTTGATGATAGGCGCATTCATATTTGCTCGTATCTAACATTGTCATCATAGATCCTTTGAATTTGCCGACATGGCACAAGTGCGTAATTCTATTCATCGTCGGCATTTTTGCAGCCACAGGCAACCTCATGACGAGTGGTATGAGTGCATTCCTACCAGCGGTTAAGGCATCCTACAATGGCGACTCGAAGACCAGCGACTTGGTCACTTGGCCGGCATTCTTTATGGGGGTCGGCAATCTCATCGCAATACCGCTCTCTTACGCAATAGGGCGAAGACCTATATATCTCTTTTCCTCGATTCTTCTATCTTTTGGTTGTTTGTGGTGTGCCAAGAGTCGAACGCTGGCATCGCATATCGCAGGTCGAGATATTATGTCCATTGCCGCCGGTACATGCGAAGCACTTTGCCCAATCATAGTGCAAGAGATTTTCTTTCTCCACGAACGTGGGAGAGTTATTGCAGCATACAGTGCTCTGCAAACCGTCGGGACCGCGGCGTTGATCGTGGCGAGCCCGTACATCGCTTCTGCTTCCCACCTTGGGTGGAGGTGGTGGTATGGCATCTTCGGGTGCGTTGGTGCAGTCATCGCTGTCCTCAGCATCATTTTCGTCAAGGAGACCAAGTACGAACGGTCAAATGCAGCCTTGAAAGGTGAGGGCATTGAATGTGACGGTTCGCTTGTTCGTGTGACGACAAGCACGAAGCGTGTCCTCGATGTCATCAACCAACCCCCACGTGGCTTCATGCGAGACATGGCACCGTGGTCGGGCAACCCTCAATGGTGGCTCACTGTTAGATGCTTGAAACAGATGTGCCAGGTCATCGTCTTCCCGAATGTCTTCTGGTTGATCTTGCTGTAAGTTGCGCGGCAACTGTACTGTGATGGAGGTCGCGTTGCTCACGGCGTATAGAAACTCGGCTAGCCTTGGAATATATGTTCTCATGTCGGCGCTATTTGCTGAAATCCTTGTTAAACCTCCCTTTTCATGGGGCTTCGACTTACTTGGGTATGTGTTCATGGGTCAGATAGCGACCGCGGTGGCTGTGCCAGTCCTGTGCGGTTACTTCAGCGATCAGACAACCCGATTGTTAAGTACAAGAAATAACGGAATTAGTGAGGTAAGGGTCAAATCGCTGACTATCCACGTCGCTGTATTGACAGCCAGTAGCCAGAGCATCGCCTTCTCGCACTTATCCTTCCCACTATCGCAATTTTGATCTCCACCGTCATTTATGACAAGACCGCCGAACAGCCTCAAAATTGGAGCTGGGCTGGTATTGCAGTCACTATCAACTTCGAGTACTTTGGCTTTGTGGGAATAGTGGTTTCCTCCTTTGTCTACTGCATGGACGCGTACGTAAGTTGCTGTATATCATGAAGCGATCCTTGTTAATGGCCACGGCAGATATCCACAACGCGTGGACGCGGCTCTTGTTCTGATCTGCTCTTGCCGCGGTTTTATTGGCTTTGGTATTTCCTACGGGGCCATTTCCTTCGTAAACATGGCCGGTTACGAAGGCGCTTTCAACATCTGCGCGGGTATTATGGGTGCGCTGATGTTTATCGGCATTCTCGTCTATTTTTTTGGCGCACGCATTCGCAGAGCCACTCAAAGGTTTGCGGAAGATCAATGAGCCATGGGCAAAGCATATGCTAAGTACATGAAACAGGGTGGTGTGCTGGCCATCCTCAAATAGTGTACATTAGGATTGTGTAACTGAGTGGTCGCGCATGGCTGAGCCAGAAAAGAGAGGCTAGCTTGAGAATGTGGATAACTACTAGCTGTCTGTGACTAAGGGACGAGAGTGGCTTGGAAGGATCTCATCCTTAAGTTGACGAAATATCCCACAGGAGGCGACCAGTAAACTACGGAGTGTGTTAGTTAAGAGTAGGAAGTATTGAGATCGTGTTGGATGCCTTTCTTTGCTATTGTATCTGTCTTGCCAGGATGACTGGTCATACATATATAGTTTCGACTAGCCGAAAAGAGGGATGCAGAACAGTCACTCTTTCCGGGCGCAAATAGGGGTAACGATCTGCCACCGAAACGTCGTCAGAATGCCAGCATGCCAACTTTACTCCTCGCTGGGCTTCGATGAAGGAGTTAGGTCGATTTAACATTTTGGCAAAAGGCAGACGCTAAGTAACTTGCAAATTGGATCGCAAAGTCCAGTATATTACCCTCATTATACTCCGTGTCCTGGGATCCTACGTATTGTGACCCTCATAATGCCCAACGAAACCCGAAATATCAGCGAGTTTCCATGGACCAGGAGGATCAACTGACCTTTCACAAGAATGTTAATCGTGATATAGCCTATAGAAAGCTAAGAGTCTTTTTCAAGAACAAAAAATTCATTCAAACTGAGGTTGCCAATGCTGCGGGTTAATTTACTAAATCAATATATTCCTGAACTGAATATTGAGGATACTACTGAACAGAATTACAAAAACATAATCCCACTTATAATCAGCTTTATGACTTAGTCGTCTCGGGATCTATTAGATGTTGTTCCAATACCAAGAACCAATATTCATAAATCAGATTCTTTCTCTATATTAAAATCTTTATTCACATTGGAATGATCAAATAACATCGGCTCGAATAGATATTTATTGAAAGTTTGAGATGGCTGAGTCCTAGGCTATGATCTTGCCATTCACTAACTAGTTGTCCTCTATTATATTGTTAAACGTGAATCAGCTATTTCTACGTGAGAGTCCAGGCCGTCTAGCTCACAAGCTACTGCATTGTCCGCTCGCGGGCCTTTAAAGGATTTTCTAGTAGTCAGTCAGCCAGCCATCTACTAACCTCCCGGGGTTTGTCTCGAGTGCGGCTGAGCGAAAGGAAACCCTATTTTCCAAATCTGGACCATGATGGAATTGCTATAGAGAATAAGTTCGCAAGGGTCACCTATGGTTATCGAAAACACATAATCCCCTATCAGGGAGTGTTACAGACTGTGTTCGTATGTACTAGAGGGCCTGATCTGCAAGCCAACCTTCCTATAAATCTCATCAATGGCTAGCATCTGGGCAATGCTTTCCTCTGCATCGACCCAAACTCCTGATCCCTCGCGTCCCTTCACACGGTTGACAAACTCCTCTAACTGGCAACGCCATGTCGTCCACCAATTTTCATAAAGTCCTGTATCTTTCTCGCTATCAGTCCACTCATAAGCCTTCACAAATCTAGTTTCCTTCCACTGCTTTATATCTTTCCCTTCGCTCACTATTCTGTGATTCTCAGAAATGTCGATCCGATGCCAGACTACAGGCAGAAGGTAGTTCCAGATCGTCACTGTCCTCCGCATCCGGTGCTCAGCCCCTTTGAACTCGGACAGAGCGTCAAGAGGAACTTCTTCCATAACAGCCTGACACATGGGAATAGTAACGTGCGGAATGTTGAACCTCCAGGATTGTGGTAGACAAGAGGGCCACTCGCACGTGCTGGCTATATCTGCGGTTATAGTTGCGACTTTTCCGGAGCTTGTAGAGAGCGAGGCGGTGATAGAGTTATCAATCTGACACGTAGATAGTTCATCGCGGAAGGGTTTTGTCCTCAAAGTCTGATGTGTAGCATGTACCACTTGAACTGGCTCACGGTCCAGAACCTGTCGCACGGCGGACAGTGCATACGTGCCCACGTCCATAAGGCAGCCGCCGCCCAGGCCAAAGTCAAATCGGATATCTTCAGGTGCTAGTGCACCGAAAGGAATAGTCTGCCGGCTGTCGACTGCCTCCACCGAGCCAGCCTGACGGACTTCATTGAGGAATGTCTGCCAAGCAGGGTGGAACTGATAGTGAAAAGCTTCCAAAAGGACAGGAGCATGTGGTCCAGCCGCTAGGGGATGTCGGAATAGCTTCTCTGCATCGGCTGCGTTGGACGTTGCCGGCTTCTCCAAGAGAACATGTTTGCCTGCATGCAGAGATCGGAGGCCCCACTCATAATGCAGGCTATTGGGTAAGGCAATGTAGACAGCATCGATTGACTTGTCGTCTAGCAAATCTGTTGTATGATTCAGGAGTTTGTCCTAGAAACATTATAGATTTACTGACCTTCATAAGTGTCATGTACTATCGGTATAGCATGCTTTTGGGCATATTTCACAGCATGTCCGCGATCGCGGGCTGCAACTGCAGCCACAATTGCTTCGGGGTGTGATTTCGCTGGTCCTATCAGAGCAAGGGGACTAAACAGTAGACATGAGGATTAGGATGTTGAGAAAGGATGATAGTAGGACTCACGCAATAGTTGAGGCACCAAGTAGCCCAAATCGAACGGGATCACCCTTCGTTCCCCGATCTGGCGGGTTGATGATCGCTCTGTAAGACCGCTGGAGGAAGCTGAGGAGTGACATCCTGCAGGTCCGCAACGGTAACAGTCCTTGGCATCTACCCTTTTAACGAGCTGTTCAATTATAACTGTCCTAGGTAAAATGGCATGACCAATTTGGAGGCCACTGCTACCTAGGAATAAGAGACACAGGAGAAGCCGGATGGCTAACCGAGGATTCTTTCCGACCCGAGAGTCAGCCGGGTCCGGACATGACATTGTATCTTGTAAAATCCAGCTCTAGTATATCCATCGACTTACTGTTCTCCTCTTTCCCCACCAGTACTCATTTCTCCCGGCATGTGCTTAAGCCTTCCAGAAGCCGGTTCAGCTCGTCCCGGGTTGCGGGGGTTGTCGATGGATCTAAACCTTCAGCTACTCATTTAGCCTGCTTCATGTTCGGTGAAGAGTCTGGTCAGCCGTGACCACGAAACCTATGGTGGTCCTCCTTTTCCCATTCGTCGTGTTTTCTGTTAGTTGGGAGCTAATGCATCCTATGTTTCAAACATTCAAGACGATGTAAAGCCATATATCCCGCCATAGACCACCGGGGCGAGCTTTGTCCAGGGAAGACTGTCTGCAACACTGTACTCCTTTACACTAGACTGCCAAGATACAGCGAGGGACAACGTCTGGTATACTGTCATATCAACCAGCCATACTTGCCTGGAGAAAAGTGTTGCGGAATCAGAGGACTTTTCTCAGGTTTCGTCAAAGTTGTGCAGTCATTGGAAGGAGGAATTCCAAAGATACGGCTGTGCAGTGATCAAAAGTGTTATCAGTCCAAGCCGAGCCGACTACTATCGTGCAAAGCAGATCGAGTGGCTTAAGAAGTTCGATCTGGGTTTTGATGAAGATGATACAGCAACCTGGACAGCTGAGCACCTTCCCTGCAGCTTCAAGGGCGGGTGAGCATGTGGTCCGTTCTCTATTTTGTTTCCCTACAATTTAACATCACGCACAGGATGTATTTCTTATACGGGGCAACGCACGAAAACTTCGTCTGGGAAGCCCGCATGGAGCAGGGAGTTATCGACGTGTTCAGCGAGCTGTGGGAGACCGATGAGCTTATCGTTGCATTTGATGGCTTCAATGTCTCGTTTCCGAACAGGACTGATATCAACTGGTCGCCATGGCCACACTGCGACCAGAGCCCAAAGCGTAAGGGGTAAGAACATCCAATGATTCTAACATTACGTACAGACAGGGCCTGACGATTCTTATTCTTGAGTAAACAGGATGCAGGCGGTTCAGGGTCTTCTCAACTTCGCTACCAATGGACCAGATGATGGTGGATTGATCCTGATGAAAGGTTCCGCGAACCTTTTCGACGAGTTTTTCGCTTCGCAGCATCAGGCCGCTGACCATGAAGATGCCCCGCCGCCAGAACTCGAATGGGAAGACCTGTTTTTATTCAAGGAAGAACATGTACGATGGTTCACAGACCGCGGCTGTGAGCTGACTAAAATCTCTTTGGATCCAGGTGACATGGTCCTTTGGGATTCGCGAACTATGCACTATGCGTGTCTTCCAAAGGGAAACAATATCAGACATGCCCAATACATCTGCATGACTCCAAAAAGCTTTGCCACGTCAGATGCCTTGGATCTACGAAAGAGGTGTTTCGAAGAATATCGTGGCACCACCCATTGGCCTCACCGGTGAGTTTAAACCACGTATCATGTCACGTTGCGACTAACCCAATAAACTATAGAAACATCCACATCACTTCAATGAAACCAATGCGGGGCGAAGTAGCCTGCCCGAAAGACCGTGACGAACCGTTTGAGAAACCAGTTATCACAGATCGAATGCTAAGATTGGTTGGTGTTAAAGACTATTGATTCTCGGTGAAAAATGGAATGGACAAGTATTCTTTGGCTAGTGTGCCGTAAACAACGTGAACAGGGTCGTTTTTCTTTCCCTTGACCAATTTATTTTCTGAATATTTATTTCGGTTTCATGCTACAGATGAAAATAATGTTCCCGCTATTACCTTCCAAACTGAGTCTGATTGCCAAACGGTGCAGTAGCCCAAGAGACCTTTGCAAGTAAAAAAAGTATATACAGTAATACAAGAAATACAAGAAGAGATAGGGCAACTTGCTTTAAGGTGTTGAATGCCGGTGTGGTGATTCCATACGGCGCCAGTACAGTACACATTTAGCGTAAAATATACAATAAGCATTGGGCATGGTTTTTAAGATCAGAACGCGCCTTGTTGAATTGGATATTTGCTTACGCAGCTTTTAGTACGGGTTATGCCATAGTCACGCGAGCTTAAGAAGGGAGTATCCGAGTACCCGTCTCTTATCCTCGGCTATGGTCTGCTCATAATTTTGTACATATTGCCACTTATCATCTTGAATGGGGAGGCGTGGGACATCATTCTCGTGGCAACATCATTGATACGCTTATGGACTCATCGGATAGGAACAGTCCAACCTAGAAGCGACTGAGCCTGTAGTCTACGCAGATCACGGTAGTTCGACTAAAGCGCAACAACCGTCCCAGGCTAGGTTGAGAGAATTCTTACAACCGACAGTTGCGGCCTTCTCGGTAATGCGGGCGAAGTTGAGGGCAACCGAACCGGGCCGGAAGTTCTCGAGGGCTACAAGCCTCCGGTTCGGTTGTGCACTGGAGGCGAGTGCCCAATGAGCTGGTCAGGACACCAAAGCCTCGCCCGGGGAGCTATACTTGAAGGCGGTGACTTCAACACCATAAGGAAAGAGAGACAGGTATATACGGAGAGGAACATTTCTGCGTGGAAACGCAAGACCAACTTTTCACAACAATTTGCTCGCGGAAATGTCCATTACAGTGGCTCTGCTTGGGGCAGGTGTTTTTGCAACTAAGGGTGAGTATGCATGTCTTGAAGATAACTATATCCTTGACACGAGAAAGTGCGAATATAACGTGCTAACAAACGCAGAGCATCTCCCAGCCCTTAGCTCATGCCCATCCTTCAATCTGAAGGCAATTTACTCGCGATCGCAAAAGTCGGCAGAAAGCCTTGCGGCTGCGGCCGGCGAGAATACCGAAGCTTACTTTGATTCGCCATCTGTTCCATCTAAATCACTTGATGATCTGTTGCAACGCAAAGATATTACTGCAGTGGTTATCGCTGTAGCTATAAATGTAGCACCTGACCTTATCAGGAAAGCACTGTCGGCGGGTAAACATATTTTAAGCGAGAAGCCGATCGCTCCGGGCGTTCAGACAGCATGCGAACTGATGAGATATCATCAGCAGCATGCGAGAGGCGTTCTATGGGGCGTGGCGGAGAATTTTCGCTTTTGGCAGTCCGTTCAGAAGGCCGCGGATATGCTCAGGAACATGGGTGGAAGCCTGGTGACGTTCTCAGTCACTGTTTATTCATTTACTGACCACAAAAATCCATTCTATCACTCTCAATGGTATGTTATGGCCAGTGGATTTGCTGCTATACTGAGCTGACTTCTCTAGGCGCCAGAAACCTACTTTCCAGGGTGGTTACATGCTGGATAGTGGTGTTCATTTTGTGGCGGTTCTACGGATGTTGCTCGCCGCGCTCGGTCGTAAGATAACAGCTGTCACCGCACACACAACATCTTTACAGGAGGATCTACCCCCCGTTGATACTATCCACGCCATCTTAAGAACTGACAATGGGCGTAGCGGTACTTATATTTCCTCCGTCGGGATCGAAGCCAAGCGTGTCATGGAGTTCGAGATTGTGACAGACAGAGGCTCCTTCACCTATCGTCCTTTCCAAATGGAAATACTGTCCAAGCAAGGCGGAGGAGGCAAGTGGGTGGAGACATCAGAGCCAGCGCCGCTTATCTGGGGAGTGAAAGAAGAGATAGCGGCGTTTGCTGAGGGTATTTCCACGGGCAATCTAGATCAAAGATTGTCGTGCTCTGAGGCTCTGGAAGACTTGAGGGTCCTGGAAGCCATGCTAAGCTCCGGCGATGCACAAGGAATGCCTGTAATTACATCCGAGGACACATCTAATCTACTTTCTTGATTTTGAGGACATAGGCTAGAGATTATTTGGTAGTAACAGGATATGGCCCCCTTGTCCGGCTGCAGATTTTCATTCCCTTAGAAGTCACATTTGAAAGCCACCAGTGCATCAGCATCTTTTTATAATTTCTCCTATCTAAATGATTTATAATTGTTTTCAGTATCTTTTGAGAATGACTCTGTCCCGATGTAGCCTGCAAAATGACCCCAAGTGCCAGGAAAGCCCGCGGGCATAATCGGGTCACGAAGGGTCTGGATATGAGAAGGAAAGAGAGTCCCCGCTCGGAAGAGATCTCAGGCGCATTTCTAATTACTGTGAATCGTGGACCTGCAACTTGAACCAGGGTCTTCCATTCTGAGACGCCCATCATTGGCAGCAGCCTCCCTGAAGAGGGGTAGAACAAGCCGAAGTGGGCCTCACTGCCGCCAAAGTCGCACGGCTTCCAAACCGTAATTGAAAGTAGTCTTATAGCGTGAAACCCCGCATAAAATTGCTCCGGCCTAACTCATCACCCGTATTGTTGTATATATAAGAGCAACTCAGAATTTGCCATGCTTACCAGCGCCGGTTCGGCACCACTTCTTAAGCGGAAGCGCTTATCATATGCTTGCAACTACTGCAGGGCCAAAAAGACCCGGTGCGATGAGCAAACCCCTAGCTGCCGAAACTGCCAGCTGGCCGGGGTACGATGTGTCACTGTTGACAAGAGACGCCCTCATATACCTATTCAGCATCGGCGCAAAGATCTCAATGGTACCGAGCAACAACCTGTTGGGTCTCCGGATGATCCTCCTGAGGCGGATACGAGCAGAGTTACGGCCCTTGCTTCTCCGGAAACGACGGCTACTAGCCACTCTCCATCCTTCGTCGCCCCTGGATGTCCACCCGCTTGCTCACAGCGCTCTGGGTCCCCGGATGTTGTCTCCGGAGGTTCTACCGAATGGTCTAACTGGGACACGAGGCATCTCCCGATTATTCCCTCACGTGGCGGATCGAATTCCGTACAAATTACCACTCAGTGGCTCGATCTCGCTCTTTCTAGGCTTCATATCTCACGCTCTAATCACGTCCGTGCTGTCCTAAGGCCGTGCTTATCCAACACACTGTATGTGCATATCCGATCGCTTCAGGAGAGCCTGCACTGCCGCCTGTTCATGAGCTCCACCGAATGACTGAGCTTTTCCTAAGCGTCTACCAACCAATATATCCGTTTCTCGACCCACGTGAAGTCTCTGTAATGACGGAAAATGCACCTGGGAGGCCACAAGGTTGCAAAAGCGCCCTTGCAGACTGCAAGGTGGCTCGCAGAATGCTTCTCTGCCTCATCACTATTCTGGGCACAATGGCTAGTCCTATAGAATCTCAACAGCATCTCTCCATATATCTAGGTTTCTGCCATACCCTTGTGGGTCACGTCATTCTGCAACCGTCCTTGGAGTCGGTGCAGGCACTTCTTCTTTTCTCGATAACTCTCCGTGTCCGCGATCAATTGTCTCCGGCATGGGACATGCTTATGATCGCTATCTCCATGGCACAGACACTGGGGCTCGGCGACCCCGATGCCTTGCGACATTCGATCCCCGAACGTGAGGCCGATAGTAGTATGGCTTCTAGACGCACATGGTGGATGCTATACGTGTTCGAAAAGTTCCTCGCTTTCGATTCAGGACGCAGATCCACTTTAGGCAATCAAAGCCTCTCATCCTTGGAGCGGGACGCTCCGGCAAAGCCACTTGAATGTGGGCAAGCTACGAAGCCTCAAGGTTACGAATGCTACCTCGCCAGTTTGGCAAATGTACTACATGAAATGCAAGATCGTTCATGGCGTACCTGGAAGAGAGAGTACCTGGATGCAAGGAGCGATTTGGATTCCCGCGAGAGCAAAATCCGTGCAACGGGCGCAATCGAATCTTTGCTGTGGAAGTGGCGAAGCAGCCTGCCTCCTGAATATCAGTATGTATTATGATGATAGAACTTCCCTTTACTCGTCCCCAATAATATGTCTCTAATATTCTCCATGTATATACGCCTTCATCTATCGGACAAGGTGGCTAACTCTCTAGGGCTGGATGTTGTAAATCCGCCGATGTGCAACTCACGCCTCAGTGGGCATTTCTCTTCTTTTACTATCATCAGGCGTGCGTCTCCATAAGTCATAGTGGATCCCATCAATCTTCTTTTGAACCCATATGACCATGATTAGTCTGACTAACGTAGACTAGGATTTTTGTATTATATCGTAATGCTCTTTTGCTAGACTGGAGCGAGGTGAAGCGAGAGGTCGATCGATTTGGATCCAAAGAACCCTGGCATCTGCGGATTCGCAATGGTCCCCAAATATATCTTGAAGCTGCTAAGGATATGACAAATTTACAAGTCGCAGTGACCGAGAGTGCGGCGCCCAGTTTCCTAGCCGTGGCCACTTCGCCACTGCCAGCAGCCTACGTCTTGCTCATTTATATCCGTTGCCAGCCAGCCTCTATCCTGAACCGAGCACATTTCGAGGTACGCTTGCTTGACAACGGGTCAGGATTCCATCATAACAAATAAATGGTTAACCTAGTTTTTAATGTAGATCATGAAAGCTGCAATGACCATCTCACGCCAGCGATATTCGTCGAAGTGCACTGACAGCCAACTGGGTAAATGTCTTGATGTGTTAGAAAATTATGCCTCACGGCACCTCTCAGGCATGGCCGATCAATTTTCAGAGGAGTCAAGTTCGGAACCCACAGTGGATGATCTGACCACAATGTCACTCTCGAATGGGGAGCTATTGTCGATGTCACTAGAATCGTCATCGCTCTCATGGGGATCCCTTGAGTCTTTAAGCTGGGACTGGAACGAATTCGTTTCATAGACATGGAATCTTACCACAAGGGTATCAGATCAATATACGGGGGGAACAACCTTTTTAGTGGGTAGTAACCAAGCATATTAGAATTTTCCTATGCAAGACATCCTTGCAGCGCACTGTAGGCACTTTGGGGGCTTGTCATTCAAACGTTTGAGTCTGGAATTCTCATATAGACCCTAATCCTGGCCACTGTTAAAGTAACGGCCTAGTGGTAGTATTTGGCTTGCTATTTATTGGCTTCTAGTTCTCCCCGGCATTCGTCCCAAGTGGGCATGCCTCTGTCCACCCGAAGAACAGGGGTTCAGCTTGCGAAGAGCCGGCTCGGTTCGGTTCGAGTAGTACACTCGAAGACTAACAGCATTGGAGTCTTCCGGAACAGTCCCTTAACTACCGAAGTACTGGTCTTCGGTGATAATTGTCCCGGGCTGAGGGTGATGAGTTCCAGGAAAGTAACTTGTGATCTGGTCAAATCATATATAATCTCATCCATAATGTAGAGATGCGCGCAACGCAGGAAACGCGAGTTGACCCATGACCGATATCACTGACGAAGTGTCGCATCCATAATGGTAGGATCTCAACCATTATCGACGCTGCTTTGTGCAGCCATTGTGCTAGGACGTGCTGCTTCGCCCACATTGCTAGGGACCTTCGAGAACCCCGGCGTCATATGCCGACCCCGTTTCCGATACTGGCTCCCGGACTCCGGCGTAGACCCGGATATTGTCGCGACTGACATCAAAAACAGTGGCGAGCATGGTGCTGGGGGCATCGAGTTTGTTCCATTCTTCAATTATGGGGGTGAAAGCGGCGGCCCGCCTCCCGAAGCGAACTGGGTCGCCAATGGATTTGGCACTCCGGCGTTTCGCGATGTGTTCCGGGCTGCTCTTCAAGCACACAAGGATGCGGGCTTGTTCATGGACTTTGCAATGGGTCCAAATCAAGGCCAAGGTGTCCCTGCTGCTATTGATGATCCGGGTCTGCAATGGGATCTTGTAAGTCTACAGTGTGCTGACATTGCCCAGTTGAACTTTCCTCACCCCGCCAGGATTATATCAAGGTCTAAACTATAGTCTCTACATACAGGTTCCATACTCCCGGGAGGTCGCTACCAATGGAACATTCCATGATAAACTTCCCGGCTGGGGGGTTGGGGAATTAGTTGCAGTTGTATCAGCCCGCGTTATCTCGCACACAAACGTATCTCTACCGGAGGTTGACTCGCCATATCTCACAGCTCAAAGCAGCTATCTCAGCTTAGTGCTCGACCACACAACTCTGTCCGAGATTACAGACCAGGTGTCTGAGGAGGGGCAACTGTCTCTATCTTTCCCGACAGGTGCAGATTGTAGGTATCGAATTTTCGCCTACTATCAGAGACAACCACTGAACAAAAACCTGCGATTCACCAATAATAATATGGAAACAATATGGGATAATGGATCCTATGTAGTGGATCATTACAGCGCACGCGGTGCTCAGACAGTCATTCAATTCTGGGAGAAAAACATCCTCATCGATGGCATAAAGGAGCTTTTGATGGAAGTAGGGAACTATGGTAAGTGATCTATCGACGCATACATAACTTAAGAAACGGCACCAGCTGATTTGTATCAACTGATTTTGGTCAAGGCTGGGAGGACAGCATCGAAATAACTTCGAACACATCATGGACACCGACACTACCCGAAAGGTTTCAGCAGAAGTTAGGTTATAGCCTGAAGCGGTACCTGCCGGTGCTGAACTTTGGCATCCTCTGGCCAAATAACAATGTTAATATTCAAAGGTACCAGCCCGGCGGCATCCAGAGCATTCTTGACACACCAGACGCTGGGGCCGGATACATCAATGACTATCGCGGTGTCCTTGAAGACTGCTACCGGGAATACCTCCAAACATTTTCCGACTGGCTACATAATGAGCTCCATCTAAACTATTCCGCCCAAGTTTCCTATAATCTTCCTATGGACATGGAGGCCAGCATACCTGTTGTTGATACACCTGAGTGCGAAAGCCTTCAGTTTGGCGACAGCGTCGATGCCTATCGTCAGTTTTCCGGGCCAGCAGTGCTTGCAGGGAAAAGGGTAATTTCAAACGAAATGGGTGCGACCACTGGAGCTTACGATTATCCATTTCCACGTCTTCTATTTTCCGTTGGCCTTGCGGTTATTGGAGGTGTGAATCAGATAGTTCTACATGGGCAGAGCTATACCGGAGATTATTACGAGACAACGTGGCCAGGCTACACTGCATTCTCATACACAACTTCGGAGCTCTACTCGGACAAGCAGCCTTCCTGGGACCACGGCTTGTCAGATGTATTGGGCTTCCTCTCGAGGGTTCAACACACCCAGCGACATGGTAGTTCAAGGATAGATGTGGCTATATACAATAAAGTGTCAGCGACCGATAGTGTCAATTTCCCACCTATATATCAAGCCAACGATTTGATCAAAGCAGGTACTGTCTCTGTCGGCACCCTCCGTTTTCGTCTCATTAGCTACTATATTAACCTGGCATAGGGTGGTCTTGGACATACATTTCCCCGGACAACTTCGCGCTGCCGGGGGCCACAGTTAAAGACCACATTCTTGGTCCAGACGGGCCCCGTTTCAAGGCACTGGTAGTTACAAAGAACAGCAACATGACACTAGCAGGGGTGCGCAAGATGCATGAATATGCGACACGTGGCCTACCAATTCTTTTCAGCGGTGGCTTTCCAGGAATCTACGTCAGTGGCGATGAGAATGGAGCTGCCACTATCCGTGCAAAGCTTACGGAGCTATCAGCCTCAGCAAACGTACATATTGTTGGTGAAGGGGGTGTCGCCGACAAGCTAACAGCTCTTGGACTGTCGCCTTACATCGGAATACAAACGAATGGCAAATGGTTAACGACCTATAGGGAGGATTCATCTACTGGAATCGATTACGGTTTGATCTTCTGTGACTCAAACACTTCCTCCGGTTATATAACCGTGACTGGTCCTGCGAAGAAAAAGATTCCATATTATCTCAATGCATGGACAGGGGACAAGGCCCCCATTTTCACTTACAATGTCACTGAATCAGGATTGACCATACCGGTGTCACTTAAAGGCAATCAAACTCTCATCGTCGCATTTTATCCTCCTGGCATATTGAGCGAATCAGATGCCCCCCAGATACACGCTGTGGAGACACCAGCCTCGGTAATTGGAGCAACGTCTGACCGGCGAGGCGGTTGGGTTGCCCATGTTGCCAGAAAGAATGGATCTGAAAATCAGCCGGAGAGGATACAACTGTCTAGTGGCAACTACTTTGATCTGCTTCACCGACAGCAGATAGCTAATTCGTTCAATTTGAGCAAATGGCACCTAATTGCTGAGCATTGGGAGGCCCCAACAGATCTCTACGAGGCTCGGATTACAGCACGCAAGTATAATACAACTCATGATTTACCTTCACTGATGTCATGGAGCAAGATACCTAGCCTTATGAACAGCTCCGGTCTGGGCTACTACAGCACAGCCTTCGAGTGGCCACCGGCAGATTATACTAGCTTCGACCATGATCCTCCAGATGGTGCTTATATTATCTTTCCATCTATCCTGCATGCGATCCAGGTTACCATCAACGGTCATAGGGTCCCACCATTGGATTACACAGATGCCCGAGCAGATATCACTGCTTACCTCAAGACCGGAAGGAATGAAGTCCTCGCAGTAGTCCCGACGACAATGTGGAATTACATTCGCAGTATACTGCCGAACATACGGGACCAAGGGCGTCTTCCGGGTCTACTCACCGAAGGGCTACCAATACCGGAAGTTTCGGAAAATGGACTGATTGCGGAAGCAATCGTGATTCCATATTCTAAACTGTCAATCACAGATGCTTGATGTCCACGGTGTGTACCACACCCTAATCCAGATGTGCATAGTATCAGCAGAAAGTAGCTCAATATTCCGATATTTGCGTACCTGATAGGCTGATGGCTCAAATTACTAGGGGATTGTACCCGATCATAAATAATAGATTAGTACTGATTATTACGGTTTAGGAGGGTGTGCTATGTGACGCGATCCACGGTGAAATATTTCTTCTTTTTGTATCATTCCTGGCAAAGCACTTCTTAGAATCTGCTTCTTAGTCAGCTTCTATTCCTGCAATATCAGCCACCCTATTATACAGGGTAGAGTACAGTGGAAAGGACTAGCCCCAATTCGATGCCTATCATCCTGACTGAGCAACTGTATACAATTGTCCGTCACTATAAATTTCCCTCTTAAATTACGTGGATGTTACCCCGAGACTATCGGTACCTGCCAAGGTATTTAATCAACAATTTCGGGCAAGCATATCCCGACCAGGTCTTAGGAGGTAGAATGAATAACAGACTCAAAGCACACTACTGGTGCTAATCCCTCGTCTAACTGCGGGGAAGCATAGAACAGGATATGGTAGGTGGAGAAATCTGGGGAAACTGTGATCGACTGAACTCTTGCCAGTATAACACTGGTGCCAATCTAGAGTGGCCTTCACCTCGTGATCCAGTCCTTCGTCTGAACTTTGTTGTAGAATCCCATAACCGAGCGGCGCGTACCTTATTCTGCTTATTGTCAGCATATTCCAATGGCACGTTGTCATTAAATTCTTTTAAGCAAAATGCATTCTTGGAAAGTATCCTGTTTGTACAAATGTTATACTAAATATTAATAGCTAATATCGACAGTAGCATAAGTTGTCAGGAAATTATATACAGTACTCGGGCTTGTTTGCTCACGATCGCCTCATGTGCAGTCAAACACAATGGCAATTTATATTCAAGTGGAGAGGAGCTAAACCAAATCCTAGATACATGAATTTTGCCATGTTTAGAGATTCTGATCCTCGAGATAGAGGTTTTTATTCGGTGGAGGTCCACAAAATCGTGGCTGGGCCGTTGAGACGCTATGTGAAGGAAGTAAACGACTATGGATAGATTACCACTATATAGTATGATAGATGATCCTTCTCTAAATGTTCAATGTAAAGCTTCACAATATCATTAAATCAGGACCGTATCTGAATAGAAGCCTCGAAATTTAAAGTCTCTGCCCGTTGGAAATCCAAAATTTGGGGACTTCTAATTCAGTTGCCTAGGTGTGAATGTCTGATCGTTATAAGATACAGCCCAGACATGGCCTCCCATTGTGTGCATCTTCAAAAATATACCCCTTGATGTCAAAAATATCTTCACTGTTGGACTTACAAGCAACTGATCACCTCTGAACAAGTATAGCTTCCCCGGCCCCGACGAGGACCTTGCCTCCAGTCACCTTATCGTATGATTTGTGTCCAACAATTTTCGCATTCTCATCAACATATTGACCGGCAAATGTAATATTACTGGCAATATCAACACCCGGGCTTGTGAGCCTAGAAACCTTGGCATCTTTCCAGATTTCTGGAAGAGCTAGCGCTGTGTATGGCCTGGCAACGGGATCTAATGTTGAATTCCAGATGTTAAGATTGACCGCCACAATAGCATCAAGGCTTCCGGACTTGTAGACCGCATATGCGCCGAAGTTTGTTTCGTTGACAAGAACCTCTGTCTGCTTATTTCCGCCGGCGAACACTGCAGCATTGAACAGATTCCCGTAGTACATTGGATTGACATGAGGAGCACTGTCATTATAGACGATAGGCTGCCAGGGTGAGTAGCGATAGCGTGTTCCCATGTGGAAATGAACACGAGATACCTTGAGTGAGGATAGGTACATAACATAGTCAACAGCCCAGACAGCAGATGCCATAACATCGGAGATATTGAATGCGCCTTGGCAAGAAATGGAGTTGGTCTCACCAATGACATATTTGATACCTGATTCCGCTGTCGCATTGCCCAGATAGTCATGGTACCATACGCGAGAGAGCATGTTGGTGCGATCGAAAAGGGTGTCTTCAATTGTTGGGCCAGCACCCGTGTAGTGGCAGTTAGCGCCCATATACTAAAAAATTCCGGTCAACAAATAGTCCGTGATCATTGAATATTAATGGTATGATTCCTCACCTCATGGTCGGATACTGTCTTTGTCTTGTCTGGATGCATACCATCTAACTCGGCATTTTCAACATTCCAGTCCGTTCTCTCGTTGATATGGCGAGGTGCTTCAAAGGCACATCCTTGAAACAATCTCGCTGCGTTCTCGCCAGTCAAGTTCCGACTTATAGCTGTCGCAAATTCGTTCCACTGGTTGACGTAGCGTTGTACTGTCCAATTCCCTTCTCTGTGCTTGCCATTTCCCCAACCTGATCAATACTGTTAAATGCCGTCTAAACGATCACAATATTATCAAAAGCCAACTTACCATCGACCTCATTCCCAATTTCAAATGCATATAACGAGTTTCCCATTGTCTTGTAGGCGGCGTTTGCCTCAAGTACACATTGATCAAGGCCATTTCCAATATTGTTATATGTCTCGTTTACTGTATTGAAAAAATTGAGGCCTGGCGGAATTTTGTTAGCCTTTTGCAATTTGTAGTACCGTAGTAACTATACCATAGATATATTGTGTGCCATTAGGAAATTGTCTAAAGGATTGGAACCACGAAGGGCCAACAAAAGTATGCGATGGCTGGTCAGAGGCGACAGAACTAAATGGGTCGATGATAGCCTCGGTTTGATTCGGATAGTATATCGCAGAGCTTTGGGTGCTGCCGCCCACACGGAATATCGGATATGCGCCCGATATATCGTAGAAATTCTGAATCACTTGCCTTGAAAAATGATTTGGGTGTCTTGCAACAGTTATCAATACGTGACCAGTAGTAACTGGGGTGGAATGTACTTACGTATCATTTCCGGCATAGTCTGACATGAACGAAAACTCAATTGAGAACGATTGATATGCTGCATCCACAATTTGCTTCCCTGGTCTAGGGCTAGCAGCTGGAGAGATGCTTATTTCCCGGGTGACATTGAAGTTGTTGAATTGAACGGACACTGCAATTGGAATAAAAAATGTAAGAGCGATTATACTCGCAAGAGAACTAGGCATCATGGAGACTTTTGCCTGAAATCGCTTTCAAAATAGTGTTATCTTCCCTTTAAGGTGCTGTATACTCATGCAGTGCCCTTCGCTAATTTATTATAGCAAAGGAAAGGGAACCAACGTCGGCGCATTCTTTCACCGAAACAGAATATAAAGTTGAGAATGACTGATTGTCATCGCTGCTATTTGAGGAATAATTTTTCCGTGTCACTAAGCTGCAGCTTTGGATCAACCCCGCAACAATCAGTTCCTTTACTGCGCGAAGAGGGGAAGTAGGGGAAGATGGAAGCTACCGCAGACTTACATGATATATTACTCACATCATGCTGTTTCGCCTCCTAGAATTATCGCTTCAGTTGTAGGTCAATAAGCTAGACTTGGAAGAGAGCGATATAGCTATACGCTATCCATCCCTGCCTTTGTACTAAGACTGACAGGATATGCACCAATACCATCAATAAGGTGGCGACTCACTCGTGCTCTCGCATACGGTGTAGATTATACACACTTGCAGTACTTGTTATATGTCAGCGAATATGGCGTATGTTCAACCATAATCCGTTACGTCTTTAACTCCAGATCGAACCCCTATAAAGAGGTTTCTAGGGACCTGTTAATATGAAGATAAGACAGAGAGTCTGAAAATGCGGGAAAATGATGTTTTCCAATATGTTACAAGGTTTAAGAGAGTTTTTGCAATTCATTCCTACTTTACCTCACTCATACTGAATGACATTTTCAATCATTTGTCGGCAGCAACCAAGGTACTGACATGGATCACAGAGAGACCTCAGCTTCTCCTCCCCGACCTGAGCCACTAGACTATCATCCTGTCGGAGAATATCAATTAGGGGGAGGTTTCCCTCAATTGCCTTTGTGCAGGCCTCATAAACCACATCATGTGCTCTCTGGCGACCAATCTTCGGCGCAGTTCCCATCATCACGGCCTCCGCAACAATCAAGCCCTTGGTCATATTGAGATTGCTTGACATAACGTCGGTGTTGACGAGAAGTCCCCTCATAATGAAGTTTGCTTGGTGGAGTGCACCACAGCATAGTACAAAGGAATCTGGTATGCAGCTCCACTCCAGGTGCCAGGGGCCGGAAGCTCGTTCGAAATCGGACACCATGGCATCCAGAGCCAATGATGCGTTAGACCGAAGCAGCTTCGAAGAGGCAAGTATAACTTCACTTGATATGGGGTTCCGCTTTTGAGGCATAGTTGACGACGCCCCCCGAAACGGTACGAAGGGCTCAGCCACTTCGGCAACCTCGTTAGACGACATGATGATGATATCTAGAGCGATCTTTCCGAGAGATCCCCCGACTAGCGCGAGGAAATTGACAACCTCTGCAACGTGATCGCGTGCCACATGCCATGTAATTGATGGATCATGTAGCCCAAGTTCCCTCGCAAGTTGCTTTCGCACTTGTAGACCTGTATCATCTGAGCCAAGCGAGGCCAACGTGCCAGCCGCGCCACCGAATTGAACAAGCAAACATCGAAGTTCTATTTCGGCCAATCGTTGGATATGCCGTTGAATTCCGGAGAGATATACGGCGCATTTATAGCCGAATGTAATCGGGAGCGCATGCTGAAGATGGGTCCTGCCTGCCATGGGTCTTTGAAATGTCAGCATCTCCTATAGCGGCGTTGCATAGATGAGCCTTACGTGTCGGCGTATTTCTCCGAAAGAATCCGTAAAGCTGTATCCAATTCATGAAGGTTCCGACGGACAACAACGAGTCCCCTACGCATTTGCACCATGGAAGCGCAGTCCATGATATCTTGAGTCGTGGCGCCCCAATGGATGTACTTGGCATGCTCTTGGGGTACCATCTCAGCCAGTTGCCATACCAACGGTAAAACAGGATACCCAACATTTTCGGTGTCTGCGGCCATGCGACTGAGGCTTTTTTCATTGATGTTATTATCACACACTTGCAGCGTTCAGGAAGGAGGACACGTACTTTAGATTTTCGTACTTGGCCTTCTCTGCAATAACATCGGCCGATTCTTGAGGGATAACATTGAATGTTGCTTCAGCTCGCGCAAGAGCAATTTCAACTTCGATCAAGCACTTGATGTACGCTTCATCTGAGAAAATGTCACGAATCTCTTCGGTTCCGAAAAGGTTGCGGAAAATGCGGGAATCAACCGCACTGTTCAACATTTTTCGGGAGTTGAATAGATGATGCTTCTCAGAAAATTGATGGTCGTACGCAGAGATGGATGTCCCTGGTAGATACTTGCCTTTTAAATGAGAAATTCGAGAGTCATCTAAGCAGTAAGCTGTTATCCCGAAACTATGTTGACACTATCCCGGAGCCTGGTACTATTCCGACGGGATAGGCCTTATCCCGAAATTAGTCTCCCGAGCGAGCCCTATTCCATCCCCGCAATTTCGGTTTAACCGCACGTCAGTCTTCTTTGGCCAATCTGGGGTGCATACTTGCTCCCCGTCACCTACACAGATATCCCGGGGAAACCTCTTGGCTGTGGGGTAGTCTGTAAGGTATAAAAGTATCCGTAATGGACTGGATTCACCCTCGCCCACATGTCGGACAACAATTGCGTGAAATTAGTCGCCATAAAGGATGGCACTCCACGGTCGAGCACTGTCTCTTGCCCAGTTGATTCTGGTAGTGTGCCCTGCCTTTTTTCTCTTCGGTTACAATCAAGCAGGCGTCGGTGGCCTCGTCTCTGTGGAAAGCTGGACCAAAACGTTTTCTGAAATCGATACCATCCACACGGTAGGAGCCGTGAAAAGCCACAATCTAACAGTCCAAGGGGTTGTTATTTCGACATTTACCCTAGGTGCTTTGATCGGAGCTCTTTCATGCTCATTCATTGGTGATATACTGGGGAGACGAAGAGTTATTTTTGCAGGCTCACTAGCAACATTGGTCGGGGAGGTCCTATGCTGTTCCTCCTTTGGGCTCGCTCAGTTGATTGTGGGAAGGCTTATAATTGGAGTTGGCATTGGAATGCTTAGTGGGACTGTGCCTGTTTGGCAGTCTGAATGTTCATCGGCACAGAGTAGGGGAAAGCATGTTGTTCTGGATGGCGTCTTTATCAGTGCAGGGTACGCAATAACGTCGTGGGTTAACCTAGGATTCTATCAAATCAAGTCCGGTTCGGTTGCTTGGAGAGTGCCCCTGGCAATTCCGGGGTTGGTTTCGCTTATTCCTATGTTTTCAATCTTCTTTCTTCCAGAGTCTCCTCGATGGCTTGTTCAAAAGGGCCGCCTCGAGCAGGCTCGTGCAACACTCGTCAGTCTGAGTGGTGCATCAGCCGCGTCAGAAGATGTGAGCGGAGACATTGCGGCAATCCAGTTGACACTAGAGAATTACTCGCGTGGTCTTTCAATTATGGATATTTGGCGCCCAAATAATGAAAAGCTGCTCTATCGCTTCTCTCTGTGCATTCTACTCCAGTTCTACCAGCAAATGTCGGGAGGTAAGTGCCCATATAACACGCCCCCTACGTGCATGCAGATGACCGCTGACGTGACTGCTCATAGGAAACCTTATTTCAGTCTACGCTCCGATTATATTCGAAGAGAATCTTCAGATGAGCAGCATGATGTCGAGAATACTCGCTGCTGCAACGCTCTCATGGAAGTTCCTCTCATGTTTCGTGGCTTTTTACTGCATCGATCGGTACGGCCGCCGCATGGTGTTTATCGTCAGCGGAACAGGAATGTCGCTTTGCATGCTGGCCTTGGCCATCACCACGAGCTTTCCACATGCAAATAAGCCTGCCTCCATTATGTCAGCGCTCTTTATTTTCCTATTCAACTTTTTTATCCCGATCGGGTTCTTGGGTGCAAATTTCCTGTACTGTACCGAAGTGGCGCCGCTTCGGCTAAGGGTTGCCATGGCCTCGATCTCGACCGCAAATCATTGGCTTTGGTAAGCTTTCCCTGCAATGCAGCCGTCACATTCCATGAATTATAGTACTCACTGGGATAGGAATTTCGTCGTCACAATGATTACTCCTGTTGCAATAAATGACATCGGATATCAGTATTATATCGTTTATGCTGTGATGGGTGCATGCATTCCTATTTCGGTGTATTTTCTGTATCCGGAAACTATGGGGTGGAAGCTTGAAGATTTAGACATGCTGTTCAAACGAGGCTTGAGCATCCGAGGAACTGTCAGGTCATCTTTTCGGTCTCCTGATTGCGATGCAGAAGGTCGGATTTCACATGAGAAAGGTGAGATCGCGAAGGTTGAACATCACGAGGGCGTTTGAAGATGTAGCTTGGGTAGTTGATAGTATTGGGCTTGGATATGGTTGAGCGTCATTTCAGGATGTATTCAAAACATAATGTTCAGTAAAGACTGCATTCCTTGATGGGTAGAAAGGTATACCAATAATATCCTATAAAACACTACGTATGTCTGTGTTCATGTAGGGTGGATGAAGCTGTCCATACTTAATAATATATATTAATCAGCACAATATTTATTCAGGGCTCTGGTTGACAGTTGAACTATTCCGCACTAGCAATTGAGCATCTATGACCCGACTTCCAAATCCAATATTGATCTGCTATGTAGATATTGGATAGCCGTCTGTGAGGTGCTGTGACTGAGTCACACCGCCAGAGTGTAGTTATGGCAGGTTGGGTGAGAGCAGCAAGTTGCCTCCGTCAGCCTGATTCACGTGACTGAATGGCCTCGGGTTCTCTGCTGACCCACTCGAGAATTTCCCCGCGTCTCCGTGTTCTCGGGGTTCAAATGTCCTCGCATAGCGATGTATCTCTGGGATAATAAGTAGAATGGAAGGTTTTGGGCAAAGGGATGCTATGCCTAGGTTGCAATTGTCATCTCAAGTATGGTATGCTTTCGTCTGATGTTCTCAATTGAACATTTTACTAATGCAGCCTGTCAGTGATCGATGCCGGATGTAAGCAGATCTTCTTACACTAACAGATTGGCCGCATAAAAACCTAATGCCGTATATATAGAAAGAAAATCCGCTGTGACGGATTACTACCGTCGGTATTTCTCCTCTTATCTATCTCAGATAAATAGTGTGAACTAATAGGGTGAGACTCCTGTAGTGTAGCAATTGTAAAGCGTCTGAAGCTTCCTGTGTCACGTCCAAGCAACTTAAAAGGCGAACGCGGCCCAGAAGGTAAGTGACGTGTTGCTTGGCCATTTTAGTTACCTGTGGATCTTGTTAACCAATTTATTAGACATCTTGAGCAACAAGAAAGGTTACTCGATGAGCTCAGAGCCCAAAATGAAAATTTACAGCGCGAGATCCAGCAACTACGTTCTAGTCACTCCACAGATTTGAACACACCCAAATGGAGTGACCCTTCGCATAGCTTTCAGGGCCCCAAATATCAAGTGCCACAAGCTGCAGTATCGTCTGATGCGGCAACTACTGCAAATCAACAAGACCAATCTATTATCAAGCATCTGGGGCGCCTAGTGCCCTTAACACCGAGTGTCGACCGATTTGCAGGATCAACGACTGGTATTTATTTTATTCGTTGCGCTGAAGCGGCTTATAAGTCTTTGTTCAATCATGAAGAGGGTTTTCCAGATGTTGTAAATCGGCTCCATCTGCTCGGGCCTGGTCCAGAATATTCCCAAACTCGACATTTGTCAAAGTCAAGTAATATTTCTCGACCACCGCATTTCCTGCTTGAGAACACACGAGCGTTTTACCTGCGTGGGGTGACAGACTTTTCAAAATTTTGGTCATCAATATGGCCAATATTCATGGAGAAACAGTTTCTTTCTGCCTTCCACAGGGTTTTCGATCTTGTTGAGACCCACGACCCTAACCTGTCACCTTCTGACTATGTTATCCTGAGACAAATATTTCTTGTCCTCTCTATTACAGCGTGGCAGAATCGGTCACCCACGGAGTGCAATTCATACTACCTCAATGCCTTGGAATGTTCCCGGTTAACAACCGCATCCGAAAACGAGGGCCTTGCAGGACTCCAGTCCCTGCTTTTGACTTGTCTATATCTTCAGCTCACACGGAAACATGAGGAATGGGTTCAGACAGCTGGTCAGGCTGTTCGTCTCGCGCAATCTCTAGGACTCCATCGGCATTCTAGGCGTTTCCGCTTTTGCGCTGGGGAAATGGAATTAAGAAAGCGGATGTGGTGGTGCGTTTACGCAGTGGACGTGTAAGTTTTCTGTCAAACAAATTTATCCCTTCAAACCGCTCATTCCCGAACAGCGCGTGCAGCGTAGTACATGGCTTGCCGAAGCTGATCCAAGACGATGACGTGGATACCGACCTGCCTATTGACACGGATCTCGACGATGTGACTGCCTCTGACATACCGCTCCCACTGCCGGGAGAGACAACAAGCATGGCTACCTTTATCCTTTACGTCAAGCTGCTCAGACTTTTCTCTAGCTGCCTCAAGTCGCTATATACCACTACTAAGCGGCGAAATGGTGTCGCCAAAATTACCGCATTGGACCACGAGCTCTCGGTGTGGCACCATAGCGTAGTCCGATTCCAAGGCAGTGGGATGAAAGAGAACGACGATGCTCTACCGGACACCCTTCACATCAATTCATCAGGTCAATCGTTCGAGACACTGTTTCTACACTTCTTAGGAAACGTGGCTGTTGTGCTAATTCACCAGCCAGCATTGACATTTGACCCGAAACACCCCCAATTCATGAAGAGCTTGTCAAGATGCGTTCGTGCAGCACTCAATATACTCGGCCTTTTGGAAAGCAGTCATGATGGCCAACGACTTCATTGTCTTTTTCCGAACAAGTCATCAATAGTCTTCCAGTCGACGCTATTGTGCTTCTACCATCAATGGATGTGCATGTCATTTTCGTTAACACCAAGTCACAATCTCAATCCATTGATGGGTAGAATAGTAGATACTGCCCTCAAGCTGCTCGATAAGCACAAGGCGGAGCTGGTTGCTCCTGATACCGGGCCAAACACATGTATTGACATCGAAACGATCTCAGCTGCTGAAGACCTAGTTCGATTGTTTTCCAGACGCTTGGATAATGCAAGACATGCGTCTGTGTCAATTGAACGGACTTCTTTTATGGCCCAAAATTCCCTTCCAACATCATCATTCCCGCCGCAAGCTGATCTGGGTGGCCATGAACCGGCGAATTTCGAAAGTGAGTCACCAATGGCGACGATTCCTCTTGACTTTGGAATATGGGATCACGATATCCTGGATTTTGACTGCCTTGAGCTATAAACATCAATTACCGGAAGTGATTATTCGGAAGCACTGCGGATTTATTGTCTTCGGAATATATTATGTTTCGAAAGAGGCATCCATCGAAGTCTCGTAAAGCCGCGTAAGATGACAGGAAAGTGAAGCACCAGATCACTTACTGGTCCACAAAGCGTATTAACAAAAGTGAGTCATAGGATAGGCATATTACTGAAAATATGCAATTGTCGGATAAATCGGCATGCTTGGAGAGAGGGTCAGTGCCACAGGCTGGACGATAAGCAAGGAAGAGCAGAGAAGACGGCCATTTCTGGCGCGTCCAAATACCAGTAATCTGCTTCCGTATCTTCTACCTAATCCTAAGGCACCTTTCGCTTCCTAGCAATATGAACAATAATCTCAGCACCCAGATCTCAAACCTTCCCCGAGACTACAAAAATTCTACCTAGACATTATCCTAGAATACCGGACTCACTTCCCAAACACCCCCCAGAAACGCCCCTCCACCTTGATCACTAGACTCCCACGTGCGGCTTATCCCACATCCCAAACTCAAAACACTCGCAGGGAAGTCAAATCGTGAAATCAACAAGACAAAGTGCAGAAAGAACCTTCCCTGGACTCACGCACACAATACTCTCCACCCTCCACCTGTGGCCCTTATCCTACGCGAGCAGTATTCCTACCATCGCGTACGGCGAGTCGGGGCTGTCAGTACTGGGGGACCAGGTGCGGGTCTTGTGTAGAGGGAATTCAGGGCCGGGTGAGGCTAATACTGTGTCTAAGGGTCTACAGATTAAATACGAATGCTGATTGTTGAAGATAAGCTCATGGTATCAGCGCCAAGAAGGCTTATACGCTCGTAGAACCAGCGTCGGGGTGTGGCGACAGATAACAATCCTTGTCATTCTTCCGGAGTTCCGGCGGGGATATGAGACAAGTGTAACCTCGAGGATTAAGTCAATCACCAATTCAGTGAGCCGTCGTCACACAATTTACCAAGTCTTATCTTGAGAAGCTATCTTTACATGCGAACTCCTAGGAACTCTTCTTGGGCTGCATGTACTTTCAGAATAGTTTGTCTTGATTTGAAAGCCTTCCTTTTATCAGGATTCCAGTGTTTCAAACAATATTTTTGCATGAGCCTGCAAGATTTCGAAGGGATTCTAAAGTTGTACCCCGCCGGGCTTGCCGAATGAAAGCGAATCCTTGCTATCTTTTATATCTTCGCCCTATAGGGTAGATCCCCATGTAACTCCCTCTCAGCAAGCGCAACCCACCCTAGGCAGCAGTATTTAACAACTAACCCCTCATTCTAACATCGCCGGGTCTGTAACGGTAGCATTATAGTAACAAAGTAGGGACCAATGGTTCGTAAGTGTGGCGTTGATAGCAACCGGACTAACGTCAGTGTTTAGCGCGTGACCAAGCAGGGTCCTACGATCCTTGATACCAGGAACCTGGACTTCCAAGCTACTGACAGAATTGTAGAGAAGACATATGAGGCCAGTCAATATAATCCATTTTCCCTTACTCTCATTCTTACCCAGTCAATCTTAACAATGCTCATCCCTCTCATACTAACCACCATGCTCCTGAACCCCTTCCGACCATGTGAGGGCTCTCCCACCTTCCAGGAGGAATACCGGAGCAGCAATTACGTCCCAGAGTTGATTGAAACCGCATGGGGCCGCCAGATCGTGGCTCCAGATACTCCCTATGTGGCAGCAGCCGGCCCTAGCCAGCTATACTTTCTCGACACCCGGCTCGACCCTGAGATGGCCCAGCACATTAAGCAACAGATTGAGAAGGCCAGCGTGCCGCAACTAGACGAGTACATAGCCATTGACGAGATTGAGGCCACGGCAGAAGTGAAGAACAGTGTGACCGGCGAAACGACCTTCGTGTTCGACCACGCCTACGCCCGGATACTGTTCGCCAGGGGCATGAATAGGCATAATCCGGATCTTAAACTGCCGGAGCCTGAGCCGGCGGGTGACTGGTTTGTCACCTATGATTTGGACAATATTTTGGCGGCGAAGGGAAGAAGTGTGGCTAAGGGATGATTCATGCCTTCGGTATCTGTCATCCGAGGATCTGCTCTACGGCTGTCGAGGCCCCCGAAAAGATGGTTGGGGGGTAGTGGATGTCAGTTACAATTAGCGCATGGACGAGTGGCACTGGGGAGCGTACAAAGACGTGCGATACGCAACTGAATGGGGCTAGGAGTTATATGGGCTAGTTGGCTAATATATTGTCTGGATGGTCTCCGACTGATGTTAAATGGTTACCGATATGATTGCAAGGTGGCCTGTTGTAGATTATAACAATGGGATTTGAGTCAGACACTCCCTCAATTATCTGAAAGCAAACATCTTTATACTTTCTCATCAGGTTGCAGCCGTTAGGCCAGAACGGTAAACGGTAAATTCATGCTTGACCTAACCATATTTCCAAGTTGGCCCTGTTCACTTGATATCCAGGCATAAGCACGCAACCAGTTCTTTCAGCACTTTGATCTTGTCTTCGCTGTTAGTTGCTTTATCCAGCATACTGCTCTTGTCACCAAAAAGACCCCAGACTGGAACGATTTTGTCATCGTCTTTCCACTCGAAATACCTGTTAATGCTATTAAAAGCCTTACGCATGTTTGCATGACTCCGTAGTGCTTTCGCGCAATTTTCATACTCAGCACCAGCCTGGCACGAGTGGAGGCAGTGACAACAATACATGATCAATGATGCGAGGCCCGCAGCAAGTGCCGTCGAGACAGAGGATCCGTTATGATAAACAACGGGCTTTGCAGAATGAGGCCTCCGATCCTCGGCAACCTGGTTACCTGGCAGGTAGTATGTTATAGAGCCTCCACTACCTGATCCCAGGTCTCGATTCGCCTGAGGCCCCGTCGAACCGATGCGAAGAATGCGTTCCGGAGCCTGGCTATAGGGAAAAGTATTGTCCCCATTGAGCCGGACATCATCCGCGGCGGAGCAAATCAGGAGTCGTTTATCTCCTTTAACAGCGTCGTCAATTGCACTCTGGAGGAGCTTCAGATCATTCTCATCCGCTCGCCTTTTGTCGCCATCCACATTGGGCGCACTGTCTGATAACACAGACATACGAAACCCTACGTCTGTTATAGTCCACGACATAGAGATTATATCGGCGCCACGTACTACTGCCGCGTTGATGGCATCGGCGGCACTTCTAGGGCTGATGCTGCGTGCTCCATCGCCATGGATGTAGGAAGGGCTGCTCTGGACTTTGATCACTTCAAGCTGAACCCACGGATTGATTCGGCTGATCATGTTAGCCATGATGGTACCATGTCCATTAGTGGATTTCCACCACGGGTCCCCGTTACTTATATCGCTCGAACAATAACTGACGCCCGTACATTGGGCAAATCTATAAGTGTTGAAGTCCTGAAGGTCAATTCCGTCATCAATCAATGCCACCTGCCTCTGGTTAGCACGTGTACAAGCAAACCTGAGTAAGGGTTTTCTTCCCATCCAGCAACATACCTTAACTCGCTTGGTGTTAGTCAGCATATTTTTGTCATGCATGCGAATCAAGGAGCCTCGGAAACGCTCCATCGCCTCAATCCATGCATCTGATCGGGGCTTCTCCATCTGCTCCCTCAGGAGTGGATCTTGGTCCGCATCGGCTCGGTCACTCTTTATGATACTCTTTGATATTGGCTTTGGTATAACTTCGATCTTGTGCTGCGTTCGACTTTCCACGAGGTTACAGAATTGCCGAATCATGTGGTCTCGACGATTCGAGGTTTCCAGGCCCTAAACTACGTATCAGACAGACCCGTTTCCCATGATTCCCTTCAAAGAGGAAAGGCTCACCTGGTAGGCATGCAGCGTGATCTTGGATAATAACGACCTCGGATTCCTACACAGCAATGGGATTCCGTTTTCGCTGCTCGCCCAGCCGTAAAGTACAGTCTGGTTCCCACTCCAATGCAGATGAATGTGTTGTACCGAAGGCGCAGCGTACTCTATAACATCCATGTTGATGTCGGGCTTGCACCAGTCCCTGTAATGTCGGGAATGTGAGTGCAATTGGCGGCGCAGGGATGAGACAAGCTACCTACCATTCCTCTATTTCCAGCGCGTCTCGCGATACTTCGCCTGAATACTGATTACTACCTTTCATGGCCATTTCGATTGCCGTGTCGGTATGTGCCCATTCATCGGCATTGTCCTCCACATGCAATCGTATGATTTTGCGGACATTTACCTCAACAAGCTTGTCAAACACTTTGATCAGATTGTTTCTTCCACTAGACTGTTTGGAGTCTGGACTCCTCTTAATTTGTCTCTTCTCATTTGGGATATTCTGTCTGTGTGGCTGAGGCAAAATATGTGGCTCAGAAGCCAGTGCGGGTATCTTCACATATGACAGGGTATCTTCGAACCCCCCGGCTTGCGATATCCTGTTTATCAGGTCAACAACGTCACCAATTGGCTTGCCGCGAAGATGACTAGCATCGAAGAACAGGTTCTTGTCTGTGAAAACAAAGTGAGTGTTAGTGGCACCTTGATAGTTACCACAGGCGATGGCCTGCTGCTCACCAGATGCGACCTTCCCATATAATAGATCCTTCGCATTCCTGTCGGTGTTGTTGCGGATGAAGAAGCATTTTACAAGGCTTGCAATACTTCCTGCAGCTTCGTTTCCCCTCGGCCCCCCCCACACGACTTGCCTGGCAGTCCTGGGTTTCGAGCCTTCTGCGTCTGCTGAAATGGCGTGTTGTACGCCTGCTTCCACAACTGGGCTTTGGGACTCATCACGCTTTATGCCCAAAGGATCCGCAGGGCGTCGAAGCAATGGCCTTAGCCCCATTCCTGTCATGTCATGAGGTTTTCCCTCGCTCATGGGTCCCACAGGCTGATGCGAACGAGGCTGCAGGTCTCGACCCGGCTTTTGGAGCCACTCTGAAGCTGAGTATTCGGCTGTCACAGAGGGCTGGGCTGGATTGATAGGGCTTTCTTTCGTAGGAATTCGTATATCGCCCATTGGATCTCTAAATGCCGGCTTCCTGACAGCCTTCATGTCCATGCTGTTCTCCTTCCTATCGACCATCGGTTCCCGGCCCGAAGGCTTCTGCACACTGCCTTTTCGGGCTTTATCGACTCCTGATTTACTGATGACGAAATAGCGATAAGGGGAATGGTGTTGCTTGTTAAATAGCAAATCTGCATTCTTCATCACTGACTTGTCCTTTTCCAAGAGGAGAAAGAGTGACTTGACAATATCTTCATATCGATATTCCATGCCGTCGGCATGCCTAAAGTACCCTGGAGTAAGGCAAAGCCTAGCATCCATGGCATAATGAATCGGCGTGTTACCTAATTCATCCTTCGCAAGGATAGATGCAACATCGGCATGTTCCAACAGCTTTGCGACCGTCGACATAACTGACGCCATGAGAGCTCGATTCTTTCCTTTTGATTGCATTAACTGCCTCAAAGCGTCGAACAAAGTATCTTTGAATACTTTGTGCAAACAGTTCATCCCTTTCGTATCGGTGTCTGCCAGGAGATCCGGGAGCAAATTTGGGCGGTGGTCGATAAGGAAATCAATGAGGTCTGCTGTGTGATAGCTGATAGCCACGTTGAGGATTGGGTCATCTTGTTTGTTGGTGTATAGAATCCTTTGATCGAGCAGGTAAAGCACTATGGCTTCACGTGTAGCCATTGACAGGTGTCTGTAATAGTCCTTTCCCCAGTTTTCAGCCATTTTATGCAGTAATGTCGGCCTCGCCGTATTTTTATCATCGTAGTACTCGAGCAGGCGCCGGTCTGCATCTTCAAGATTATCCCAGGTTGTTTGACCGTTCTCGAGGGAAAGTATGACATCTTTCCAGCCTCTTGCGGGCTCAACCTCTGGCAAAGGCCCATGGAAATCTGTTCTGACTAGATCGTCATCGGTGTCGAATCCTTCGTCGAAATCGAATTGGTCGGCCATCGAGGATGCCAGATTAGCGGGATAAATTCAAAACCAGAAGCTTTTGATATGACTCTGTTATATCATTCTTTGGCGTTCCTTGAATCTGGAAATGTCAGGATACTCCTCGCTTATACACAGTTGTGGTCGAAGAAGGTGGGTTGGGGAGCTGCCAATGGCTAGGGAAAAAACATAACGATCCCCTCCTATTCGGCGGATGAGTTTTTACGGGGAATAGTGACTATTGTAGGGGAGAGGCTGACCAAATCGACTCGGACAAGTTCAACCCGCCAGTAGTGCTGATAATATGCATGCAGTAGGCCGGTATGAGTTACGATCTTCATGATGCATTACGCTAAGGCGATGCCAACAAAGCTGCCGCCATCCAATGAATTTTACTCCTTCAATTTTCTGGTATTGCGATGGTTCAGCCCACCATCAGCCGGGCCGCTTAACTATCTACTCCTCCCTCTTAGGTGATCTGGCAGCCCCGTGGTATTTATGGAACATGGAAAAGCCCCACAATTGGTCCAAGTCAGTGGCCCCGAGATTGGCCGGATCGATGGCTATTCGATTCTCCTGCTCCCGCCGATCAAAGGGTGGGCTGTTTCCATCAAAGTAAACTGGGTCGTCTGGATCTCTCGTCGAGAATAATGTAGCCACGGTGGTCCGGAAGTCAGGCTCAACGGAGATGCTCGGCACGCAGACAAATTCTTCATCGTCCCTCTCCAAAAGGATGCATGCAGTCAGCGTCGATGGGATGCCATCTTGCTGTGACTTATTCTCCGATAGAGAAAAGCGAGCTTGATCATATTCGCCCCAATCGTTCTGCTGCCGATCACCTGTGACCACGGTGTAGAACTTCGCGACTTTCTCCACCGAATGCTCTGCGCCCAGCTCCAGTCCGACCGCCTGCATAAACCCGCCATTTACCCCTGCCTTGATGCCATTGCCCACAGTCTGCTCGGATTCTTGCGCCGTATAAGGCCGCTCCGGTCTCACTTTGACGATTTCGACCCTTCCCGTTCCCCCGGGCTGTGGCTGGAACTCAAATGTGATATCCGCTCCTTTGAGGCGTGCCCCCCGGTACGATCTGAACTTGAACTCATATACCAGTAGCGTCGCTTTCTTCAACGATTCACCTCCCATAAGCCCATGGACCATGGCAGTCGCATTACAACTGACGGCGAATGCCGATTTTCTTCGCGGGCCGGCGTGGAACACGGAGACATGTGGTCGCTGGATCTCGCCCGGTCGGTTTCGAGTCCTAAACTCTTGAACCCATTGAAGAGGCTGTCAGGTAAGGTCTCTAGTATGGCCATATTCTTGTAACGGAGATAATACCTCCTGGTGGACCCTGGTAGGTCAGAGCCATTGTAAATGAGCTCGAGTCAGTAAAGTCTTCGTCCTCATATTCATCCTCCTCTTCAGAAAGCCATATCTCGTCTTCCTCCATGGATTTAGACGATATAGAAAGTCAAGACGAATGTAAGGTAGGCAAACAACTCCTAAAAAAGTCTACCGGGTTAAGTTCTTGGAGCTGAAGAGAAAGCGTTGGGAGTGGCCTCGAGGGTACCAGTGGATAGAGCAACAGCCCTTTTTTACGCTACTGCAGCCACAGTCACACCTAGTTGACTCACAATGAAGCGGTAAAAGATGGTCATAGGCGGGCATTGTGCTGCGTAAGAAATAGCGCTATTTCCCCCACCTCGTCAGCCAATTATCGTAGAAACCTCCATGCAGTTTCCGCCGACGAGGCTGACATACAGCCCAATGCCTCAGCGCCAGCCTGACACTACTGTAGGTCGGGACGGAATGATGGATTCAGACGCCACGCATTTGATAAAGAAGACAACAGAGGGAGCGGGGAAGGAGAAGGGCTACCTGCAGCAAGTAAAGAAAAGAAAGTCTTGTAAGGAGTACGGAGTACGGAATACGCACTTCCTATCCACGCTGCGGCGCAAAGCTTGCCTCTCTAAACGGTCCGACTATTTGTCTTAAACATATGCCCGAGTAACCCTAGGACTTATGCCATTTGATGACTCTGTGGAGTCACACTTAAATATGTCCCTTACTGAGGAGCCTGAATCAGGCGCGTCTCGCCTCAAGTTGGTGGGCACAGTCCTACCGGCCTCCGATCCGAATGAAAAGCTACCAAATGTCGAGTAAGCTTTCCCGCATTTGATTTGGTATTATATTGCTGACTGGTTACAGCATCATTCATGTTGTCGGGGTCGACCCTGGGCGACGGCTGGGGCTCGACACAATCATTGAAGATTCGGTGTCTTCCCGAAAAAGAGAATACATATTCCAATGCAATATAACCGGTCTACTTCTCGGAGACCTGGTCTGGGACGAGATTCAGAATGAGGCGCTGCAGTTGCTGGAAGGCCTATTAGCCTCGAGTGAAATTGACAAGGCAAGTCTCTCCGGCGCCTCGTCTTTCAACTCCCACAAAGATGCGATGCTAAGCCGAAGTTTCCCACCACAGGAGACTTCTGTTCATGCAGTGAGGATCTTTATTGCATATGACTTAGGTGCTTTGATCGTCAAAAAGGTTTATATTCTCTTTTTTTCTTGTTTTTCTTCTTGTTTTGGTGTATCCCATCTCAATTATTCTTTTGCCTATCATCCGTACAGCCTCTGACCCGAGACCTCTAGGCCATCGCAATGGCGTCGTCGAGAGAATCACAATGGCCTGGAATATTTTACAGTGCGGTGCAATTTGTAGGCAGTGGTGTTAACGACAGTTAGGACGTAGGACCCACTGACTGAAATCACAGATCTATCGGGGCTGCTTCCAGCGAAGAGAGAATATTCAGGCGTTCGATGCGAAGCTCTGGGCTTTTCTCCAAACCCATAAGAAAAGTGCTTTATGGGCTTCTCTGATAACGCCGTCGTCTGTACGAACACTTGCGGAAGCATTGGTCGAAATGACAGAGGTTTTTCTACGTTCCGGTGTTACGTTGCGTACCCGGATTATAAGCATCTATACCGCGGAGGATGATGACGAATATCCAGTAGGTAGCATATTCGAGGCATTCAGAGGAGGGTCACTTTTCTAACCTACGATAAAACAGGCTTTTGACTTCTTCACTGCGACCCTTGGTATATCCACTGAGTTTGCCGTGCAGGGGAAGCCTGCTAGCCAGGATGAGGGTGTTCCCAATCTAAAGAAGATGGTGTGTTATAGAACCAGCAGTGAGTCACCAGAACAAGCCAATCCGTCAGCTTGATTCAAGTTGGAATAACCGCATAATGTACATTTTACGCAGATTGGCTTGACCCCCCACAATGGATAGCTCTCCAGCGTATGCTCCTGCCGCTGGCACTCCCACAGTCCCGGTACACTGTTGGAACGCCCAAATCATCACCTAGAATATTTGAAGCCAAGGCGTACAGAGACTGGGCCGCATCTCCAAGATCACCAATCCTATACATCCAAGGGCGAGATGAATCTCATTCCAGGTCCCTTGCCGACAACTTTTGCCTATACGAACAGGGACGATTTGAGAATAGACAGGATTACAGTACTCCTATTCTGACATTCGAATTTTCAGGTAACGACCCTTTGCGCAACAACATGAATTCTATGATATGCTCAGCTCTCCTGCAATTCCAGTCGGCGATTGCATCTGAAATGGTCGAGTCCCTTCCTGATATCCTCGTCGACTTGTGCCACCTACAACAAGGATGGACAAGCAAAGATCTGCAAAACATCTTCTCACTCTTATTAGCCGACCGTGCTGGGACAGGGGCACTATTCGTACTGTATAATGTTGATGAATGCGAATCGTCTAGCCGAAAACACTTTTGGGGCGAACTCCAGAGCCTCCTGGAAATATCGGATTTTTATTTCAAGGCCGTCGTGACATCTCGGAAACGCCTCCAATTATTGGAAGACGCTCAAGAATCTGGATTGTGGCTCCTGTATAAAGAATCTGAAGACTCGTTAGAGGAAGTGAAAATGCTGGAATCATCAACTCCTGCTAGCCTTGCCGCCCATCTCTGCCCTGGGGGGTATGGTAAACATCGAGTGAACAGATTCCTGCAGGCACTCGGTGGCAGGGATAAAACTGAGTTAACTCATATCATCTCTCTTATCCAGGCGCATACTAACTGGCCCGATGATCCATCCTCGGCTGCATGGTCTGGCTTTGGCATACTTCTCGATCAGGTTAAACCAACCACTTCACCGGCTGCGCTACTAGACAAGATACTCCGCTCTGTCCCCGATAAATTAGGGCTATGTTGGGTTCTTTTGTGGTTGTTGAATGGTCACCGACCGCCAAGCCCGTCAGAGCTAGCATGTCTGCTACGATATTGTGACCGGGGTCAAGGCTATAAATTTCTCCCCAACCCCACGCATGTCGAGATTCGCCAATCCCTTCAAATCCTCAGGTCCTGTATATCAGTTCTGGCTGAAGTTAACTATGATAAAGTCTGTATTCGACAATTTGCTCGTGATATTCTCACTGAGGATGATCCGAGCTACCTGTGGAATGAGATCAAGCCAATGGCTCATCAATCGATGGCCTACTTTCTCCACCATTATCTAACGACACCAGCTACTCAGGCTCGTCTGGATTCGATGTACTATCGCTATCTCCTATCGTATAACGCTCATGATGACCATCTCATGCCTTCAGTCCAGCCAGATGGCGAGGGCTTTATCTACTATGCAATCACAGCATTCCCATATCACCTTGAACAAGGCTCGGAATTCTTATCTCAGATGAAGCATGACTTTCACTCCCCGAAGTCACCCCTTCTGCCGTGGGCGAGAATGTACTGGGCCATGAGTAATCCTTTCTCGCGTCATTCGGTGGACACACTGAAATTGCCATCATCCATACTTCAGGCAGCAAACCCTGATACAACTCTCCTCAAGGCATTGGAAAGATTTACGGTTGCTCCCTATACCTCAACTCTTCTGTCTGCCAGTGCTCTGGAAAAGGAGGGCTCTGACGATATGAACGGTCTATTTCTGGTCTTATCTGCCGGGAATGAAGAGGCTGCACTAAATTACGCCCGGCTTATGATAATCAATGGAACTCGTGAGAATACCACCGAAGGGGACGCAATTGTGGAGACGACAGCTGTAAAAAATATCAATTCTTGGCCCTCAAAAGCTCTCTGGAGAGCGGTATGGCTCAACATGGCTCGTATCGTTAGACTTCTGCTAGAAAACGGAACGCCCCCTGATCCCGAGGACGTGTCCTCCAAGTGGTTTCCCTCCCCACTATATCTGGCATCTGCTTTAGGTCATTCCCAGATCGTTAAGACCTTACTACAAGCTGAAGCAAAGACTCGCGTTCAGGGTAAGGGAGGTTTGGGGGTTCTGCAAACTGCGACTGCATACGGGCACCAGGACATCGTCCGGGCCTTGGTGGCCAAAGACCCCGGCCTTCTAGAGATCGAGCAGCCGGATACACCGCTTGACCACGCGTCAATTTGGGGTAAATGGACAACCGTGGAGGTATTGGTTGAACTGGGTGCTCAGGTCGACTTCAACCCGTCATCAGACGGTTGGACACCCCTGATGGTCGCAGCATATCATGGCCATGCCCGGACCGTCAAGGTCCTTCTCACAAAGCATGCCAATCCTAATCACCCCGGACCAGGAGATATTTATACTCCACTTTGGTATGCCGCGATGCATGCTCAAAGTGTTGAGAGTGTTCGTGCCCTCCTTGATCACGGCGCAGACCCGAATCACGAAATTCTCCGGCCTCCGTTGGTGTGTGAGATCTGCGCGTCATCGAACATCTGTCCTGAGAGAAAACTTGCCATACTTGATGTCCTCATCAGTAACATACAGCCTCTTAATATCCGACTCGAACGGAAAGACCGGCTTGATGTTGGCGGCCAATAAAGGGGACCTCCCCGTGGTCGAATGGCTTATTGCTCATAATGCCAATGCGGGTCCCACCACGAAACAGTCGCACAGCGCATTATATTTTGCCGTCATCAACGGCCACCAGCAGATTATCCAGCAACTACTCGCATACGGCTCTCCTATAAATACTGTGTTTGAGGCCGGAAATACATTGCTTCACTTGTCGATCAATGAAGGTGCTAAGCAAATAGGAATGCTGCTGGAGGCCGGTGCGGATCCAGAACTGGAGTCCGACGACGGTTTTACATGTCTTCATATAGCGATCTTCCAGAACAAGCCTGAGGTAGTTGCACAGCTGATTGACCAGAAAGTTGACATCAATCATTGCAACGGCCAGGGTTGGAGTCCGATACACTTGGCCTGTTACGTTACCGATCCCAATCCCGAGATAGTCAGGCTCCTCGCAGATGCTGGTGCCAGGTTGACGGATACTGTGGACTCTGGCTTCAGCCCTTTGCACCTAGCTGCTTCTAAAGGCGTTCCGAGTATAATAGCAGCTCTGTTAGAATTTCGGGGTGCCCTAGATATTGAACAGCATGACAATGATGGGCTAACACCACTCATGCAGGCTGTTGGAGGTGGTAACGTGGAATGTGTTCGACGGCTGTTACAAGCAGGTGCAAATATCAACGCGCAATCCGCGGAGGGTGTAACACCATTGATGTATTCTATGTGGCTCGAAGAGCCTGATGAGGTTGCAAGGTTGCTCCTTTCTCAAACGGACCTCGATATAACGCTTAGTTCTCCAAATTATGGTACAGTCTTACATATTGCTTGTCAGACTCAGAATCTTGCTGCAGTTATCAACCTCCTCGATAGGGGAGTGGATGTCAATCAGCAAGTACCAGGCACGTGGCCTACACCTCTCATGGCAGCCTGCAGCCCAAGTTATACCTCTGGTAGCTCTCGGAAAGACCGACTTCCTAAGGGCTACGAAGTCATTCGCACCTTAATAGACCACGGTGCGGAGGTGCATGCCATGTACAACACCGTCGTCTCCAACGCCATGTGTGCAGCTGCCCTGTATACAGGTCCCAGCATCATCCAGTACCTCATCAGCGAGGGTCTATCACTGAAAGAATCGAACTGCCTGGGGAGGCTTCCCATTCATTACGCCGCAGCCAATGGCCTGGATAATTTTGAAGCCGTCCTCCGTGGTGATAGCACTCTCCTCTCAGCTGCAGATAGTTCCGGTAAAACTGCTCTGCATTGGGCGGCTCAGTTCGGCCGCATCCAAACCGTTGAGAGGATCCTCGCTCATGTTTCCTCTCCAGAGGAACGGAAAAAGCTTTTGAACCAAGCCGACATTGATGGATGGACGGCCCTTAGCTGGGCTATTCGGCCTAACTACTCTGTCTACATTGGAGCATCTTCGGAACTCTGCAATCAAACCCGAACAATACAATTCTTGATCGAGAGTGGAGCAGAGGTGCCTAAAACCTGTCGCATGGGTCAAGAATATGAGGTCTTTACGTCACTGGAACTAGCACGGCTGCACAATGCTTCAAGCGAGATTATATGTCTTCTCCAGGAGGCAGACAGCACCCGTCGCACGGAGAAAAACATGTCCAGTCGCTCCATCCAACCATACAAAACGCAACGATATTTCTGCGATATCTGCCTGCAAGTGAGTCATTTTCTTCACATCCTCCCCGTTTCTCTCCATGCAAGCGGATGAATATAAAAAGCGTGTGGCTACTAAACTCATTGTGGGAAAATCCTGTAACTTAAAAGCTGACTTGCTTCCGACAGGACATGTGGGGTCCTGTGTGGCGGTGTCACGTCTGTCTAACATTCGACGTCTGTAAAAAGTGCTATGGACGAATCGATCTATACCATGGACACTTGACGGATGAGAATGGGGAACCACATAAATTCATGCTTCTTTATGAAGCAGCACCGGAGGTACAGGAAGACAAACCATCAGCCGAGTCCAGAGCTTCTCACGCGCCATCGGATAACGGTACGAGTGAACGCACGCATGACGCTGATATTAATCCTTCCCCTGGGAGTGAACAAGATAGTGATCGTACTGAGAATGTGGTGGACCAGGAGTTGGAGGATATTATGAACTTCTCGGTTGGAGATTATGACGAGGAGGATGGGGTGGATGGTGAACAGAGCCCTTGAGTGGATAGTCACGCCTTTTCCGGTGGTCTGGCCTTACACTCTATACAAGCATCTTGTAAGAGCGATCAAGTAAACAGTTCATGCTACTCATTGGCTTCTTTTTCATGACCTAGTCTAGACCTTCCTTATGGCCCAGATACTATAGAACTGACTGAACAATGGCAAAAGTGAGACAGCGAGCAAACAGGTGAATACTTCTAGATTCAGCTTCCTAGCCTTTCCCAAGTATAGCATCGCAGATCAGTGCAATCTATAAAAGATGGACATGTTTACAGGCTCGTTATAGAACCTCCCTACTCTTTGCTATCAGTGTTCCATATCCTGGGGGCCCAATTCAGGGACCAGAGTGCAGGTAGGTCGTTAACTCCGCAGAATACTACGATGTTTCATTATATCATATCATGCTTACTACTGGCCCTGAAGCCCAATTTTTATTTACTTTTGTATCTGCCCGCATATTGGACATTGTCTTCATCACCTTCTCCAACAGGGACATCCCCTTCGCGATAGGCCGAGCCTCACCAGCCACCATACAATATCTAGTTATCATCTTGACATTATACCTAGGAATCGGGTCAATTCCTAAGGTGTATTACATATTTAGTACAGAAAGAATGTGAAACGGACTGTGGGAATGCCCATATATACAATTTTGTACTCTCCTCGCTATATGATACAGGTTGTTTAAAAAATGTTTATAAATCAGACTGAACGAGGGACTACAGGCCAGCGACAATACTAACAAGAGTACTTATCATGCTGTAGCTTGATATTATTGATTTTACCACGATACTTTTGATTAGTGGGAAATAATGCATACTTTTACGAAAGCTCGTATGGCCTTGGCTGCGCGGTCTGGGGTCTAGATCTCAATCTTAGAATTTTTTTCAAGGCGTGTAAACCTAGTCTTTGACAGAGCCTAAACTGACCAATCCTTCCGAATTAATATAAAGATCACGTCAATTAATTTTGATCCCACTAGTCCAGTATTCAAGCTAGATAATTGGATTCTACATAACCCTGGATGACAGATCAGGTGACCACCGGGGAAATTAAGCAAGTGACAGCTTGTCTTATCCGCAAGATTTATCTTGGCTCTTCTCTGAAGTATAGGCTTCAGTCACTATACATATATTTTGTTAGTCGTTGTAATTGTACTCAGCCGGTACCAACCTCGACTATGTCATAAAAAAACCGAGACGGGAGTTCATTACTTATAGAAATAGCCCAGAACGAATTCATAGGATAAGACCTTAAAACTCCCATGCTGCTACTGCTACTACCAAAGATCATTCCTCTAGCATCCTAGGTCCTTAGACACTTGGTATTCCATATTCAAGCAACCTCAACCAAATAACCAGATGCCAGTCCTGATCATTAGCCATAGGGTCAGCTACATTAGCCGACTCATCGTCAACTGCCGAGGGAAAGACAAATGCACAAGTTGCCGACCCTCCAGAAAAGAAATTGACCATATTAGATCGGAGGATTTGAAGAGCTATCTGATCGGTTTGCTTGGTTCTGAGTTCCCGAGGAAGGCGAATAAGTGCTTGACTGGTCAGAGCGCTCCAGTAATGAGGAAACACGTCCCCCCACTGACGACGCAGGCCAAACCAATAATCATCCCAGTGGCGGTTTGCGATTTGGTAGAGCCGAGCATGTGGCTGTGGCCCGGAGAAGGCCATGAGCCAGTTAAGGCGCTCCTGTGTCTCGCTGAGCAGCGTCATGTTCCTCGTTAAATTATATGTGTCTGCAACCATCTCGACCAGAGGTTCCACGATGGACTGCTCATAGCTTACTTCAGATTCAGGGAGATCCCGGCCATCGTTCACGAAACTCATGGTTGTATCGACAAGTTTGCTTCTGTACGTAGCGCTTTCGTTGTAACGTCCGAGTTTGTCAAGGCTCTGGCAAAGCTCTAGGATGGCTTGCGAAAAGAAGATGATTGGCGCTTCCTGCACCTTTCCGACTTCGAATGCTCTGTTTAGTAGTGTGACTGCTGTGTCAATATTTGTGCTATTGCCAAGCCATTTGTACCGGTCGTTGAAAAACATCACAAGCCATATGGCGTCGTATGGTCTCTGAGTCTGGGAGCATCCGGTGCAACGCCAAGTATTGCCTTCAGCGTCAAATAAAGAGGTGCTGGCAAACTCGATCCAGTTTTTCAACGGAATGTCCACTAGTTCAGATGGAATATATCCGTGCATAGCTGCCAATTGAAGAAGCGTAGGCATGGCAATTCGCTCCGAGCCATCCCCCCAGTCGTCCCATGTGCTTGACACAATCGTAGTGAGGTTGTCAGTGTCAATGGCAACAAATGCAGCATCGAGAGGGGCTGAACGCTCCACCGGTCGCTGATGTTCTAGCATATAATGGGCCCTCTCTCGCACAACGGTTTCAAGCGGCAAGTGAAATGAAACCTCAGTTCGGGAATCGCCAATATCGACGTTATAGGTGCCCGGAGAACTTGCACTCAGTGTGTAGCCATCCCTACTCCTCTTAATCTTTAAATTTGAAGATGATGAGTTCGGTTCAATTTTCGAGTCGAGAGTGATCGCTTGGCCTAAAGGTGCAGAGTATGCCGAGAAAGTTGCTGGAGGATTCGTGGCTTCAATGAAATCACTGGCGTCATCATAGAAACCAATTTCCCACTCCAGAACGTATGAATCTCCCGGGTCAATGTGGACCACTGGTTGACCACCAAAACCTTGAGGGTCCCTCTTTTCGTCTGTGACTTGAAGAACTATGTGTCCCCGGACGTCAGAGCTGGAAGATGTCTCCAGAGAATAACTCCATAAGTGGCCCTTTCGCACAATGAGACCTAGTGATCGGCCCTCGCCTGACATAGGCTCAGCTAAGGCCCATGCCCATGCACCGCCGGTGAAAATGTGGGCATTGACGGCAGATGTCAGAGACCAGAGGGCTGTGTCATATAGGTCGTTAAAGGGAGTCTGTATGTATATCCCTGTCGCCGCGATCCTTTCAGGAGATGTATTCTCGAAGGTGTACGTTTCCGTGAGGACCTGCCCAGGGGACCGTGTGATTTTCAGTTGTAGGCCATCATTGAGGGGGATGTTGTAAGGTCCACTAAAGTTGTTGTAAGGTATGTAGTCCAGATTCCAGGACGCCTCTCCAGAGTCGGTCGAGATAGTTCCTGCTCCCCATGCATGACTGCGGGTGTGGAATGTCGCTGTTGTTTGATTCAATAGGAACTCTCGTTCAGGATTAGCCCCATCAATGAATTGAACAATTGCGCTGGAATTCGAGTACAAGAGGGCATGTCCGGATGAGAAGTCATAAGAATGATTGGACGCCTCAGTAATGACACACATAGGAATAACGGCAAGGAAATATAGTAATAACCACATTTTGTACCTCTATGTAACCAAGTATAGGGCCTCCGATGTACCTTGTGATATTCGAAATATCTTCCTTATAAGGGTCTCTCACCCGAAACAGCTCGGACTCAATTAGACCGACGGCTTCCTGGCTTTCACTTTCAGAAGAGGGGGTGTGGAGGTTGGCAAATAGCCTCAACCGGGAATTCCGACTGTATCCACATTCCCCGGCTAATTAAATACTTGCCGAGTCAGACTGTATATTATACTTTCTGATTCAAGTACTGTCAAAAACAGAATAGGTTTAGTTTCCGCATCCAACTGTCAGAATATGGGCTGCCGTGCCTGTCATTGCCCGATTGAGCAGTAGTGTAGTATGTCATGATATTCTAAATTGTTGCGGGTCAGACTGATGCATTCCAGACACAAGAGACCAATGGAAGTGCTTCTAAATAGTACTATGGGCTATGACACAGAGACTAAAAGATATCCCTCTATTCGGCCAAACGTTGTCCCAAGCGAAGGCCGCAGGTGCATGCCGTCGCATGATATGATTCGTGGGCAGCCCTCCAGGTACGAGAGTACTTGAGTTCTAGCGGCACAAGTGCTGAATTATGGGGCTTGCCAGATCCGAGAGCTCCGGGCAACTGGCGAGTTGTCTAGTTGTGCAGAGGAGGCGACTGGTTACCGTCATTATTCTTGGATTTCAGGATCATCAGAGCCATGCTCACCAGCCAGTTGCCGAGGCCCAGTAAGAACTACGATTTTGCTAAGGTGACACAACTAGTCTTAATCCGATAGTAGAGCCAAGGATTATAATGGGCTGAATCTGTTGTATAGGCCTAGTTTTGGAGGATTCGTGGCTTCCCACCTGGCTTTCTACAACAACAAAACCAAGACTCCAGACCCACAAGCTTCATATGGCAATGATTGCGGGGTTTCCTTTCGGCATCAGTATACAAAGAAAGTCTAATCACTGGATCCAGTAGTTTAAAATTGTCTATTCCTGCTCAATACGAGATATTCCCGAAACAAGAGGTGGCTTGGTTGGCTCGGGAGCTTAATCGGTCCCTGTCTTTTGAGTGACTCCGCGATCCGCCAGCAGACACGCCTTTGTATCTAGTGGTAGGCCGGGTCATCAACCTAGAAGAATATGTTGCGAGAGGGCCAAGTATGGTACAATATTCGGCCATGGCGGAATCGGGATTCTTCGAATGGCTGCTGACACATCCACCGCTGTGTGTCTGGCTACAATGACAAGATAATGATGACACGGGAATACGAACAAGGGCGTCGTTAGATTAAAGTATCGCAATGCTTTCAAGTCTTGGCCTCGTACTGGTACTGCATGCGGCTTGATACTGGAGTTAGATGATATGAGCTTCTTGTAAAAAAAACCCAATCTATGAGATCTGGGTCACTTATTCGGAGTCACTTTTCGGGCTACAGTCAGCTGTTCTTGACTGTTGAGTTTCTCCACGAACTTAACGTCCAAAGTGTTACGGTTGGCATTCGGTCTGTGGCCCACGACTATACAACTTCTGTTAAAGGACCAGTAACATACCGATTATTGAAGGTTAGAGTATCGGGTGTCCGATGGCAAATAGAGTCTAGACTGTGCCGACTTCATTTGAACAGTAGTGTCTGGAAGCATTCGCTTTGATTCCCATTCTTCCTGCAAAGCTAGTAGTACGCAAGAGTAAGATATAAATAAAGTCCTCATCACCCACGAGACCCTCATTTGAACAGAATACATTGCTACTCATTCAAACTGGATCACACAGGAAAATTCTGGTGCGGAACTCCAACAACCCCTAGATCAATCACCATGCCTGACATCCGCGGCGCCACCCTCACCCCCTCAACTTCCAAGGCCGACTACCTTGAAGCCTTGAAGGAGGCTGTCGGCCCAGGAGGCCTGAGAACTCTCCCCCCTGATAGTGTCGATAGCCCCGAACTGCAGGATTTCCGTCGCTCCCTAGCCAATTCGCTTGCAACCGCACCCGGACGGTATACCTGTTCATCCGAGAAGCCTCTACCGGTGACCATCCGAGGCATCAACAACCGCGCCACGCTTCAAGGTGGATTTGGGGGAGTTATCCCACGCTGGAAACCCGACAATCCACCCCAAAGCATCAACTTCGCTGCATTCGAAAACGGGTACCCGCGCCCTGGTCTGGCGCTACTCGCCGCGAATGCGCTCAGAGACGCCGCAAATGACTGGAACGAGCTTGACCTGGGCGTGAAGTTCCAGTGGGTACAGGATATTGAGAAAGCATCCTTCGTTCTGTCCTATGCGGGGAACCAGGGGGATGTGCTCGCAGAGGCATTCTTCCCGAATGAGGATGACCTCAGTTATCTAAATGTGTATTCCTCTGCATTCCAACCGGGTACAGTGCAGTATTTGAGGAATATCTTCCTACATGAGCTCGGGCACGTATTGGGATTCAGACATGAGTTCGCGCCGGAGCTCGAGGATAACAAGGATGATTTTACTGTTCAATTTGGTCCTCGGAATCCGCTGTCGGTGATGGGTTATGAATTTCCACCACGGCTTCAGACAACTGATAGGGATAGTGCTGAGGCTTTCTATAAGTTTCCTGGAAGTCATCTTGGATGGAAGGAGGCGCGGGCTCCTAAGGAAAAGAGGAGGAAGTTGCCAATTAAGGATTGTACGGCCAGATGAGTTCATGGCCTGGAAATGGCGAAAAGTTGTTTCCTTTGTATCTATTCGGTAGTTATCCATAGTATGAATGCAATTGCCGATGATTCACTTGACTTATATATCATGGTGGTTCAATTTTTTTGTGCATTTTTGACTTTGGCATGGAGATGTCTGTACGCGGTGGCTGTCGGAAAGTATACTGAGCTAGTCCAGGAGACATATCTTGATGGTTCAAGTGTGGGTGGGCTTCGTTATTCCTTCCCTGTGTCTCTCCTATCCACACCGCTATCTGTGTCTCAGTAGGAAGCCTGGGAGCACCGAGTGCAAAGTACACTGTTTACCTCGCAATGGTACTTAAGATAATTTCCCTCTGCTACCGGAACTGCCGCCTCATCAGGTTGTATAGAAGTAGTAGGTATGGGTTCTCTGGCCTGTCATCCATGTGATAAAGAGTAAAGAGGCGATGTACTAGTGAATCGCCAACTGCATGCACCTATAGGAGCGTTTCGGGCGACGAAGGACACATAATGATCTCAACGTCTATCGACTAGCTCTGTTGGCTATCTCAATGTTATTCTGGGTATTGGGGTTGTCTTGGCGTGTCGCAGTAACACTCCGGAGGACGTGGATGCATCTACCCGTTGATAGTAGTTATTTTTAGCTTAGAAAACAGATTCTCGCAGACGTTATCTATGGGGGCTTCTAACAGATGTACATCAGAGCACGGATTATTTAGCGTCTCTTTTGGTGATCGATAAGAGACACGATCACGCGAGCGATATTTATAGAAAGTCCGGTTTCACTGTTATAGGTTAGTTTGACTCTCTGTAGCGTCTCCAGCCACGATGTCGCCATGCCGCGAGGCTAAATAGACATGAGCCAATGAGTAGGATGACAGACTATGATCATTATCATCAGCCGTTGAGATGAAGCTAATGATTGGTTTGAGCTCTAAATTGACTAGGTGCTATCCTGGATGCAGGTGAGCTATCCCTAGCCGCCGACCGATGTAGGTGTGGAGTCGAGACCCTCGTCATGATTCAGGGATATTGGAATCAGCGACTAAAAGAGAGATACTTGTTTCACAATGGCATCTCGATATTCTGGTGCACGGAATCTTGCAGAGTTGTGCAAAGTGGAGAAGATAAGCTGGTGGAGCAGCCGGCCGACCACCACGGTCGAGGCAGGTGTCACCCCAGTCCTTCCCATCCATCAACATTTTCATTGAGTTCCCTGTCAGACGTTTGTCAAAGATCTCTTTCACCGCATGAGAGCAGAAGATAGGGGGAAAGACCCACTATTTTGCACTCTCGTGCCCAAAACCCGGTTTTTGACACCCCCGCATGGGTAAGGGATGTGGCGAAGGGGGTTGTAACATCCAGAAGTTTCGACTGGCGCCCGCACTACCACTTACTTAACCTCATCCACAACCACCCACGGAATCTTCTACCCGTGTCTTCCCGCGACAACCCTTGAACCACAGGCGTATCAATGTCTTTGGTGCAGCACGTTTCTGCCATCAAAGGTGTAGATCGAGAGCCTGAACCCCAGGATGATAGCACCATTGCGACCGCCGTGACGGGTGAGCCATTGACTGCGATCCATCGCAAGATCAGCTACGACATCCTCCAGCCTCCACCCGCCCCGGTCGAGGTCGCTGGAACCCCTGCCTACAAGGTTTCAACGGCAAAGCGACTGGGTAAGTCAATTGAGTTTATTTAAATATGCAGGATCCTTCTGACTCGTTCTAGCCCAGGTTATCGTTACTATACTTGCGTGTTGGTTCGCGGCAGGCGTGGTCTTCGGTTTTGCTGCCTTGAAGCCGGTTTTAGTCGCAGAAGGTGTCTATCGAGATCTGTGTACAGCGGACGAATTACGCGATGGGGTAGAAGTTTGCTCCGAACAAGATCTAAGGTGGGTCTCTTAAGTCTGATCCAGTTGAGCTAGTATTGACTTTTCGCAGGTTGAACCTATTCTTTACCATCGGCTCCATCACAGCCAATGTGTCTGCCCTTCCGGTCGGCACTATCCTCGATCGCTATGGATCACGTATATGTGGCTTTGCGGGCTGCCTGCTCCTTGCGCTGGGTAGCTCGCTGATGGCATACTCCTTCTCCCAGCCACAGTTCGATGGCTATATGGCGGGGAATTTCTTCCTCGCACTGGGAGGTACATTTATCTTTGTACCTTCTTTCCAGATCGCGAACGCATTTCCCAAGTATGCAGGTACGATCGTTGCTCTGGTTACTGGCGCTTTCGATGCCTCGGCAGCAGTGTACCTGTTTTATCGTATTGTCTATGAGGCGACTGGTGGATCGTTTGACCCTAGAAAGTTCTTCTTGGGCTATACTATCGTACCTGGCCTCATCCTAGTTGCATTGATTACTCTCATGCCGTCTCGTGACTATCAGGGAACGCATGAACTCGAAGTGAAAATTGAAAAGGCGGAAGATGCTACCCGTGATATCCATGACTCGGACGACGACATCGAGAGCGACACGGAGCTACGACGTGTCCGGAGTGAGCGCGCTGAGCGGCGTCGAAACAAGATGCGCAAAATTGCCAAGGTACTGGGCGACGAAGACGAGCGGAAAGAACGGGAGCAACGAGAAGAGGATCGCCATGCTGCAAGCGCCGTCTGGGGGGCGCTCCACGGTCAGCCTGCCCACAAGCAGATGGCCACGCCGTGGTTCATCTTGATTACCTTGATGACAGTCTTGCAGATGTTGCGGATGAACTACTTCATTGCCACCATTCGCGCTCAGTACGCGTATATGCTCGACTCGGATGAACTAGCTGTTCAGATCAACAGCTTCTTCGATGTTGCTTTGCCTGTGGGCGGTATTATTTCCACGCCATTCGTGGGGCTCCTGCTTGATCACGTCAGTGTACCCGCTGTACTGGCTATAATTGTGGTTCTGACGACGGTGATTGGTATCCTTAACTCCATACCCGTCCTCTGGACCGGATATGTGACTGTCACGTTGTTTGTTTTGCTGCGACCACTCTACTACTCGGCCATGTCGTAAGTACACCCAGCCAATTTTATACTGAATAACTGCTTACTGTTTCAATTAGTGACTACGCAACGAAGGTATTCGGATTTGCCACTTTTGGCCGAGTCTATGGGACCATCATCTGCGTGTCGGGAATGGTCAACTTTGCCCAGTATGGGTTGGATGCGTTGACTCATGGCCCCTTTGACGGGAATCCCATTCCGATCAACAGTTTCTTCGCCGTAGCTGGCTTTGTGGTGGGAACTGCGCTGGTATCGTTTGTGTATGTGGCCGGGCGGCGGCTGCGGGCACGGGAGCAAGAACTGGAGGAGGATGAAGAACGACAGCGGTTGATTCGGGAGGAGAGTGAGGAAGAAGACTACGAAGATTGATTGCAGGGTTGTTAATACGTCTATGTCTCATAGTTCCTGATGGATACACAGTGGCGTATGGTGCACGGTGTACATGGCGCATGCTTATTCTTCCATGAGCTTGCAGCGGCTATAGCGGTAGATTGTGTTCATAGCGGGTACGATACTAATAGCCTATTATAATGAAAAGCACAAAAGTACAGCCTGCTCCACGGATTGAACTGCGAACTACTTTGACTAGAGGATCATACGATGGGGAAGCATGGTTCGATTAAGGTTTGGATCCGTCAGTATATTTCTGCTGCCTTGATGGCATGTAGGATGACATACTATCGCTTTCATTGCCAGGAAAAGAGTAACTATAGCAATAAACTTTTCTTGCAATACAATAATTTCGCTCTCTTTACTTTCTTTCTGCTTGCTTAATTCCTCTCTCATCTTCCACAACTACTTCGTTGTAGGTTTCAAGTATTTACAGTATCTCACCACTCTTGGCAAGCAGCAGACACATCCGCCTGACCAGATCAATCCACGTCAGATGTCCCCATCATCCTATTGATCAGATGGATTCACACCCATAATACTGTAGTACTTTGTGTAATCTTAATATTCCATGTCATAAGAATAAGTAGCCACAAGTATAATCTGCACCTCCAAATACCTGCTCCGTTCCTGCCCTGCCGGCGTCGTCATCATGACGTAGCCGTCCGGCGGCCCGCGCTCCACACCAACCATACAACTTCTACTCTACTAGTACTTACTTACTCTTACGCTTCATCCTCATTCTTTTTCTTTTGTGTACATTCCTAATTCTTAATATACATAGCTGCTAAAGCATCACTCCATCATGGCCTCCATATCCATCAACGCCCCCGGCGCAACCGGCTTCATCTACAACAACGCCAACCTAGGCACCGCCCGCGTATGCATCTCCGCCGAGACCCCCGACTTCGATACCGAGACGCTGCGCGCCTGGGCAGACGAGGGCTTCGATGTCGTCTATGCGCCGTACAACAATGGAGGGAAGGAGTACGAGGCACGGTTGAAGTCCGTGAAGGAGGGGTTGGGCGTGGGGGATAATTATGCTGTTATTGGTAAATACACCCATGGATTAGAAATGGGCGGTGGTTATATGCTAACATGATGGGTGGTAGCATTCGGTGATGCCGCTTCCTACTGCCTCGACTACTACCTCAAATCAACAAACTGCAGCCGTCTGGCCGCTCTCATTGCATACTACCCCACTACGATCCCCGATACGCGATCGCGATTCCCCTTTTCGGTGCGCGTGTTGACGCATCTTGCTGGAGATACAGTGGACGTGGTGACCATCCCTACGGTTATTGGATTGCAAGGGAAGAAACATCGCTCGACGAAGCAGATCACCCCCGGTATCGGGACGGGAGAGAGGCTGCAGATCGGGTGGCCGGCGTTTACGTATGAGTCGGCGCAGCCGGGGTTTGCGGAGCATGATCTGGAGGAGTTCGATCGGTTGGCGTCGGATTTGGCGTTTAGTCGTACGCTGCAGGTGCTGAGGAAGGCGTTTGGCAAGGATTTGGATTTGGAGAATAGGTGGGAGGAACAGCTTGAGGGTGAGCATACCTTTATACTCAATCAATACATGTTGGGCGTCAGATGCTAATTGTATCAGCGCGTTTCTTCTCCATGAATCTTAGTGGTACAATGGAGCCTTATGTCGGTCACCTCAACCCCACACTCACTTGTACACCAACCATGAGCGGTGGTATCGGAACCCATGCGCTGCGTCGCTTCTACGAGCAGAACTTCCTGCGCAAGTTGCCTCCGTCTATGCGTCTGCGGTTGATTTCTCGGACTGTTGGGGCGGATCGTATTGTTGATGAGCTGTATGCGACGTTTGAACATACCCAGGAGATACCCTGGATGCTACCTGGTGTTCCGCCGACGAATCGTCACGTGGAAATAGTCCTAGTCAGCATTGTCAGTCTGCGCGGGGGAAGGCTGTACTCGGAACACATGTACTGGGATCAAGCCAGTGTATTGGTGCAGGTCGGACTGCTGGATCCGAAGTACATACCAGAGGGAGCACCACAGGGCGTGGACCGCTTGCCAGTCATTGGACGCGAGGCAGCCAGACGCATCGTCGAGGAAGACCCCGAGGCCGAAGGCCGGGATTACCACAATCGGTTGATCCGGCGGGCAAAGGCTAAGCGGGGAAAGGATAAGCCGGTGGAGGAGTCGGGGACGGAGCTGGCGAAGAGTGATACGGAGAAGGTGGAGAGTAAGCCAGCTGGGGAGAGTAAGGGGAAGACGGTGCAGAGGGAGCAGAATGGTAATGGGGCGGATGCATTGGAGAATCATGGAGTGGAGGAGAATGAGAAAGATGGGGAGAAGAAGAATGGCGAGGATGCGAATGGCGAGGAAAAGAAGCCAGTTAATCCGGCTGCTGCCACGGTGGAGGACACGAAAAGCGATGAATGAGCGTGTGCGTACGTGCGTGTATACCCTGGATAGTATGATTGAGTGTTTTGTTGTGTATTTAGCTTGCATTGTTTGCTCACTTCGATGTCAATGGTATTATCATATCAATAGCATTCACCTTACCCCTACACTACATTAGTACTACTACTATATAACTTAATGATCATATATCACCACCCCTTCCAAGGAACCCACGTCTCCCGAACCACATCCTCCCCATCCACAACATAATACACGAAATGCTGCGCCGCCGTAATACACGCATGCTGACAATGCAACATGACCTTTTGTCCCACATGAAACACATCCTCCACTTTCTTCCCCTCACCCTCTGATTCTCCGTTCAATAATCCCAAAATCCCATGCTCCTGCGACATCCTCACCACCCCCCACTCGGGCTTGTCGACTAGCCTCCCGAATCCCGGTACCGCGCTCGTCTCCTTGGAGAGCGCCACCGTGCCGGCGTTAATCAGCGCCTCGTTGCGACGCGGATACACGCTGCATACTTCGGCTAGCACGCGGACAGCCAAGTCGGCCGGGGTGATTAGATCTGTGCTGAGTTGTTGGAGGTCGTTGGTTGGGTAATTTCCTATGCCAGTATCATTAGCATCGCAATATCCCACGGGGTCTGGACATGTAGGGGGAGGGGGTAGACCATACCAGCGTGAACTTCCACGTCCATATCCACGGCACTATTCACGTTTCTCTCTTCAGTTAGGTATTGTTTAACTTGTCGGACAACATGCGCCGTAGGAGTTGAGCCAATTGAGAGGATTATCTTCCTCTTCTTCTCCCCTTTACCCTCACTATTAATGAGCTTGACAGCCCGCAACACACCTCCAACCTCACTCCCCAACACCCTCCCCGCCTCTTCCTCGCCCTTTGAGGAATACGAATGCCCCGCGTGACAGTAGAATCCATACAATTCCACCGCGCTACTCCCCTCCACGGCGTTCACTAATTCCTCAAGCTCGGGCCCAGAATCTGGGGAATAGACGTCCACGCCTGCGCGACGCGATCCGACGTCTAACTTGATGAAGACCGGCCAGGGACGAACATCCGGGGTAGATTTATTGAATGCTTCGATGATGGGGATGTGTTGGGGTGAGTCGACCATTATGAGGATGTTGAGGGTGGGGTGGGATTGTCGTATGGAGTGTAGGTGAGGGAGGGCGGAGGGGTAGATTGGGAGGCCGTAGAGGGCCTTTATTTTCTCTTTTAGTGATGGGGTGGTATATTGGGGTTAGTGGGGAAGGGATGTACCTCGTTGAGGATACCCTCCTCTGCTAAGGGGAGCACGCCGCGGAGTTCGCTGAGGGTGGAAGCGATGAGGCCGCGGTGGAGGCCGTTGGCGAGTATGAGGCGGGTTATTTCGAGGGTCTATTTTGTTCGTGTTGGTTTGTGATTTTGGGTGAATGTGGTTGGGTAGAGAATGGAAGTGGCTAGTGGGGTACCTTTAATGTCTTTACATGGGGACGAAAGGATAGTCCTAGCTCTTGTACATCTTGTTGTAAGCGGTTGATGTTTTTCTCCAGCACGGGTTTGCTGAGGATCAAAGATGGGGTTGGGAGGTCGCTAGCTGGACGGCCGATGAAGGACGCGTGGGATTGGAGGGAGAAGTCCATTTCGGCAGTACTATTATAGTTGAAGATGTGAGAATTGGGTGCAATTGAGTGTATAGGAGCAGCTGTAGGTGGGTTGTGCCTGACTCTTATAAAGTTTTGGCTGGGGATGTGGATGGGATGTGGGGCCAACTTATCAGCTGCCGATAGGAAATCCGCATTAACTCCGCTCACTACAGCTGCTACGTGAACAAGGCAATTGGTAAATGCAAATAATGAACTTGATCTATACAAAGGTATCTATACAGTCTCGATATAACGCTTAAACTCCCTATAACTCAGTCAGCAATTAGTCAATAGAAGGGTGGAAAGCAAAGGACTTACCAATCCGTAACCGCCTCTCTCCATACCCTCAACTCATGCTCTCTCGTTGCCGTGAAAAAGTCCACAAACTCCGGATCCAGAATCTCCCTCGCAACACTCCCCTTGTCACTAAACCTCTTCAGGGCCTCCTCCAATGTATTCGGCAGCAATTCCGCCTTGATCTTCTCCGCCTTTTGCACATTCACTGGCGGCACCTTAATATCCAACTTCTTCTCCACGCCCCTCCATCCCGCCGCCAGAATCACACTAAGCGCATAATGCGGGTGCAAATCCGCGCCAGGGATCCGCACTTCGAATCGCGTCGCTCCCGGCTTGCACACCGGCGGCGTGATAATTCTTACCGAGGCCATGCGGTCCTCCAATCCCCAGCTGATATTCACCGGCGCCCAGAAGTTCTCCACCAGCCGCTTGTACGAGTTAATGGTGGGCGCGAATAGCGGCATGATGTCCGGAAGCGCTTCCAACACGCCTGCGAGGAAGTGTCGGCCCAGGTCGGACAATCCGGCTGCGTCGGACCAGGGGGAATTGGGATCGGGAGTGTCGCGCGCGAAGAGGTTCTTGCCCTCTAGATCGGTGAGGGAGACGTGGATGTGACCCGAGCTGCCGGGTTGGCCTTGCATGGGCTTGGCCATGAAGCAGGGCGTGATGCCGTGTTCGAGTCCGATGGATTTTGCGAGGAGTCTGTTCGTTAGTTTGTCTATACAGAACTAATAGATATGTAGTGGACATACTTGAATAGAGACACCTTGTCGGCCATGTCGCTGACATCGCATACTTTCAATGCCTGATTTGGTTAGCTCAGCGCGGTCCGCGCACTCAATTGAAGCCAACTCACCGCTTCATAGACTCCCGGTCCACCCTCAGTGTGCCATCCCTCAATGCCGCAGTTGAACCGCGCGCTGGTATCGAAGATATCATAGAAATATTTCTTGTATGCCACGGGTCGCGTCGCGCTGTAGGAGAAGCTGCCTGCAGTCAAGGGGCGCAGCGCACCGGGGGCATTCTTATCGAGAAAGGCGGCGATATCGCGGGTTTGGGAGCCATTGGCGCCGTATCCGTCTTCGGAGGGGGTCTGGAAGTTCATGAACTCCAATTCCACTACATACGTCAGCTAAACTTGCACCCATGACATCTTCTCTATCTTGGGGGTGTGGCTAACCTCCCGCCATTCCCTTGCAGCTATTCGCCGCCAACTTATCGCAAATCGACCTCAACATGCTCCTCCCATCGGCCGAAACCGGCTTATCGTTCTGCACGAACCTTACCAGGAAGAAAGGAATATCATCTTCCCAGGGTATACGACGGAAGGAGTTCAAATCCGGCACCGCCAGAAAATCCACGTATCCTGAGTCGGCCGGCGCAATGTTCGCCTCCGTGGTGTAGAGCACGTCCTGCATGTCCCACCCGAACACGGCGGAGCTGAAGCCGAATCCCTTTTGCGCAATGCCTAGGAACTTCTCCTTGGCCATGACCTTGCCGCGAAGGATGCCGTCGCAGTCGACGCCGGCGACTTTGACTTTGATGTCATTGGCGAGGAGGTTAGGGAGGTCCTCTGCTGTGATTGTCGTAGCCATTGTGGATGATGTGCAAGTGTAGAATTAAGGTGATGATTGTAAGGGAGCGTAGGACGGGGGCATTTCTTGGAATTGTTGCTACTTAAAGGTGCTCTGGAAGCTGGGTTGGGAACTAGCGAGGGTCTACGTCGTCGCTGGTCGATCGCCATGATTGCGACGGCATAGCGCGCCGTCGGGTCCGGTGGTCGGTAACGTATTTCTATAGAGTAATTTGAAGCTAATGGGAATCAGTTGGTCTCCAATTTGGGACTTAGTATAGACTACCACTGGTTGGGACGAGCGGCGGCACGAGGCGGTTCCGATCGGAGCGCGCTGCGGGGACTCTGGGACCGCGCTTATCTTATCGCTGAGGGGAGAGGGGTAATTTTACTCCGCGCGGACAGACACAGACTGTTTTTGCTTAGGGAATGAGTTTAGAATAGCATTTCCATTCGGTTTCGCGGTCAGTTAGCTGCAATGAGTAGTTAGGTATACAGATACCGCGGGCAATTACATCCATTGCAACAGAACGCGGTTACGCCAGGCGGTAAACATATACTTGTAGTAAAACTGTAGAATATCATAGCGAACACCTTCCCCAGTAGTGTCACATTCACATCTCCAACATCACCAGTACACTACATAGCAACATGTCGCAATCCCTCCGCATAGCCATCCTCGAATGCGATACTCCCATCGACCCCATCAAAGCCAAATACGGTCCCTACGGCGACATCTTCGAATCCCACCTCAAGGAGGGTCTCACGCGCATCAACGCAAATGTCTCGCTGCAATTGTCCAAGATCAATGTGGTCCAACCGTTTGCGGAGTATCCTAAGCCAGAGGACTTTGATGCTGTCCTCTTGACTGGCAGCAGTATGTGCTCCCCAACCCATCATCAGCCATGATTATCGCTAAAATAGTCAATTGCAGAGCACGATTCCTACAAAGATGTATCCTGGATCCTCACCCTCACCAGATTCGTTCAAGACTGCTACCACATCTACCAAAAACCCGTGATTGGAATTTGTTTCGGCCACCAGATTATTGCGCGTGCGTTGGGAGCCCGCGTCGGTCCGAATGTGTCGGGGTGGGAGGTGGCGGTTGAGTCTGTCGATTTGACTAGTGCTGGGAAGCGACTCCTGGGAAGAGATACTTTGGTACGCTTTTTTCCCTTGAAGTTACGAGTTGTACTTGTGGAGAGACGGTTGAAGCTGACTGCTATTTTCACTGCTGCAGGCCATACATATGATGCACCGCGATATTGTCTACGAAGTTCCGCCGGGATGCGTCAATCTGGGCGCCACATTGATTTGTGGTATTCAGGGGCTATATGTTCCCAAGCGCATTCTTTGTGTTCAGGGTCATCCGGAGTATAATGAGTTTATGGTGTCGGAGTTGTTGAAGCTAAGGCGGGGGATGCTGGGAGAGGTGGTGTATGAGGATGGGATGGCGCGGGTGGGGAGAGAGCATGACGGGTTGGTATTCTGTGAGACAATGTGTCGTTTTGCTTTGGGGATATTAGAATAATCGAAACAACGCGAGAACAATCATTATTGTGTTGATTGATTGTGGATGCTGTGATGGTCTCCCACCCACGAAAATTGGAGAAGGCCCACCGCGGGACCGCGCTCCACCAGACCGCGCCACTTGGTCGCCGAGATACGCACAGCTCTCTCTTTCTTATCGTCGATTATAAGAAGTACCCCTCATTAATTATCTACAATCCCTCACTCCTACCCCATACACACACCACTCCCATCTAAACCCCCTGCATCATGTCGAACGCAATTCGCACTCTCTCCCCCTCCACCAACAAGGTCATCTTCGAGCACCCCGGCCTGTCGCTCGAAGAGGCCCGTCAGATCGCCCAAGCCTCGCAAGATGCCTTCCGCACATACAAACAGACCACGCTGGCTCAGCGCAAGGAAATCGTCCTCAAGGCTTTGGACTTGATCGCTGCCAACAAAGACACTCTTGCAGAGGAATTGACCACCCAGATGGGCCGTCCCATCGCCTTTAGCGCCAAAGAAATCGAGACCTTTCGCAAGCGCGGAGACCACATCCTCAGCATCGCAGAGGAAAGCCTCAAATCTCTCCCTGGCACGCCCGAAAACGGCTTCAGGCGTTTCCTGAAGAAGGAGCCGGTCGGACCGACTCTGATCATCACCGCATGGAACGTAAGCTTCTACCCTCCCCTCATAGCTATACTCAACATTACTAACGACATCAGTTCCCCTACCTCGTCACTATTAACGCCCTCGTTCCCGCCCTCCTCGCCGGAAACACCGTCCTCCTCCGCCCATCCCCTCAGACGCCTATCTTTGGCGAACGTCTCCTCACCTACTTCACCCAAGCCGGTCTCCCTCCCAACGTCCTCCAGCTCGTCCACGTCGGCTCTCCCGACGTGCTCGACCAGATCGTCCAACTGCCCCAGATCCAGCTCATCTCATTCACCGGCTCTACAACTGGCGGTTTCCGCATCCGCGAAGCAGTCGCTCGCAGAATTGTCTCCGTCAACCTTGAACTCGGCGGAAATGATCCCGCTTATGTCCGTCCCGACGCGGACATCCCCTACGTGGCTGCACAGCTTGTGGACGGCGCAGTCTTTAACTCGGGCCAGAGCTGCTGCGCTGTGGAGAGAGTGTACGTGCACGCAGACGTACATGATAAGTTTGTGGAGGAGGTGCAGAAGGAGCTGGCTACGTGAGTGCCTTAACATTCTCTTAAACAAATAGATGTGATCCTAACGCGACGGAATGAAGATACAAGCTCGGCTCTCCCCACGACAAGTCCACCACCACCGGCCCGGTGATCTCCCAAGCATCCCTCAAGAACATCCAATCGCACATCGATGATGCCCTGTCCAAGGGAGCCGTCAACGCCACGCCCAAGAACCCCACGTTCGAGAACACCCCCGCGGAGGGCAACTACCAGGTTCCTACTGTCCTGACCAACGTGACTCACGATATGGTGGTGATGAGGGAGGAGACGTTCGGTCCTGTCATGCCGATTATGAAGGTTTCTTCGGACGATGAGGCGGTCGCTCTGATGAATGACAGTGACTTCGGTCTTACGGCTAGTGTCTGGACCAAGGATATCGCCAAGGGAGAGGAGTTGATTGAGCAGTTGGATGCGGGAACGGTGTATATTAACCGTTGCGATTACCCAAGCCCGGTATGTTCTTCTCCTCTATCTACTGACGGGAAGTTTTGTAAGGGTTGCTAATATTTCGCTAGGATCTCGCCTGGATCGGCTGGAAGAACTCGGGTCTTGGATGTACATTGGGGCCTGAGGGGTTCAATGCGTTCTACAAGTTGAAGAGTTTCCACATCAAGGAGCAGCAGGCATAGATGATTGTTTCATGAGTTGTACAGCTTAATTGATATTGAATGATGATAATACCTTGGCAAAATCTTAAATACTTCGTGACCTTCAACCCGTGTAGCACACCACACCAGCAGTAGACCCGTACTCAATTAAATGTTATAAATTCCATTCAACCTCAACTATCTATCTATACACCAGTAATAGTAAGAATTACGGAACACTACATTTTCCACAAGTAACCAAGAACATACCCCCCTCATCCCCCAGTAATAAAAAAAAATACCACCATTGCTTCATCCCGAAACCCTTCCACCCATCTCACTAATTAGTACTTTTTACCATTAGAACGAAACCATACGTCCAATATGCAAATCTATACAGCAAGCGCAGCTATATTTTTCATCCCCAACCAGAAAATAAATGGCCTTGGCATCCGTTCCTCCATCCGCAAAGCCCAGACTGAGGGGGGAGAGCTGAGCTGAGAGCTACCGCGGTCCCGGACCGCGGGGGTCCTTACTTTAGCCCGCCCCACCCCACCATCCCACCGCTTATCAGCCAGCTTATCGGGCGCGCTTGCGCTTCCGACGCCGGCGGATAGATAGATAGACAACTTACACAGCCAAGCAAGTGGAGCGGACCCAGCTATCTGCTGTTGCTAACGGCGGTGAAAGTGATGAGCTGGACTGATGTTTGCCGAGGGAAGGAGGGGTAGCTATGGAACTAGCTAGCTTATTCCATTAGGTAACTGGTTATGGAGCAAGGGGTAAGTTCAAGTTACTTATAACCCGTGGCCGGTTCACTCTCTTGATTATTATCTGTTCAATTATTATTCTACTCTTCAGTTTTTTATTGTAAAGACATATACATACATACATACAATTGTCTCATAATCTAGCACAATGGTTGGACGACTTGCTGGAAAGAATGCTCTCGTTACTGGTGCTGCGGGGTATTTCTCCCTCTCTGTTTCCTTCTTTGTCTGAGAATGTTTGCAATTGGGAGTGGATATGTAAAAAAGAAAGCAAGAAGCTGACAATACTATTTCCATATGCAGTGGCATCGGTCTCGAAACTACCATCCTTATGCTCCGCGAAGGCGCCTCCGTCCTGATGACCGACATCAGTGGCCCCGGGCTCGAAAAGGCCCTGAACAAAGTGAACGAGGTCGTGCCCGAACGCTCCGGTAAAGTGGAGACCCGCGTGGTCGATGTCTCCAAGGAAGCCGAGGTGGAAGCTGCCGTGGCGCATCTGGATGCCTGGGGTGGATTGGATGTGATTTTCAACAACGCGGGCATCATGCATGCCAAGGATGGCGACTCGGAGGAGACTCCCGAGGCGATCTGGGACTTGACCATGAACATCAACGTCAAGGGCGTGTGGTATGGATGCAAGCATGCGGTGAAGAGTCTGAGGAAGCATGGCAAGAAGAAGGGAAGCGTTATCAACACGGCCAGTATGGTCGCTTTGGTCGGTGCTGCTACGCCCCAGCTGGCGTATACCGCTAGTAAGGGGGCTGTGTTGGCTTTGACTCGTGAGTTGGCGATTGTGCATGCGAGGGAGGGTGAGTTTGCTGCTACTGCTGCCCTATTGTATTTGGTCTGGTGCTGATGATGATGATGCAGGCTTCCGGTTCAACTCGTTGTGTCCCGCTCCGCTTAAGTGAGTATATCCTCTCCGTGCATGCTGAGGACAAAGCTAATGATCACAGCACTCCCCTTCTGCAGGACTGGCTCGGTGATGACAAGGAGAAGCGCTTCCGTCGCGAGGTCCACTTCCCGACCGGTCGCTTCGGAGAGGCCATCGAACAGGCCCACGCCGTCGTCTTCCTGGCTAGCGATGAGAGCAGCTTCGTCAATGCCACTGACTTCGTCGTCGATGGTGGTCTGACCAAGGCGTATGTGACTCCTGAGGGTCCTGCCACCGAGGCCCCTAAGAACCTGGGTCAATAAGCAGTGACCCATGTGTGGTCAGGATGCTATGAGTGATGATTGTATGATAGACTGGTTGATTAGGCAAACGATATCCATATTTGATTCCGTTGCATGGCTCGACAGATGTTCCATGGGCCTGCTTCGTCCAGCGGCATCTGCCACATGTGTTCCAGTATGAGTAGTGTCCTCTGCATGTTGCCGAGTCCAAACGTGTTCACCATGACGGTGAGCCGGCGGCGTAGATTATCCTGGTGTTCCGCATTGGATAAGCAAGACCCCACCACAGCAATCGGCCAACAGAGACCCGAGTTGATCCGCGCAGTCCCAGACAGTTGATCCAGATAAGACATTGCCTCTGCAATCGCAGTCTCGATCAGCCCCTGATACATGCCGTTCTCCGCCCGGGAGAACCCGCCTAGCGCGGTGTAGAGGTAAAGGAGCATCGCCTGCTGAAAGATCCGCCCCGCCAGAAATACCTCCGGGCTGACTGAGGCATACGGTGTCCATCGCATGATTTGCACTTGCAGCGAGCTGAACATGGCAATATCATCTGCAGTGGGCATGGCCGGTCGGCCATCGTGCATCATCCACTGCCGACCTAAGTCGAAGATGCAGGGGATCAGCAGCAACAACTCTAGCCAGCAACCACATAGATTACCCACGTATTCCGATTGCAGCAGCTGACGCGCTCGTTGTTCGAGGTCAAAGTTCAAGAACAGTTGAGTACTGACACGAGCATCGACCGAAATCATGCTCACGGCAGCAGTGTAGGTGTAGTATTCGATAACAAAGTCTTTCAAATCTTTCGGCACCGCTGTATCGCTTTGTGAGAGCAGTCGGATGAGAAGAGAATTAGCAGCAGTCAGGTGGTCGAATATCGTGCCGTTCATATCGCCTTTGGCCGTCTGCAGCAGTTAGCCATGTTCAATGTCATTGGAATGTAGGCGTACCTCAGTAAAGCACATCACCAACGCTCCTACCGTAAGCATGAGCGGATTTGACTCTTTCCCGTCAATAAATTCGGTGACTCCTTTTCGGAATAGTTGTAAGGCTGACGTGTAGTGTCTCTGAGCGACCTCGTCAGACTCCTTGTGACAGCGAAACGCCCGGTGAGCAGCACTCTGCGTCAGAACCAGCTGAAGCAGAAGATCGCTGCTGAAAGCGAGTGGCACGATTTGAACCAAGAATGGATTGATAGGGGTAGACCCGTTCGCCATGCAGTCGGCTGTTGTTGCCAAATAGTGGCTCAACAGCTCATAAGAGTCAGGCCCATGGCCTGGGAACATGGACAAGCTCCGGGGGAGTAGATTGCTAACGGTGGCAGACGTTCCTAGGACTTGACTGCTGCCGATGGCAGGAATCTGAGCAAGATCCATCGAGATCGAGGGACCTAATGCAGAAGACGCGCGAGACGTGTCTTCTGGAGATTCCGACTCCCGTAGTATCTCCTCTGGGGAAGAAGGGGATGTAGAACGGGACTCGATCGAGCTGGACGTTTCCCGGTTCACGCTCATCTGGCGACAGGGGCCCTCTTCGCCACCTGGACGATTTTGCTGATCATCATCTTCAGGCATGAAGGAGATATTGTTGGCCTTGGGTTGGCCCGGGATGATGGTCGGCCACTGGCAGGTGAGCTTATTTCGCACGCATCCCCCACAGACTGGTTTGGCTTCATCACATTTCTTCTTGCGGCGTCTGCAGGCCCAGCAACCGGTGCGGACGCGGACGATGGGGTCGGTACGCGGCCGTCTACTAGGCGGCATTGGTGTGAAATACGGAGGCTTAGCGCTAGAGGATTGGGAGATTGGAGGGAATCCGTGCTAAGTTCAGAGCCATGGAGAGCGGATGGGAGAACAAGCGGAGACGGCGCGGGAAGCCGAAGATAATCCGGTGATTGGTTGGCGGGACCGAAGTGGAGATTCCATTGATTCAGCTTCATGGATGAGATGAGATTACAGCATTGTTCGGAGAAAGTGAGTATTATGCAAAGGCTGGCGAGAAAGGCGCAGCGGAGTATAGCTGGTGTTCTGACGAAGGTGAGTTACCCCCTATCCAAATGGTTCGGATTGCTGCCATGCCAGATGCCAACTGGTTAATGGCGCCACCCACACAACAGAACCATCTTATATCTACTACAGACAACAGACAAGAATCTGAATATTTGTCTATCCGACAATTTATAACACTCGAGACAATTCAATCACCATCCCGTCGGTCTCGGCCACACATCCACAATCGTCGATCCGTCCCCATCTCGACTCGAATCCACCACCAAATACCACCCGTACATGGCCCCGGTCACACACGCATGATTCGGATAAATCCTCACAGTCTGGCCGACCTTGAGCGGAATTGCAGGTCCGTCTCCTACTTCCCACGCGACAATTGCATGTTCTTGGCTGATCCGATCCACAATCAGTCTCGATGACCCCTTCTCGCGTCTCCAATCCCCAACCAGTCCCCATCCCGGATACGACTTGCACGGCTCCCTCCCCAACGCCAGCGACCCAGCAGCCACCAAAGCCTCAGGTTTCGACCGCTCAGCATCATTATATACACTGCAGACCTCTGCCACTACCGAAATGCCAACCTCTTTCTCTGCGTCCCCAGTAGGATGGATGTTCGTGCCCAACTGCTGCATATCCAGAACGGGGTAGACACCCGCATGAAGCTCGACTTTGATCGACAACTCACCGTCTACATCCTTCTCATGCAACAAGTTCTTCAACCGCCTCGCCTCCTCGTTCAGTTGCCCCTCCTCCTCAAGTAACTTCTTCACCACAACGACCTGCGGCGTGGCACCAACACTAACCACCAACTCCCTCCCATTACCACCAGGCAAAGCGAACAATTCCTTGTTCTTCCTCAATGCCTCCCGACACCCCGTGATCTCCTGCACCAAGAACCCCATCACCTCCTCTGGCGTATCACCCCCATAACTCAGACTGTTATGCGAGTAAACCCCCAGCAGAACCAATCTCCCCTCCCTCTCCCCTTCAATTACCTTCTCTATCAACCCTCCCTTATTCAGCATGGAAGGCGGGAGTCCTGCCCGATGATATCCCGAATCCACCTTGAGAAACACGGCCGCCGCATGGCCCGCCAGTTGCCGGAACTCAGTCAGATACTGTACCTGATCTGGATGATCGATCATGACAGAAATACTCCCCTCGCCTAATTCACGCGCTAACGCAGCCAACCTGGGAACTTGAGGGGGCACAAGAGGTATGCCATAGAGAACATTGACCTTTCTTCCGCTTTCCCGCAGATCTTTAAAAAGTGGGAGAAGCGTCTCCCCTTCTAGAAGGGTGGAGATGACAAAGTTTGCAGGTATGGATTTATCCTCCCCGGCTTGAAGACGGGCGACTTGGGGAGTCTGTCATCATATCAGCCATCACATATCTTTGAATTAGGATGGGGTAAATGGAATGGGAGGGACCATACTTTGTGTGTCTTGACATGCGCTCGAAACCCCACATCCAATGCCTTCACAGCATCCAGCATGGACGCGCAATGGCGCTTGATGATAGCTACATCTAGGACAACGGCGGGTTTGGGGACGGAGCTGATGTCCTTGCCAATGTAGTAGCGTTGGAGGGATTCTTGGGAGGGTGGTGGTCTGGTTGGGAAATCCATAGTTAGATCCTTCTTCTCTTCTGTGAACTGTGAACTGGTGTTGTCGTTGTGGTAAGTAGAGGTCAAATTGGAGACGTGTATAGATGGGTATGTCAGTTGAAGTTGACGACTTTCATTGAATCATCATGTGGGGCGAGTTCGGTGAGGGTGCGGGGGGAAGGTTTAGCCTGAAGTTTAGCCGTTGCTGCTTCTTATCCTCGTGAACGGATTTGACGTTTCATATCAATTCATCGCAGGACAATTGAAGCATAAATAGTACACCATTTCAAATGAATATCATGCAAAATGATCAAATGCATCAGTTCAATTCCAACTTCTGAAAGTGCAGTACACCAATATCAGTCACGTAGTTTGCCAGATATACTCCAGAAATATCCTCAATGATCCAACCAAAGTACTAAACGAAAACACGAGAGTAAGCGTTATTTCCGAGCACGAATGAGTGGCGATGGCTTTGAAAATCGACCGGAGCAGGATTTGAATCTCATCTTACACCTGAGCACTCCGCCGGAGTTCAGACACCGCAGATTATGTCTGGATCGCGTTGAGGGTTGTCACCAATTAATGCCATAGATCTCCTCTATACTTCACGTTGCACTAGACGCTTTGCGGATGCAGAATCATCTATCTCGCCGAGTGAGGCGCCTGTATCCTGTCAGGTAGGATCCAACCTAGTGAGTCTTTAGGTACTGAGTTCTCCGGATATCAATCACTCGACTATCCAGTAAACAGCTTAGATTCTGAGTCGACAGACTCATATTTTATAACATCTCTTATAAGCTTATTCATGTAATAGTTTGCGTTACTACAGCCCGGTGAATGCCTCCAGCCTCAACACATATAGTGGTTTTATCTGAGAATCTTTATTTACTATAAGCTGGACCCTGACCAGAATTTATATACTTGCTAAGTGATTTGCTATATACTAGATCAAAATCTCTAGTTATTAGCGACTGTTATCGATCTGTAGATAAAGTATATACAATGTTGAGGAGTCACCGGTTTCGCATTACGCAAACCCATTTCACGAGAATTCGAAGAATCGACTGACATTCCACAACCGTGGATCTGTTTTGTCAGCCCGGTTTTCTTTCAAACCACGATCTCACTCTTGCGCCCAGTGACCGAGGCTTGTCCGGTTTTACAGACAAGTCCCCCTGTTCTGCCTCCTGTTCCACCCCCCGTTCTATACGCGGGGTGGGAGATAAGTGCACCGCTCGACGAATCAAACCAAATCTAGAAATAGCCTCCTTGCCAATGATTACATCGTACTTGTCCATGTCCAAGACTAAGAAATTGGTGGTATAACACTTGGCCTTTTCTTCAAAATACCAGTCAACCTCAATTTGATATTGTGTCGTGAAGCTCGTTTGATTTTCCGCATTATTGGGGATGGTGACCAAGACCTTGGGCAAAATGGGTTGAAATGGGACCCCTAACTGAGTCGCAATATTGTAAGACATAAAACTGTTCTCAGCCACTGTGTCAAGGACAACATGCGCGCTTATCTTCTCCGAGCCTCCGGCAAAAAAATAGGCGAGTTGCGAGTAATCTTCTACCGGTTTCTGCCGAGAGGTGGTGGCCGAAGCTTTGGAAGATGCTTCCTGAGCGTCAGGATTCTCTTCAATAAGTTTAACCTTGCGAGACTCCATGGGTATCTCGAGCTTCTCGGTCTGCTCTCCATCATCTTCCTCTGTATTAGACGTCGAAGAAGAAAGACCTGATTCTGCATTTGCTTCACTCTTCTGTCCTCGCGACTCTATCTCATCTGCCTTTCTAAGTCCATCCAGTTCGTTTTGCCTCGATCCATCGGGATCAAGCTCATTTGAAGACGACACTTCTGAGCTGCAATCAAAATAAGCATTTTGCTGGAAATAGTCATCATACCATAGCATCTTCTCGCAGGAAGGTCGTTCTATACTGGGATTTACTTGAATGTCATTCTTGATTAGCCAGTCGTAGACCTTTTCGGAGCTGTTGTAAATAATTTCATCACTCCCTCGTCCATTACTATCTGCCCATGGTAATGCTCGGAGAGAAAAAGAGTGGACCTCCGTGGCGATATGATTGAACAGCGCCTCTTTTTCCACTTCGACTCCGTCGTCATCTGGCCAATTGCAAAGTGAACAGCGTCGGATTTCTGAGGGCATTGTCTTTTTTGATAACTCAACCAGGACTGCAATATGTGCTGGTGGAATGGTGGCAGCATGAAAGGTCTCTGTATGTTGTACAAAGGCGTCCCTGTCAGAAAATTGAGACCCATCACCACATACAAAGCAGGTCCAATATGTCACACTGCTGTGATCCTTCAGCATGTGCTGTCGCCAACTATCCTTTGTATTATAAAGAACATAAGGTTGATCACAACCAGCCAAAACACAGGTGTATGGGCTCAAATCATCTTCGATATGCTTCCTAATCTTTTGTTAGTGTGGCCGTGATTGGATTTGCGTCAAGAATCTCACCTCCACCTAATATTCTCTGTCATTGTTACAGGAAGTGCTTCGCAGCAACAGGGACACCGAAAGAGCCGCGCATCATCCTTGAGTTGAGGCGGGCGCGGGTAATCTACATTGAGTGCTGTTGATGATACTGCGGAGGACGTGACAGATATAGCGTGGTCTAGTTGTGGTAATTGAAAGCCATCGGACAATCTGGAGGCACTGGTTCCCGTAATTATTGTTTTATTGGCGTGCACTGGGCTATTATCCAAGGATTTAGGGCTAGGTTTTCTTTCGGGTGTCTCCTTCTGTGCTGATGCAGCTGGCTTCGATACAGGTGTATGTCGTACGCAGCCAGCATCCAGACCCAAGGCATGTTTTTGAGAATACAAAAAGCGATTTCGACGCTTCAGGTTACAGTGTACCAGCCGCAATTGTACTTCATCCAACTTCGATGGGTCTCTTTCTTGAGTACGACCCTTTAGTTGAAAGAGTAACATTCCGACAAGGTGGCCCTTCAGCTCCTGGTGCTCTGTTGCGTTGAACAGTTGGTCTGCCTTTTGCCACCGTGAGCGCCTTCCAGAGCGACGTATGGCAACCGCGACCCGGGAAAGTTGATCCAGCATCGACTCGATGTTATACATTGACTCATACAACAGATTTCCCGATGGTTTTCGCAGCTCGTGACGGTCCTTCGACTGGCTATCAGAGCTGGAATCATCGGACCATGGGGAAAACGACCGCCCCGGTTTTTCATGCTCAGAAGAGGCGGGGTCTTCCTCATCGTGATAACTGCGCGAAAAGCCTTGTTTTCGACTCTGAATCAAGCATTCGTCAATCACGGTACTAAGAAGGCGCAATAAATTGACGATTACATCACGAGCTTCGGGCCTCGAGGCTAGTCTCCAGTCCAAAGAAGCTCGTCCTCGGGCGCAGGCTCCGGTACCTGATATCCATAAGTTCATATCCGCAAGGCGGTTTTCAGCCCATTCGTTTTCCATGAGTGTCGGGATTTCCAAACACTGCGTGAAAAGGTTGACGCACTGCTGTGCAACTTCTTTTATGTCCCCCTCCATGGCTGTCGAGTAATTCGATGCGTACGTGGTCGCTATGTGCCACGAGGGGATCTACTTATGTAGATAGAATCAGCTGAGGGGTTGCAGCCTCACTGGTTCCACTGGCCTAATATTGATCCGACCCCGCTCCTCGTGCACGTCGCTTACTTGGGTACGATTAGGATGAACCAGTTCCTTCGCTCTTTCCTGTCTTTTTTCATGATATTTGTCTTTTCCATATAGCTTTTCATAGAAATGGCACAGCAACCCACGTATATTCTCTCTCCCAACTTCCATTTCAAGCCAGGAACAGGCCCTATCGGATTAGGGAACATAATATCGCACCCGCTACGACCACATCGAGCCCTGACAACTGTCGATGCGACAACACTAGAAAAAGTTTACCCACGGATAGAAAGATTTACAGATTACGATCGAAGTATTGAACGACGAGACAGCCGCGATGTGTCGATGAGCTTATGGACGGAGTTTCTGCAGACGGTATCTGGAGAGCTTTCGGGCGGACGGGGTAGGGATGTGCGGTCAAATTATACAATGGACCAACTCCAGACAGAATATTTTGTCGCCGACCCTCCGCTTGAAGAAATCCAAGCACGTCTAAAAGCCCCTCGGGTTCAAGCTGTCACCAAATCAGGCAGGATTCCTGGGTTTAGGACGCCTGTTTACATGGTTACGGGTCTCATGATAGCGAAAGGATTTACCGCCAGTATGGAAAACACCAAGCGCCATAATGGGGAGATTGATGTTGGTGGCAATATTCCATCGCCGGGGATTCAGGTTGGCGCTGGAGCTAATCTCGCCAAATCTACCAGCACAGAAGAATCGGATACTTGGCGGGCGGGGGAGGACATAGTGTTTGCATATCAGCTTCTGAAAATAGAGGTCAAGGGTTGGAAAGGCGATAGAGTTAAATATGATGAGCTGAGGCACAAGGCCGCCTACTTGAGCAAAGATGATGATGACGAGACAGATGATGATGACGATGCTGTGGAAGAGATCATTATAAGCTCAGCTGATGCGAGCACTTTATCCAGTGATCATGACCAAGGGGGTATGACTGTGACAGAGGTTGGAGACGGGGATAGTCGAATCAGCTGTATTTATTCGATAACCGGGAGTGATCTCTGACTGATAGAGTATTCAGCTCACATAATTAAAGCCCCGATAACTTGCCGCCAATTTTTGCCCACCGGACATCCTCAGGAATGCCTATCATGCCCCGTACCGTCAGGTACAAATAGTCTGGCTGGAGCGTTTTAGAAGATATGGCCCTGAATATTGCAGTCATTCCCCGGCGTGTCCGGGCTAGGCTTTTGGCATCGTAGAATGGCTTCTCGGGAGGGTGAGAACTGATGTATCCCAGAAGAGACCCTGCTATGCCGGCCGCTATGGCCGTAGCAACTGATGTTCCAGACCTATACTCTTCGCCATCGGAATTGGGCCACGCAGAGGGAACGTCTATGCCAAGAGTGCCAAAAACCACCGGTTCATCTTCGTGCTTAGGGGGGTTAAAGTCTGCAAACAGGCCGTTTGAATTCGTCGCACGAATAGACATGACAGACTCGTGTCTGGCAGGGAACATTTCTCGGTCATTGGCCCCGTAATTTGACGCCGCTGCAAAGAAAAGAATGGAATCCTTGCGTTTGTATAGGGCTTCGCGAATTGCGTCACTGATACACGGCTGCTCATCTGCAAAGCCGAACGACATGGAGATGAGGTCGGCTTCCCATTGTTCACTTGCCCAAGAAATCGCCTAAGCAAGTCAGCTAAGTGACAGTCAAAAACTTCATTGGATCACTAACTTCTGCAACTTTCTCGCTAGCACTTAAGAGTTGTTGGGGCCTTCTGGCAATGCGTGCTACATAGATATCAGCATCGGGGGCGCACTTCAGAACGAGAGACACCAAATGAGTGCCGTGTCCATGACAATCTTCGGGCTGAATGGAACCGTCAGCCCAGTCTTTCCAGCCTTTAAGACGTTCCATAACATCAGGTGAGAAGAAGAAGGGAGCGTTATCGTCGTATCCAGTGTCCAAAATCGCTATGCGTATGCGCCGGGATAACCCGTGTAATCCCGCTGCTGGTGCAACTTGAGCTAGCTCCCTGTTAAACTCCTTTACATCTAATAGCCAATTGCTAGCATTTTTCTCACTTTCAGTGCGCTTTCTCCTGCGCTCTGGCGCTTTGCCTTTGTCGGAATTCACCGGTACAGTGGCTTCTTTAATCGCGGCGTCTTGAGAAAGTACATGGAGCGGGCCTATCTTTTCATAATTGTCGATCCATTTCGTGCCTTGTAGGAGGTTTTCAAGCGGAAATACAACTTTCTCGTATAAGATGTTTCTCCGCTGCTTGAGGTTTTGTTTCTGTTCAGAGGCAGATAAACTCTCAACACAAGGTGCCTGGTCGAATGTGCCGGGCTCCAAACAGTGGCATATTGAACTCTTATAGTCGGGATAGTCAAAATTCTTCCAATGCTCTTCATCTCTTGCGTAATTGATGGCTGTGAGCAGTTCGGTATTCACTTCGGCAGCCAAGGGCCTCCCCTGCTCCTCACGCTTGGGGAGTGGAAACCCAAGACCTATCTCTACCAGCATAATACCAAGCGCTCTGATCCTTGGGTAGACATGGACCATCCCAGCAATCCTATATTGTTCGTAGCACAGCGGATCTTCATCGTTGAAATGCACTGATACATATGGTTTCCAGGTAAAAAGCTTTCCCCGGCCCCCATCTCCCGAACTATTACTTTCCCTCATAAATTGGATAGTCTCGCTTGTCCATCTTGTTCGCATCCAGTCTGTGTCATAGTACTGCCAGACTGAGTAAGCTATTATGTAAGCTAGTACAAGCTTCATTCGTGCTGTTAGATAGTAGGTGCTGAGTATTTTGGCCAAAGATATCCCCGGGGTATGATCGACTACCTGCTTGTGAGGTCCAAAGCAATGATAAAGCTCCTGGTCTTCAATAGAGAGGCAAAGGCGCCAGCCTGTTGCTAGATCGAGCAAACGGCAGAATTGGCCTTTGTCGGTTCGGTGTCTTCGTTTTGCAGTTGTTTTGCGGGCATGCTGATCATCATTTCCATCATCTTCATCCAGAAATCGGACGCACTTTTTGCTAGGGGTATGGTCGTTTGGCACAAGCAGCTCAATATCTTGCCAGTGAGTGAGCTGTGACTGGTCCCAGAAAGGCTTTGATGAGAATAGCATATCGAATTGCGCCAGGTTGTTACTGGCCACTGATTGGGAAGGTGGCTGTAGCAGGAGACACACTAGGTGCCCTCTCTCCATTTGCCTACGCACTCCATTGCTCTGGCAAGTACAGCACATTTGCTCCCGTAGGACTCGATGAGCGAGCTCGTTGGCAAGATCGGACCGCTCTGGGCGAGCGATTCTTTTTCTAGAACTGAGATCCCCACTCTCCTCGCGCCTAGATGACTTGCGATTGCGCTCAATGAATTTTTGAACATGAGAAATGGCCACTTCGGCGTCACGAGGACACGCCGTAAGCTGATCAAGTCCTCGTCGAATACTTTTCCGAGCCTTCTCATAAGATGTTACACCAGGAAGTGACTTTCCTATCGCTTCAAGGAGAGGGTAGCCATTTCTTGGTATATCCTTCGGCCACTATACTAAGCTCATCAGGCTCCATAAATGTGCGATATACTTTTCTGCTACACTTACATTGCACATAGCCTCCACATCTCGCAATAGCTTGGAAATTCGCAGCCGCAGTCGCCTCTCCTGGTCCAAGCCAGCCGTGTCGATGTAATTGGCGACGAGGAAGAGCTCAGCCCCGAGACGCCCACATAATGGTCGCTTGGACTCAACGCCCAGTAAAGACGCGATGTTGGCGACCTGGGCTATAGCAGTATAGGCAAAGTCTATCGGGTCCTCACTCGCCATTTCGTTTACGTTACGGCTCAGCATAGGTGACCATGGTAATGTGTGAGCACAAATGAGGCGGGTGAGTGATGCGGGGCAGACTCAGCTGATGATAGCGCGCGCCTATTCAGCGCGATCGCTGCAGATATGCCCACCTCGTAAGCCTTTTTTTTTTTCTAAATGCCCAAGCCCTCGACAAATTGCGAAGGGCTCTCCGGTTGCTCGCTCGGGCAGTCCATTCTCATAATAAGCCTCGAGATCGGGTTTCTGATAAGTAGAAGCCCACGAGGCTTAGGATTTTGGGTGATTTTTTAGATATACATCCACCTCGAGGGCCTTAATCAATGATTACCTACTTTTTTGCAAAATTCGACCAGCGGAACTTGGTAAATCTAGGGCATCTCATGCCTCTCATAATCTATCACTCAACAACATCAAGTACCCATCAGCACCATCTACTAAACTAAATCTATACCCTCCCCCTCAGAAACAACTTCCCCGGCCTCATCCACCTCATAAACCCCTGCACCCCAGCCATCCCAGCACCATTCCTCACCTCCCCTCCCTCCCTCACCCCCTTCACCTCCAACTCATAAAACTTCCACGACCTCAGAATCCACAAACACACTGCCCCCAACACAAACATGCAAGCGACATACACCTGCGCACTCAAATACCCGGCCCCACCCCCCGCCATACTCAGCGCAATCGCCTCCGCCACCAAATTTGGCGCCACCAGCATCAAACACACCATTCCAAATGTCGAAGGGAGACGATTCAACCCCACCACATCAGTAAGTACAGGCGCAACAGTACCCCAGAAAGTGCCACAGACCATACCGCAGAGCACAGCAAAGAGGAGAAGAAGCGCATATGAATGAGCAGGGATCCAGATAGCAAGGCATAGAATGGCACATGACGCCGTCATGGCCATGGAGATGGTGATGCGGCCGTAAGTGTCACTGATGTAGCCGACGACTGGACGGCCAAGGACAAGACCGAGGTTGAGTATAGCGCCGGCGACGGACCCCTGCTGCGGGGAGAGGCCAATGGAGGAGGCATAGTTGGGGAGGGAGTAGAGGAGGGTGATGTAGCCCAGGTCAGTGGAGATGCCCCAGACGATGACGAGGAGGACCTCGAAGTGGCCGAGGTCGCGGTGGTTGAAGGTTCGTTGACGTGGTTGGGCGCGCGAGCGAGGCCGGTCTTTGAGGAGGAGAGAGGAGACGAGGTGGGAGCCCAGGGCGCAGAAAGCGAGGATGCGGTAGGTGGTTTGCACGCCCATGGTCTGAATGGCGCGGCCAGCGGCTAGGTTATATGCGAGGCCGCCGAGGCCAGCGCCGGAGGCGGCGATACCGCTAGAGAAGCTGCGTTTGGTGGAGAACCATTTGGGGAGGATGGACGTGGCGGTTAGATAGATGAAGCCCATGCCGAAGCCGAAGGCAATGCCTTGGGTGAGCACGAGGTGCCAGACTTGGGTGGAGTAGGAGGCAGCGAAGAGACCGGTGAAGATGAGGGCTGTACCGGTGAGGAGGGTGATGGTTGTGCCCAGTATTTCGTTGGATTTGGTGACGATGGGCCCGATCAAGAGGCAAAGGGAGACTGAGAGGCCGCCGATGATCGCATAGTCTAGGTGGCTGGCGCCGGGGAAGGTTGAGTTGGAAAGGTAGTAGTCGAGGATTACACCCCAGGCGCTGTTGATGCCCCAGGTGTTTACGTTGATCATGAACACGCAGAATGTGCACACCCAGCCGTATCCGCCGTTGGGTGGTATGTCTTCCACTGTACTGATGTTGGTGGCATTCTCAAGGCTCTCGTTGATATCAGCCTGGCCGGGCGGCTGTAGTTCGAAGTCATCTCTTACGGTGAGATGCTCGGTGCTGGGGTTCATTTTCAACTTTTCTTTGATGAGTTGAAGTGTACTTTTGTCTTATTTTTCGGTTGGTTTGGTTGTGGAAGTCATGATGATAGTAGTGAGGGTTTATATGCCTGAGTCACGCTCACCCCGCCGTGACACGTCCGCCTGCAGACCAAGGCAGAAACTTGGAGATGTGTGAAAACCCGATCCGGGGCAGACTGTAGCTTGATGTTGGGCTTCAAAGCATGATAGACAAGGCCAGTAGATCAATTGATTTATTGCATTAGTATATTACATATCAGATTCAGGGGTCCACATTCCATTCAATATCCTCCCGTCCAACTATGTCGACGCGTAATCTACTCGGAAATACCGGACTCAACCTTGCCATTCTTCTGCTGAACGGTTAGAGTTTTCGATAGATAAGAGGCAAGGGGAGTGGAGTGTCTTACCAGGGTACGGCTGTACTTCACACCGACATTGTTTCCGCTGCGGGAGTCGTAGGGGAAGGGGGTGGTGTAGTTGAAGGTAGCAGTCAGGCCCTCGTAGGTCTTCTTGACAGTAGAGAGGATTCCATTGCCTGCGGAGCAGCTAGCATCAGTTGTGGGAACAGGCCAGCCAGCGTAGTACTCGCTGTAGTCATCGTCGGACAGAGGACCCCAGTGAGTCTCGTTCATGTAAAGGTTGCTCGTGTCAACATCGTAGTTGACATAGCCGGTCTTCTTGGCCAGCCAGCTGAACAGGTTCGCACCGCAATCCCAGCGACCCAGGGAGGGAAGGCCCCAGTTGGCGGACAGGGAAGCGATGACGGAATAGTGGGTGTAGAAGGTGTCATCTTTAGTGCCCAGGAGATCATCCGGGACGGCACCGCCGAGAAGGAAAGTATAGATGTTGTTACCAATCTCATAGGTGCCAGTCTCATCAAAGGTGAGCATAATAAGAGTATCCTTGGTGAAGTAATCGTTTTCGAGAAGTTCGGTCAGGAAGCTCCAGGTCCAGGCACCGGAAACGGTGATGTTGGTGTCGTGGCCATCATTGGTCATGTTCGGGGTGATGAACATGTACTGAGGAAGACGGTGGTTCTCCAGATCATCGTAGAAGCTGCTGAAGTTCTTGATCTGGCGCAGACGGAGAGCATCCTCGGTGACCGAGTCAAAGAGAATCAGAGGGTTGTGCTTGCGGACATAGTCGTTGGCACCGCTCTCGGGGTAGCGGTAGCCCTGGTATCCAGGGTAGGGGAGACCTTCCTGGTATTCACCCCAGGCGATGTTCTTGGTATCAAACAAATCGGCAATGGTAGACACGTTGGACGGAATCTGATGGAAGTCATCATTGTCCATGCCGAAAGTGTCACCAGCAGCGGATGCACAGTAGTTCGGCTCCGAAGGGTGAGTGACGGCCCAGAAGTTGCTCAGAAGGAGACCCTTCTTGGCCAGGTCTGCCAGATGTTCGTTGGCAGCAGCAGTATCATAATCCTATCAAGAATGGCATGTCAGCTGTGGCTCAATCACTACATATACAACATGCAGCTCGAGACATACGGTGTTCTCCAACCAGATGTTCACGAAGCGGTTGAACGAGGTTCCCTTGACATTTGAGACCGGAGAGTAAGGCTGCACAGTAGCCTGTGCAGCACGAATCTCAGCCAAGGAGGGGTACTCCTCCGTGGTGGTCTGGGCCAGGGCCAGAGAAAGGCCCCCGAGGAGGGTCACGAGGGACTGCTTGGTGAACATGATGCCCTAGAAATCAGCAGACGAAGGCTGATAGGAAAAAGAGGGATCTGGCGGTAATATCGAAAGAGAGGCACACCAGGCAAAAGAAAGTTCAGAATGATATCGGGCTGCTGAGGACATTTTTATATTTTTCCTGACGGCTGCTGCGAACTCTATACCGGTCCATCACGCGCGTGGTTATCCGTGCCGCAACTATTCTAGCCCGGAGCAATTTAATCAATCAATTACGATTGGACAGGGTTGCCTAACCGATGATGCCGGCATACAAGACCCCACAGAATCTGCGTCGCCATAGTGGAACGTTATCGGCTGGCTTTCGTGCATAGCAGGTTTGCAGATGACACCGTCTGGTGAGATGCTCTGCACGTTGCAAGGCGATTGTCGCTGACTGGCCGACAGGGAAATGCCCGCTAAGGCCTAGTTTGGCAAGGCGGGAAGCTTAGACAGCATAATGTGACTTTTTATTGGCCAATGGTTCGACCACTCAGCCAGTGGGGAGCACGGGACTCCTCGTCCCTGGCACGTGCCTGCAATGCCTTCCGCCAGCGGATGGTTTGGCACATCGTCTTTCAGTCCAAAAGGCTCGCTTGCGATGGGACTGCAGTAGGTCATCTTATGTGGAGAATCCATCACGATGAGTCTGCAGTGCGTGGCTGTCGTACACAACTGACGGGCGCGCTAGGAACTTGCCGGGCTACTGGGTACAATACGGAAAGTGAAATACTACTGGTGGTTCTGAATAACAGGTTGAACTCCATTAGTCGTTGCTCTCATTATTTTGCTGTAGTCAACTCTATCGATCTATATACCTTGTTGACCTGTCTGGTCATACTTGCGTAGCATGTAAATCCATCGGCATCATACATTCTATCCCCCATCCAGTCTCCGCTTAAGCAAAGAACTTGGCCTCACCCTCCTTCAGCTTGCCAGCACCAACCAGTCTCTTGACCTCGTCGGCGTACACGTTCTTGACGGCAGCAGCGTCCTTACCAGCGGCGCTAAGGCGTCCAGCCAGACCAGCAAGCTCCTCAGCATCGATCTTGCTGATGACGAGGTCAACGTCGCCCAGCACGGAGTCAACCTGAGCAGCGGAGGGCTCGCCACCCTCGCCAAAGTAGTTGACGTCCTTGACAGAGCCCTTGAGGACACGCTTGTTCTTCTTGGCGGCGTTCTTAGCAGCCTCCTTGGCCTTCTTGTTCTGCTCACGCTCGGCCTTGGCAGCCTCCTCGGCGTCCTTCTTGCGCTGCTCCTCCTCCAGGCGGGCCTTCTCCTTCTCCTCGGCCAGACGCTTGATCTCAGCCTCCTTCTCGAGACGCTTGCGGTCCTTGTCGGCACGGGCAGCCTTACGGAACTTCTTGATACGCTCGTCACCAGCGGCGCAGTCGTCCACAAGGTGGCGGAGACGGGTAGTGTCCTCGGTCTTGCGCTTGCGGCGGGCGTTGGCGTTCTTCTTCTCCATGTGACGCTTCTGGTCACGGTTCTCGTTGTCATCCGGCACATCCTCGTCCAGGTACTCAAAGGTACGCCAGCTGTCGAAGTCGTACCAGAAGTTGTAGAAGGTCTCGACCTCCTCCTGGGTGCTGTTCTCGTCACCCAGCTGAGGCACAGGCTGGATCTTGGAGAAACGGGCCTCGGACTCGAAGACAGGGCGCCAGAGCTTGAAGAAGTTGCCCTTGGCAGCCTCCTTCTTGGTGGGGGGCTCGACATCGGCGGCCTCGTCTACGGAGTCGAACTGACGACGCTTAGTGGGGTCCAGGAGAACCTCAGTAGCCTTCTGGATACACTTGAAGAAGCTGTCGTTCTCGTCGCGGTCACCCATGGCGGCCTTCTTGTCGGGGTGGTGGCGGAGGACCTTCTTGCGGTGGGCGCGCTTGATCTGCTCGGGGGTGGCACGCCAGCGGTACTTGGACAGACCGAGAACCTGGTAGTGATCTTGGCTCTGTAATGTGTAAGAATCATGCTAGTATCAGTGACCCTGGTAATGCATACCTTCCAGTCCTTGGCATCTCTGGAGAGCATCATAGGATCCTCATCCTCAGAGATGTCATCATCCTCCTCATCCTCAGTGCTCTTCACGTTCTGCTGAGCCTGGATTCTCTCATCCTCGGAGAAGGTACGGTGGTGACGCTTCTGGAGGGTTGTTAGCAATGAGCCATTATCGCACTAGACCTGTGGCTGGACACATACTCTGCGAGCGTGGGCCAGGAAGTGAGGGCCAACGGGCTCAAGGTTCCTCTGGGTGGCAGCGGAGACGGTGCCAACGGCCTTGAAGTCCTTATCGGCACTCCAGCCAGAAGGCAGGGAGGGAAGAGTAACGTTGATGGTCTGAACGGTAGCCATGGTCAAGAACAGAGCCACGCGGGGTGATTTGAGGGGAGAATGGGAAGAGTGAGAAGCGCCCAACGGAGTGTTTGAGCAAAAAGACAAAGTGCTTTTCCATTTTTTTCTGCCCCGACTTGCCGCCGCCCGGTGGGCCAATCAAACCTTGGATATTTCGGAGGTCATCGAAAGTCATGGACTGCCGCAGGGAACGACGGCCAGATTTCAACCTTTTCGCATGTTGATTAGATCTTCTTCTTATATAATTTTGTTGTTTCGGTTGTATTTTTGATAACAAGGCTTCTTCTTATAGAGAGTGACGAGCTGTATTCGCCTGACGACCATTTTCTTCATCACCAGATCACCCGCTACTATCGCAGTACGCCACCCCAAAAGACGCAGTTTACAAGAAGACAACTTCTCAAAGTGAAAATAACAGGTCCAATTCTTTGATAGATCCCACCATTCAACTACATAATGGCCTCCCAAACCGCCCTTTCCGCACGCAGTGCTTACCGCCAACTCCTCCGCGCTACCCGTGTTGCCTTCCAGGGTCAGTCGCCGCCTCAAGAGCCATAAGTCTGTTTAAGGCTAACCATTCTCTACATTCAGATGATGTCCGTGTTATGATCGCTGCGCGTCAAGAGGCTCGCCGCAATTTCGACAGTCACCGCCGCGAAGGCATTGATACTCCGATGCAGATCAACCATGCGCTCGAAGTGGCGAACATTCTCAGACACAACATTGTCCAGGGTGTACGGGAACAAGGCGATGAGAATGCCAAGTGGGGTGAGTAGCTAGCAGAAGATATATATTATGGCCGAGTATATGACGCTGACTGAGGTTCTCGTTAGAACTCCGCATTCATGACGACATCGAGCGCGGTGATAACGACACCATCAGAGTCAAGGGAAAGACTGTCAAGGTGGATAAGGCATGCTCGTCATAGAGGGAGGTTTCCCGGTGTGGAATCTGACCGTCTGGAAGCCTATGCGTGGGTGAAAGGATGACTGCAGACTATGGCATTTGCAGATTGTATTATAGTATACCCAAACTTTTCTCTCTCCTTCCGGCGTCTCTTTGGGGGTATTTTATGGTTTAATCACAATGTAGAAAATATACACAACAACGCCCGCTCGCGAACATACATAAGACCTCCTTGTTCCCGGACCCCGTAGAAAACAAGCCAAAATGCAAGTCGAAATGCAGATCAATCACCAGACAAACTGGAGTACTGGACCTCTCCAGCGCCCGGGGGTGGGGCGACAGCATAACTCCGTTGTTTTTGCTCTTTGCCAATCTCCTCTCCGGCAGCTGTGATGGCCTTCTTTCCAGAATCGGCTCCCCGCGGGCCTGCCGCCTGCCGACCTTCCCGCGCATTCTTCAAGCGTTCCTCCCGATCCATATTATCCAACGGCTTGGGCTTACCCCAGCGAACGCGCAGAGGGCAGCCCTGGATGACAGCCCGACCCTGGCACTGCTTGGCAGCCGCCTCAGCACCTTCCCGAGTGGCGAAGTTGACGAATGCAGAGTGAGCACGGTGGGAGCAAATGAGCGACCGCAACTGTCCAAACTGTGTGAAGAAAGTCCGCAGCGTGTGTTCTGGAAGATCGTCCTCGACACCAGTAACAAAGAGCGATGTGATATTCGGGTCTGCGGGCGGTAGGATATCTTCTGCCGATGGGGGGACCTGAGCGGCGCTAGGGAATGGCCGGCCACCGCGACCACCACGCATACCTCCTCGTCCTCTGCCCGGAAGTGGCGTTCCCCTCCTGCTTTCGCTCGTCCGAATGGGCCCCGGACCATTCCCGTAACGGCTGTGTACAACCGGTGCGTCGCTGGGCCCTGCACTCGCGCCCTCCTCGTCTTGGGGTGCGGCCTCTATCTGGCGGGGCTTCCTGTAGTAGGGTTCACTGTTGGCGAGTCTCCGAAGCAGCTCCCGAGCTTTCTCGTCCGTCTTCTCGTATTCCTCCACCGCGCCACGCCCCTCTTCGATCTCCTTCTCATGACCTTGTGCGTAGTATTCGCGGTTGATGGTGCTTTCGGGACCTGGGGCGACCATCTTCAAAGCAGCATCACGAACGACGATCGGCAGCCCGAAGGACAGATCCAGCATACAGCATTGACAGCAGTTCTTCAACCGCGCGCAGGTCAAGCAGATGGCAGTACGCTTCTGGCGCGCGGTGCGGTCGGCTTTCCAGCGGAAGATGGTGAAAGGACGCGTGCACTGGGTATCTGTTAGTGTCATATGTTTGTGTGATAGAGGATAGGGTTGCCTACAATCTTGCATTCTGCGCCATGGTCTTCCTTGAGCATCTGAACGTAAGGATTATCGGGCAGGCAGTTCTCGCACACGGAGGGGAAGTCAGTGGTCTCCCATCCGGACCGGTTCAGGTCCTGCTTGATCTGTGGAGGAGGCATGTTGTCGTTATATGGATCAGCTGCGCTTCCACACAGAAACGCGAAGCCCTGCGGAGATGGTGCGGCGAAGTTGAGCGTTGTCGGTAGCAAGAACTGGATTATCGATAGTCGCAGTGGCGCATTTGTGGCTGAGGTGTGGCTATAATGACATAAGCAGGTCTAGTCACGTGATATTACTGCAGGCTCTTGCATCGCATGCATGAGATGAAACGACCCGAGTGGTCATTCAGGCATTTGCGCAAGGAGGATAGTTATCTCATTGAGGTGTGTGACCCTCAAACATACAGGGTCCGAAATGAATCCTTGCGGTCCAGGCCCTGATCCTGCGATATCAAACATGATGGCATAGCCTCCCTCTGTGCGACCTGCGGATCCAGTGATGCCTGGTGGAATACGCACTGGATACGCGATACGCGATACGCAGCTCCCCGATACAGCCAGGAACGCCCTGGTCAACTGCCTAGAGCGGTTTAGCGCGGGTCCACCGTCACGCTCGGAAACAACTTTTTCCCGGCCAGAACCCCAGGATGCCTGTTCGGGCCTAGCCCCCCGCCGTCTGGTTGGCTGGCCAGCGGCACAGCGGTGATTGGCTGGGGAAATGTCAAAGTCAGTCGTAATTCCGCCTCCCCTTTCTTTCGGACGATCGCATTAACTGCTGCGTTGGCCTCGCTTGCTTCTTCGTATCCTTTCGTTTTCCTCTTCCTTCACTTCTGTCTGCCTGTCTGGCCTTTCTTCATTTCTCAGGATCGTGTTTGTGGTTATAAAACTGCCTCAATCGCCTCTCCAAGTCGCCGTCTCCGAACCACTTACTCCGGACACCTGTGCTTCTTGACCGATCCACCCCTTTTTATCCCACTTTAATTTCCATTTGCTGTCAACAATGGCTCCCGCAGCTCTCGAACAGGAGAACCATGCGCGTGATGCGGAGTTCAACCGCGTTCTCCATGGAAAGTCCGCTGAAGCTCAGGGTGGTTTCGCTGCCATGCGCAACAAGGATGCTGCCGCTCAGAAGGCTGCTGTCGACGAGTACTTCAAGCACTGGGACAACAAGAGCGCCGAGGAAGAGACTGAAGAGATCCGTGCGGTACGTTTGCGACTCTCTCCTTTTCGATATTAAATCTCAGCCTTGTACTAATATTTTGACGTTCTAGGCCCGTCGCGCCGAGTATGCCACCTTGACCAGACAGTACGTGCTGCCATTAGGACCCAATTCATGACTTTGGCCTTCAATACTGACCCGAATTCTCCATAGCTACTACAACCTTGCGACGGACTTCTACGAGTATGGATGGGGTACCTCCTTCCACTTCTGCCGTTTCTCCCCTGGCGAAGGCTTCCAGCAGGCCATCGCTCGCCACGAACACTACCTCGCTCATCAGATCGGCATCAAGTCCGGAATGAAGGTTCTCGATGTTGGCTGCGGTGTCGGAGGTCCTGCCCGTGAAATTGTCAAGTTCACCGACGCCAATGTTGTCGGTCTGAACAACAACGACTACCAGATCCAGCGTGCTACGCGCTACGCTGAGCGTGAGGGTCTGGCCCACAAGCTGACCTTCGAGAAGGGAGACTTCATGCAGATGAAGTTCGAGGACAACACCTTCGACGCTGTTTACGCAATTGAGGCTACCTGCCACGCTCCCGAGCTCGAGGGTGTCTACAAGGAAATCTTCCGTGTCTTGAAGCCCGGTGGTGTTTTCGGTGTCTACGAATGGTTGATGACTGAAGAATACGACAACAACAACGCCGAGCACCGCAAGATCCGTCTTGGTATCGAGCAGGGTGACGGTATCTCCAACATGGTCAAGGTCTCCGAAGGCCTTGACGCCATGAAGGGGGCCGGTTTCGAGCTCCTCCACAACGAGGATTTGGCCGACCGCCCCGACACCATCCCCTGGTACTACCCCTTGGCCGGTTCCTTCAAGCACTTGACCTCCCCCTGGGACTTCTTCACAATCGCCCGCATGACCTGGTGGGGCCGTGGCATTGCCCACCGCTTCGTCGGCGCCATGGAGAAGGTCGGTCTTTTCCCTAAGGGCTCTCAGAAGACTGCCGACAGCTTGGCCCTGGCTGGTGACTGCCTTGTTGCCGGTGGTGAGAAGAAGCTGTTCACTCCCATGTACCTCATGGTTGGCCGCAAGCCCGAGTAAGCGGTTTCACCAAAAAAAAGCTTGCATTATGCGATAACGCCTGTACAAATCATTCTGGGACAGCATCCTATTGCATAGACAGCACGGCGGTCTATGTTCTTTAATATCCGGGTTTTCTTTTCCTTTATATTTCCCTATGTTTCATTTCCTTTCTTGTGTGTCATTATATTGCATACCGCCGCGGGATGCTTTGTTTTCGTTAGTGCATTTGCTCTTTTCTCCCTCTGTTACTTTTCCCATCTCATGTCCTGCCCATACGGGAATGGGCAGTGTACGATCTCACTGCTGAGTATTATGTGCCGATGGTGATGATTCCATTCTGTTGCTTGTCATTTGTTGTTCAGAATAGATTTAATAGCGAGTATCAGGAATAACGAGTCTCAAAATTACCCATTTCACACACTTCTCCTATCAACACCGTAAATATAAACCAGTCACATCTTTCTTGAGCACTACATCCAATGGCCTAATCAATATTCTACCGAGCCACTTCAATCTCCTTCGCCTCCGCTCCCTCTTTCTCCTTCTCATCCAAGAACTCCTCCGCCACCGGATTAGCATGACTAACCACCGCATCCTTGCCATCGAACAGCAGCGCAATCTGCTCCAGACTCGGTCCTTTAGTCTGTACATATATCAAAATGTTAGCCACCATCATGATTCTCAGCCAAACCATGTGTATATATATATGTATGTATGTATGTATGTATATAGATATAAAGGACGTGAGAAGGACAGAATGAACACTAACCTCAATAAAGAAGAAATACACCACCACAAACTCAACGATAATCCACCCCACATAGAAGAAATAGTACTTCCACGCGAACGCATCGATACCCAGCGGATTTACATATGTGTTGAATGCCCCCGTGGCGCCAGTGACGAGCCAGAAAAGGGCAATGCCTTTGGCGCGGATAGAGTAGGGGAGGATTTCGACGACTGCGTTTCAGTCAGCCATTGCAGTTAACCGGTATTCGGTTCCATCTTGTATGAGGCTTTATGTCCAAGAAGGGAACCAAAAAGGCATTGGGATAGATACTAACCGTATAGCATCATCGCGCCCGTCCAACCAAGATTATGTACTCCATTGTATATATAGATAAAGGCGACAGTGGCATACGATGCAGACTGACTACCCGTTTCGACAAATACGCCCGTACAGGCTGTTATGAGTGCAAAGACAAGCCAGATGAGACCCATGGACCAGAGTAGGAGGGGCCTACGGCCAACTCGGCCTGGGAGGAAGGCGAAGGCCAGCGCGCAGGCGAAACTGAACATTTGGCTTGTTGCTGTGATTAGAGTCGTGTCGACTTCGCGGGTTATCCCAGCGGATTTGAGCATGCTGCTGAGGTAGTAGCTTATTAGGCCGTTGCCGGACCATTGTTTGCAGATTCCTGGTTTTTTTTGGTGTTAGATGGTGGTGGTGATTGGTTTGGGGGTAGATGAACTCACCACACCATATGAGGATGAATGAACGCCATCTGTTCCCGCGGGAGTTGATCAGTTCTTTCCAGGAGGTCTTCTTGGCCGCGATCTCGAGCTCAATGGTTTCTTTCATTTCTTGATATTCCTGTTGCACTACGATGTCTTGAGCGTCGCCGTTGCCGTGGTATTTGGCTAGGATGGCGAGGGCAGCTTGTTCGCGGCCGCGGCTGATGAGCCAGCGGGGGGATCTGTGGTTGTTAGTGATTGGTTGAGATCACTGCTTAGTCTGACTTACTCTGGAAGAATGAAAGCTCCGATCACCTGGATTATTGAAGGGAGTGCTTGGAAGACGGTGGGGATACGCCATGCCCTAGCTTTGATAAGCATGAGGAAGTATGGTCTCGGGCAGTTGGACATACCATGCACTTGCAAGTCGGAATGATCCAAATGTAATCCACGCTGCGATAATTGAACCAGCGCTGTATGTAGTGTTCGACATGGACGTTGCTGTCGCTCGATGGGCTGGGTAGGCTAACTCACCCATCCACACTGGCCCGATCGCAGCCACTACTACACCCCCCATGCCTAGAAGCAAGCGAGCTGCGATGAACAGACCAGCACTGGAGGCGCCAGTAGCCATGCCAGTACCGGCAAGGCACAGGATCGCACCAAAGAAGAGGCAGTATCTTCGTCCGAGCCTGTCGGAGATGAAGGAGATAAAGACGACGCCGACGATATTTCCTGAACTTGTAGTTAGACTAAGTTAGAGGTCGCTGGGGTCAGTCTACTGTCTGACCTATCCAGTACATCGCACTCATGGCTCCTAGTAGGCTGCCATGAGGGTGATTAAAATCTGTATCGCATGGTCAGTCAACCGGACTAGCTGCAAAGTCAATACTTGACATGCCCTCCTGCCAAACATTCAGCTCTTGCACGTTATTGATCAAAGAAGCATCGTATCCTTGAGTGAACTCGCTGAACATGAGGAAGAACAGCATCAAGTTCAGCTTTCGTAGACCAGTGTCCTTCCACCATGGCCCTTGTTTGTTGCTCACCACCGTGGTGTCCTCAAGCGCTCTACGGTCGACGGGCTTCCGCGCACCAATTGCCATGATGAAGTCGGGTTGATTCGATAGTACCCCCTAGTACTGCCGCCAACTCCCATCAAGGAGATATATACGGAGTCTGTAGCGAAGGATCTCGAGGCATGTGTTGCCTAAGCAAGATAAGCATGCCCAGGCTATTATCCGGGGCCAAAACCTGGGGGAACTGCGGGGCTGATCGTGCAGATCCCTCCCCCAGGTTGCATAGAAAGTTCGGCCTAAAGCAATCCGAGGCGGCTGGAAAACACACCTTGTGAGCAGCTCAGACAGCTTGTGGCGATTGCCTAGCTCTCCTGTTGGTGGAAAATGTATTCCTAGTGCGAGTGACTGCGTCGCCACAAGCAAGAGCTGACATGTAATTGACTTTCGGGTTGCAGGCGCCCACTAGTATTGCTGCTACTATCTACTGTTCTTAGTGCTCCCAAGTAGGCCTATTCATTATCACATGCTCCTCATTGTGCCAGTTCATTGATGTCGAACTGTAGCACGGTAACCTTTCTTTTACCGTCTTCATCATCCCTCAATATGAGAACAGACAGAAGCTCAAACTTCGTGAAGGCCTCTTCGTCGATCAGTGGTTCTCCACTGTATCCATGATCTCTCCATACTACACGAAACTCTCCATCTATATCAGTCATACTCCTCCGCGCAATCAGCAGTTCATTCCCCGTATTCGACGGAAGAATGAAGAAGACAGAATTGAGCTTCTCGCTATGGACAAGTTTGCCCCGAGGGCCTGTAGGCGTAGGATAGATTTCAGGTAGCGCAAAAAAGGCCCACTGATTGTCCGACGAAGAGCGGTAGTAATGCATCCACGTCTCCTTTCCGGTGGTATTTTCTCGATTCAGTACATGCACTCCTCCCTGAGAGTCAACGTACTGTGCCTCCTGATTCATAATACCACTGTTCCGAGGGATATTCCTGACGAGTAGTTGACTATCTTGGGACTCGAGTCCGGTCCCTGGACGTGCTGGCTGAACAGTCACTGACTCCTGACTTGGTCCGTTCCATGTAGCACCATTGTCTCGACTGTACGCATAATATAAACCTTCGTTATTCTCGGGGCCATTAGGTCCAGCTTGCGCTTTGTGGGCCGTGGAAGCACCGTCCTTTGCTCCTTCATACTCGATGAAATGTCGGTTAGTCCAAGTAACGTGTAAGCTGTTCGTTGGTAAATGATAGGATATTCCATTGGGATATGGATTACACTGTCTTCCAACCAGATAGGTTCCCAGATGGACAAATTGCGCGGTGTCGGGACTGTAACGATATAGGACATCGGAGCCGGCACCTGCTCTACGGATGATCGTCAGATTCTGCTTCTCCGGAGTTTGCACCCTACATACTTTCCAATGCGACACTCAAAGTACATTTCTCTCGCTGCGGGTATAAATCTTGGATATGTAATGTCCAACAAACCGTCGCAGCCTGGTAGATGGTCTAGGATTGGGCTGAAGTTGCTTGCCGCCCAACTCGACTTGCTCGTGTCATTTGCCAGACCCGGTCGCGAGATGCGATATTTCAGCGCATCACAGTGGTGGTCGAACGACACATGAATTGTTCCATCACCGGCACAGATCCCTATGGATATCGTATTATGTCCGTCATCGGTCGTCTGGTCGTAATCTTCGAAAGTCAAGTATTGCCAGTTGGAGGAAGTGTCTTGAAGATCATGGCGCGCAATTGTGACTCTTCTAGAGACCGACTCTTCCCGTGGAGTATAGAAAGCCACATACTGGATGCTACCAGAAGTTGTGATTGCTGACTGTTGATATGCACAGGCGTTTAGGCGATGCTCAGTATTGGGGTCGTCCCTAAGAGCAGTAATTGATGGAATAGCCATGACTAGTTCAGCAATATCAGGCGCGCCAGAGTAATTTGGCTATGCAGACTTTTGGTGAATGATAGACTCCCAACTAAGTAGAGAACTACGCGATTCCACGAGGCACGTGAACTGGCTTGACACGGGATCGAGAGAAGGCTGCGGCCGAGCATCTCCCCTCCCAACATCTCCTCCCTATTTCTTTTCTCGCCCTATAACCGAAGGAATATGGCTATCGACTGGCCTCCAGTGCAGCTGATGTTTGGTGGAAGAACTTCTGGTCCATTCGTCACTGCCCCGCCCCCGCAATGACAGGGATCTCCGCCGGCGTCCATCGATGGCCAGCCATTCACCGATCGTCTTCAATAAACTCTGACGATGTTTGATCGCCCCCTCACATCAATTTATCCGAGCTGGCTCCATAATAACCGATGGCACGCCCGGGGGATGTATGAGTTCGAGCAATCCAGTTCGATTGACTTCGGCAATTGAAATAGGAGTCTCTGGAGGCTGTTGAGCAAGTACTCCGTGCTACAAGCATAGACAGGGTCGCGTTATGTACAATTCAATTGGAACCCTAGTTATGTCTGGCATCAGGATGGATGCTCTCATTGCTTCGACTCGTTTTCTGATTACTGGAAGCGGAGTCAATGGCCTCGGGTTTGAAATCCCATCGTCAGCTCCAGCAAATTCCAGTGGTCAGCTAGACGCTGCTCCTGTGGGAGTTTCGTAAGTCACCTGTTCTACTTCAAGAGAACTGATTTCTGACTATGACAAGATTCGAGTTTTTCGCCTTCCCGGAATACTTCCAGCAACTACCATTGACAAATTCTTGTTTGGGACAACTGCAGGATGCGTCAGGATCCTACTCGCCCATTCGAATTGGAGGCACAACGCAGTGAGCTATCCACGTTTTCCTTTTACTTCGACCAACCGTCCTAATTATTCTCAAGGGATCGTGCGACATACAATGCCTCTTTATCGTCGGCGGTCTCTTACAGCGTTGACTCGCCGGATGATGCACCAGAGTCACTCACGTTTGGTGACTCTTTCATGGAAATAGCAGCAGCCTATGAAGGGGCGGTGACAATTGGTAGGTCCTTGATATTGCCCAGAAATTATTCGCAGGTGCCCTTATTAATCTCACAAACCGCAATGCTGAAATATGTTTAGGGCTCAACAGACGGCTGGATAATATCGACAATACAATCGCCGCAGCGAAGATCGCCAAATCAAATATTGCCAATCTCTATGCCATTGAGCTTGGAAACGAACCAAACTGTACGTTCGCCGTATGCACTTACTTCGGGAAAGCAGCGCTAATCCTTGTCAGTCTTCACCTCAAGTGATCCAATCGCGGATGGTCAGTCATGGACAGCTGCAGCTGATGCAGCCTCGCAGGTCTCATGGCAAGCGTCGGTAGGGAGTGCTTTGGACGAGACGTCTTTCGCCCAAGCCGGGGTCTTCTTCGGCGTGGGTACATTTAACGTCAGCAATCTAGCCGAGAAAGAGGAAGAAACCGACAGCACCCAATACGTGCGTTCTTTCTGCCACCATTACTATCCACAATCCGCGTCTACCGCGGACCTAGACGAGTTGATGAGCCACACCGAGATAGTGGAGGGAGTGGCAGAGTTTCAGAGCCAGATAGTGGCTGCACAGGAGCTCGATAAAGACTTTGTCATGGGAGAAACCAACTCGGGTATGTTTTCGCTCGGCGCGTGTCTGACCATATGCTAATGGAAGCCAGCGACCGGTGGAGGTGGTGGTATCAGCCCTACATTCGGCGCCGGGCTCTGGATCCTGGACTATGTCATGCAGGCCACCATTCTAGGAGTTAAAGTAAGCCTACCGCCATACCATCCCCAGATCTAGAATAAGTCCTTTGGAATCTGACTTGGACAGCAATTATTCTTCCACCAAGGAACAATTGGCAACTGTACGTATTTCATGTTGTTGCTTATGTATGGTTGGCCGCAAGCTAATATTAGGTGCAAGGCCCGTATTGTTGGTGGGACGAGTCGGTGAATGCGCCATTCTACGGCGCCTATACTGCCGCCCTTGCCCTCTCTGGGGCCTCCAAAATTGCCCAGCTAGACACCGGGGATAGCAGGTTCGCAGCATACGCCTTCTACGATAGCAGTAACCAGCCCATCCGTGTGTTGCTGTACAACTCGGAGTATTACACGTCGGGGACGAGAAGCAACGTGAGCGTGACATTGAGCGGCATTCCTTCGGCAACCACTTCGGTATCCGCGTTGCGATTGACGGGAGACGCCGCGACAACGATCGTCGGAGAGGGGACGATCACCGTTGGAGGGCAGACCTTTGCGAACGCGACATGCGAATTGCAGGGCACCAAAGATATGGAGGCGACCACAGTAACAGCAGGGCGGGCAACATTTACTGTCCAGGCATCCGAGGCGTTGCTTATTTATGTGTAACCTAAAACGAAGCGCAAAAGCAACGATAGACCTGGTCGTATCAGATAAGATTGGAATGCACGGGACAAACCACGCTGGTCCAGCCAGGGGGCAATCCCTGGGTCCAGCTAAATTCCCTTAAGATTATAGCCGTTAATTCGCTTGGCTCGGTCCAGCCGAGAGCGAAAAAGTTCGCTCTCGCGCTCCGATAAAAGCGAACTCTGGCACTCGGAGTTGGATCATTTACCTCATTCGGAAAATATCCCGGGTTGCCCGTTGCCGACACGCCATACAGCGATGAGTGAGCCGCCAGTGGAAAATTGTTGCGATGGGGTTACCAACAAGGCTAATCATGGACTGACTCCTTTTTAAATCTGACCATCGCTCCTCCGGGCCTGTCTCACCGCGGATGGCATGATCTTCTTGTCTGCCGTGGTCTTCTCTCTTTCCTACACTACCTTTATCCTATTTCTCCCCACCCATCGGGCCTACGTCCCTATATTTGGACCAGAGTATGAGCTCCGATAAGGTACAAATGGCCGAGGCTGGCGACAAGGCTGAAGTCCCTCCTGCGGCCGTCTCGTTCTTCGATCCCGCTCTGAAAGCTGTTCGTCGCAGCGTGTTCTTCCAGTGGGGCCGGACAGGTTAGTGCCAGACCCATCAATGATTATTGTGTTCTTTTGCTAATTTGTATGCTATAGTCTTAATACTTTGTGTCTTCATCCTTTGCATCCTATCACTATTCTGGGCCGTACAATTCCACGCAGAGTCTCGATTTTCTGCTTTGACGGTTTGGGTTGTCGACTTCGATGGCCAGCTGGAGCCCTACCGAAATGAGACTCCAATTGTGGGCCCGATCGTGACAGAGGTTGTGGACCATATACTTGATACGAGCACCGAGCATCTAGGATACACGATCAAGTCTCCTGCGGACTTCAACAATGACCCCTGGGCTGTGCGCCAGTCCGTGTATGACGAGCATGCTTATGCAGCTGTGATCATCAATGCCAATGCCACTGCTCTTCTTCGCAACGCTGTCACCAACGGAAACTCGTCCTACGACCCCTACGGTGCGGCCGAGTTCGTCACGATCAGTGCACGCGATCCGACCACCTATTACGACTACATCAATCCCTTTTTATACGATCTCGACATGACCGTCCGGTCGTCCTTTGGACCACGCTGGATACAGTACGTCGCTCAGCAAGGGTACAACATCAGTCAAGTACCACAGGCCATCAACCCAGGAATTGGATTTACCTCCGTTGACCTTCGACCCTTTGCGCCAGCCGTCATAACTCCGGCCGTGAGCATCGGTCTCATCTATCTGATCATCCTTGCCTTCTTCAACACCCCGTTCATGATGCCCATACACATTCAGTTCATCAAGGGCAACCACCCTCCGCTGAAAATCCCACAGTGGCTCCTATGGCGCATCCTGTCTAACATTGGCACATACTTCTTCCTATCACTCTTCTACTCCTTTGTGTCCCTGGCCTTCCAGATCCCGTTCAGCAACCCCTCCGCACCCGACACGCAGGTAGCCTACAACCCCAACGGCTACGGCCACGGCTCCTTCGTTGTCTACTGGATGTTGAACTGGGTGGGCATGTGTGCACTGGGTTTCCCATGTGAGAACATGGCGATGATTATCGGTCTTCCTTGGAGTGCGCTCTTCCTCATCTTCTGGGTCATCACCAACGTGGCCACCGGTTTTTATGCTTTGGATCTGGCTCCAGGCTTCTTCAGATGGGGTTACGCCTGGCCTCTTCACAGGAGTAAGTTGCTCCCTCATCTCTCGCAGTTAAACAAACTAATATTTGGTAGTTGTCGAGGCAATTCGCACTATTCTCTTCGATACGCATTCTCGGATCGGACTTGACTTCGGTGTCCTTTTCGCCTGGATCGGTTTCTCGATCTGTCTATTCCCGCTCGCTGCAGCGTTTATGAATTGGAAGATCAAGCGGGGCTGGGCGTGAAAGGCTCATGTCCTGGTTTTAGAGATCAAAAGCAATAGACTGTTTTGATATTCTTTCGGCGAGCATAAAACTGGGTTCTAAAGCTCGGCATTTCATTTCTTTCTTAATGTGATTTGGGTTAATAATGGAGATAGGCAATGCGCCTAAGGAGGTTCGTTTCAGGTATATATTTCTATTTATCTATTCTAGACAGTTATAGAGCCTTGATGTATCAGATTCTAGCTTTACATACATTGTCATATTAATAGTACCATGGCATGATCGGAATACCAGTTATTACAGACTACTTCACTGACACCACTCTAATCAGCCCGACAGTAAATTAGGTTTTTAGTTCTCGTTGTCAATGCCTGCTAGAACTAAAATTCATAAGAAAAAAAAAACAAAAAACGAAAAACAAAAAAAGAAAACAAAAAGGAAAGTAAAAAAAAAAAGAAAAGAAAAGAAAAGAAAGGAATATTAACTTCATTGGACCTGTCAAGAGATCTGAAGCAAACACCCAATAAGTCACGTGACTAGCGGTCACGGGAAACCAAAAAGAAATGTCCCGAGGGAGGTTCGAACTCCCGGCCTTGGGATCGCATGGAAGTTATGCTTCCACGTCATACTGTAGTATGAGACCCACGTGATAACCAACTACACCATCGAGACGACTTGTTGAAAGCCGCAACCTTTATTTAGGCTATATACCACCCACTTCGTTTCGCAACGCCATCTTGTGTGGGTGACATGAGAGTTTCGATTTTGTGCTATTCGATGGTGTTATTTTCGTAGGAAGCTTGATTATATTTACTTGTGCTGAGATAAAGGGCTGAATGCTGTATTTTGTTCTTTCATGCGTTCTTGAACAGTGGCGAGAATTTGGGTGTCACTGCCGTCTTGGTTCACTGGTATATATATCCAAACAGCAGCAGTCATATCACAGCCATAGTGAACTTTAAATTCAGTGATGGAGATAATATATCCACACACACAGCTAAAGCCAGATAATTCCACGCAAGGGAGAAAGTATCACGCTGCTCATAGAAATTTGAACGGAAGATCAAGAATATCGCCGCATATACCTCACCTCGACAAAATGTAGTTTGATACGGGTCCGGGGTTTAATCGCAATCCCCAGACTCAATGCGGATCCAGTAGCAAAGTAAATCCCGCTATTCCGGATCTGGCATGCACCTCGACAGACCTTGAATTTCGAAGTCGCTGCTGGTGGCGTATTGTCCCTCTACTTCCAACTTTTACCCCAGCATGAATCAGCACATACAAAAATGGTGTTCATATCCATATCCCCTCACCGAATCAACTTTAACTAGCTAAGATTAACACTCCGTGGTGAATATTGACAGATTTGAACATCATTAACGTAAACCACAATCGCGCGGCCCATACAATCGCGCGGCCCAGCTAATAATGCCATAAACCATTTGTAATAATTGAAATATTTCAATTATTTGAGAAGTATAAGACTTTATATTGAGTACATAAATTATAGTAGTCATAAACCTTTTTTAATATTTTTTCCAAGATTTCTATAACTATATATAATAGCTGGTAATATAAAATACACGTAAAATACATATATTTTAAGATAGTCTATCTATTTACTTTAAAGATTTTTAAAATAACTTTGAGTAAGTCTAGTATATCTATATTCCAGTGATTAGGCTTTATATAATCCTAAAGTCTCATAAGAAGTGTATTTTTTCTTAGAGGTTAAAAAATCTAGAAAAAGATAGATTTTGTATGGCATTACAAGATGGGCCGCGCGATTGTGGTTTACGTTACCAGCCTTCAAGGCGGTGTTCCGTGCAATCTAATAACCAGCTATGTGGCCAACTTTGAAAAGGGGTGTCTGTATTTCTGATACAGTACCGAACAGCGACATTCGGGTCAGTTGTCTCGCCGGTTTCATAGTCTTTCGACTACGGTGATGAAGGAGCCTTTGTCCCGTCACTGTGCATTGACAATGGTGCATATGGAAATTAACACTCCGTCAGCAATGCATTTCCGACGTCAACGAGGCCGGATCGTCCAGTGTGGGGTTGGAGGAGGACGCTGATTTGCTCCGATGAAGATGACAAAATAAAGTGCTAATGAGCCTTTCCTTCCTCGTCCCGTGCGCCAATGTTTCGCTAGTGCTTATCTTCGTCGGGCGACCAATAGTTATCTCATTAAGGCCGCCATATCGTCGGAATCAGCGGGCTATCCCATGATCATTCCCTCATGTGGCTTCTTAGAGAGGTTCCTCGTATCGGCTTGCACGACGATAGGCATTCAGTTGTTGTCGAAGCTACTCGGGCCAAGCTGTCATCAGCTCCCCAACCTTGATACAAGCACCATAACTGTCAACTGAATGTCCTTCTACGAAAACTGGGTAATGGATCTATCTTCGAAAATCTCTAACCATCTCACGCATCTTCAAGGTCCGAGTGGAGCAAGCCGAAAACGGCCGTCGCCATGTGAACGGACTACTTAAAGCATGGCTTCTCAGACGTCCAATGCTAGGGTGCAACCAAACCCACACTGTAACATAAGGTCTCCGCGCTAGTAAACAACAATTTCTCCAACGGCCCGTATCCAGAGATTGGTGGACCTGTCACAGAAGTACCTGGGTTATTACACCACAGACCCTTGACGATGGCGGTGCGGTCGCACGACTACAAATACCGACACTTGCCCTCCTCCTGACATTCCAGGGAGCCCACCAATTATTGCATACTGGCCTTTTTGCTGCTACACATATGCCTTTCCTAGCATTAATATAGAAATGGCGCACAGTGCACATCCTACAGACACCTGCCCTGTCAGATATGACATCCTCATCATTGGTGCCGGTTTTTCGGGAATATTTATGTTATATCACCTTCGCAAACTAGGCTACTCGTGCCGGATTTACGAAGCAGGGTCAGATCTGGGAGGGACATGGGCAAATCATATCTATCCAGGTGTGAGAGTCGACTCGGAAAGCTGGGTTTATCAGCTGTCCATGCCGGAGGTCTGGGAGGATTGGTCATGGAGCGAAGTTTACCCCTCCGGTCAGGAGCTGCGCCGGTACTTTGCCCATGTCGACAAGAAGCTTCAAATCAAGAAAGATGTGGACTTCCGGGCCAAGGTAGTGAAGGCACAATATATCCGAGAAAAGAGCCATTGGCGCACCGAGACCGAGGATGGTCGAATCACCCAATCCCAATTCCTCATTTCATGTACAGGATTTGCATCGAAGAGCTACACGCCTGCTTTTCCTGGGATGGAGGATTTCAAAGGAGAAATCTACCACTCCGAACACTGGCCAAAGGAGGACGTCAATATTCGGGGGAAGAAAGTGGCAGTGATAGGCACGGGCTCAGCAGGGATTCAGATCATTCAAGAGTGGGCGAAAGAAGCAGGCACCTTGACGGTTTTTCAGAGAACACCCAATCTGGCTTTGCCCATGCGACAGCTTCAACTTCCTCCAGAGCAGGAGGTCATCAAGTCCATGTATCCGCACGTATTTCGGGACCGCGGCAAAACCTTTGCGGGGCATGTAGCAACGCAAGTACCCAAACGGACATTTGACGTTTCACCCGAGGAGCGCGAGGCTTTATACGAATATGTATGGAAAAAGGGCGGTTTTCATGTCATTATTGGAAGCTATATTGATGTTTTGACCGACCTGCAAGCAAACCGTGCCCTGTACGACTTCTGGGCTCGAAAGACGCGTTCGAGACTCCATGACCCCAGGAAGCGGGAGCTCCTGGCACCATTGGATCCACCACATCCCATTGGAGCGAAACGATCGTCACTGGAATTGAATTACTACGAAGTATACAACCAGCCGAACGTCCACCTAGTCAATGTGCGCGAGGAGAAGATTGTTGAATTCCGGCCCTACGGTATTGTAACGAGCAGTGGAGCCTACCATGAGCTTGATGCGGTTGCATTGGCAACTGGGTTCGATGGTCTGACGGGGAGTTTGACTAGTCTAGGCCTTCATAACACAGAGGGCAGATCTCTGAAGGAAGAATGGAGAGACGGCGCAAAATCATACCTGGGATTGACGCTTAGTGGATACCCCAATTTCTTCTACATGTGCGGAGTGCATGGACCGAGTGCGCTTAGCAATGTACCATCTACTATGGAAGTCCAGGGGCAAATTATCATCAACATTATCCAGAGAATGCGGGCTAATCGACTGGCATCTGTTGAGGCTACACCAGAAGCCGCAGACTCGTGGTCAAATGGGGCGGATGAAATTGCCAACGCAACATTATTTACTCAGGCGGACTCCTGGTACATGGGCGCCAATATCCCGGGAAAGAAGCGGCAGATGCTCAATTTTTGTGGTGGGATACCGGCATACGAACAGGCTTGTAAGGAGGCTTTGGAGACTTGGAAGGGGTTCCGGACTGTACAGATGGCAAATCTCTGAAATATAGGAAGACTCCATGCGGATTTCACGGCGAGAGGACATGAAATTAACCATCCCCCCCGAGTCATTTGCTTGATGTGCAGCGATAGCTGACCAGCCAATAGTAGGCCAGGCTGTCAACCTTTTTCTCTAGCCCCAGTAAAGTACTACCAGCACATCGTAGCCTCGACAGGAAATACAGATAATACAGCCTTGCCTCAGTCGGCAGAGTCATGACTCTCCCGGGGAGCCTTCTACAGGTAGGGATCAGCAATAAGATGTACTTATCAAAGGTTCCCGAGGACCAGTATTTTGACATTGACAATCATGTATCCAAAGGATTTGCGGGAAACGCATGGGTCCCTTTAATGTGTCTTGCGGGATGATCACCCGAGACATAGTGCCTCCACTGAAGACAGGCGGCCGCAGATGTCATGTTTTTGGGACCTACCGTGAAAGGAGGATATAGACTAGCAGTATTGAAGAAAGTTAAATTACGAGCCACGAAACTCTCTCCGCGAAGGATGCGCCTGACATGCTCTACTAGATAGAAAATCAGCTAACTAGTTACATCAATGCATCACTAGTCTGAGAACCAAAATTGCTTGCTTTTTGCATCCCAGGCTACTCCATACTTTCTCCAATCAATATAATGGCCTTGTCGAGGCGTGGCCTCAGGTTTCTGCAGGCCTCCCAGGGCCGACCAAGTGTAAAGCAGCCGCGGATGCCATCCAAGAGCATCTCTCGCTTTCCCTCTTCACCTTAACAGGCAATCAATCACAAACTTTCTTTGGTTACACACATTAGCATTTGTTCTTCATGTCCTGCACTGTACATCGAGGAATACGTTCGGTGTACCCCTGGGAGTTAGTGCAGTAAATGGCCGTTGGTTTCGATTAGTTCACTTTCGATGGTATGCTATGTTCATATCGCAGCTAAGCATTTAATCCAGACCTTCTAAGTACCGGCGGAGCCGCTGCCACTGACCATTTGCTTCTTTATTATAGCTTTCAGTTGCATTACAGTATCTTGGCGCTTCATTCTTGTATCAAAATTATTCAGCACCTACAGGCTCGGATCACGAGAAAAGAGCCTTTTTAACAGATATGGAAGACTTTGGTTGAAGATGCAAATCTGGAGATCGTGAGCAAGGATAAACATGGTTTTTTGACTCCTATTTGATGGTGGCTGGCTGAAGATAAGCAGCAAAAGCAATATGGAACTAGCAAGGGTCTAAGAGACACCCGCAGACATTGGAAGCCAACAGAACTTAACAGAAGCCGAATATACCCAACAGAATGCAACAACCTCTCTTCCAGATGTCCGGGGTGCACACCAAACTCGTCTCGAAGTATCTTCGATTCTCTACAGCGCGTTCTGATGCCAAGCATCCCAAGAAAATGCCAGCCTCCGCAGCTGCACGTTTGAAGGCTAACCGCTGCACGCAGCATGGTGTGGATGACCTCTGGCCTACATGATGGCAATTATCCGATCTGCTGCAAGAACAGGCTGTCTCTGAATCTGGCTCGGAACAGGAAGTAGAACTGTAACCAATGATTTGTCCTTTGTCACCAAGAGCAAGCAATAGCCAATGGGCGTGGAGTTTCTATACTGTGCTCACGATTGTTTTGATGAGAATAATTCTGTTCGCGCATCAGAAACAGTTATACGCAAACTAGGATTGCATTAGCACAGGGCTGCTAGCACTATTTATCGAAAGACCTGGATCGAGATCGTTCCTCCGCCCAGGATTCTGAGCATGGGTTATCATCGCACTTATGCAGTCACCCTGGGCTTAAGTTGCGGTGTGCACCAACGTGGATGCAGCATCACAACAAAAGTTCTGCATCCATGATGGCAGCTGAAACAACAGCTGAACTAGTGTTCAGGCCGCGTTCTCCGAATAGCATTACGCAGTAGCCGCTGCATTATGTTTCTCAGGAATCTTACCAGGGGTAGCTAGAAGCTTGGTATGCCCACCATTAGACAAGCATAGTTCGAGCTGATTCGATAGCTGGTCATCTGCCTGCAGACAATACTATCCGAAAAGAGACCCCCACCCTGTGCATGATTCACCAGCTGATCCTCATAACTTCCTATTCCAAATCATTGCGATCGAACTTTACTGTTAACACATTGCAACTCTAGCATATGGGTGATCCCGGGCGCGTCGATCTTATAAGTTTGATGGTCATGACACGGCTCGTGCTGACCCCACTCGGTTTCCCATAAGAGGCAATGCCTCACCCAAGGATTATCCTTTCATGCTCATCTGCAGGGTGATATAACGCATAAATTGTGCTGGAAGCATACTGACTAGACCACCAACTCTGCTACTAGTCGGTCAACCCCGCCGCTTTCTCGTTGCAGGATGTTCCATGACTCGGGACAAAAGGTGCACTAGTTGTCTCGGCATGGACTGCCACCTTTCAATGGTACGCAATGATGCCTTTTAGTGTTCCTTCCTCGCAATGAGTAGACATATAATTTCCATCACCGTCTTACGAGAAAGACACACGTGAACTTCTCTGCTTTACCTACCCCCGCCTACGCGCAAGCTATGTCCAGCCCTTCGCCTTCAAGCGAACAACCCCAATCTCGCAACCGCCCTGGCTCCGCATGCACGGAATGCCGTCGCCGCAAGATGCGCTGTGATGGGAAACATCCTCAATGCAATAATTGTTCTAACGCGGGTATAATATGTGTTTTCAACCCCCAGCCTTCCCGTCGGGGGCCCAAAAAAGGACATTTGAAAAGCCTGCAGGTGCGTATCGGTGAGTAGCTTGGTCAATCCTAAGATATCAACAAGAACTCATATGAAGTAGCGAATCTCGAGAATACACTGTTTGGACGGACACAGGATCCTCTGTCCACGGAGATTTCCACAGACGGTGACGCTGCTGCGCAATCCGCAATGCATGGCTGGGAATCCCAGTTAAACATACCCCTTAATGAGTTCAACATTCCAGCGGGAGCACCAAAGTTGGGGACTGCACCGATTTCGGACTTATTACACGCCGAACTGTGGGTTTCATGTTTTCTTTTTCCGCGCTGTTGTGCTGAGCAAATAAGTGACCAGTTGTACTTTGATCGTGCACATATTTTCGTCCCCATTCTCAATGCACGGCGCTACCTTTCGTGGACCAGGGATGATAGTAAATCCATATCGAGAAAATGCTTGCAATACGCCATGTGGACGATAACTACGTCCAAGTCCGCCCAACTGGAACATCTCTGCGAACCACTCTACCAGTCAGCCCGAGAGCTACTAGGATATCTACAAGTAACAGCTGAAAATAGCAACATAGACCGGATAGAGCATGTTCAAGCATTACTGATACTTGCAGTTTACGAATTTACCCACCATACCTTTCAGCGTGGGTGGATGAGCGCCGGTCAGGGTATTCGACTTGTGCAGCTGATGAACTTGCACAAGATTGATCTCAACAAGGAGGGCAGAGCAGGACCCGACGAGGCGAGCGGGTTGGATGATCCCGTTTGCACAGAGGAGAGGCGTCGTGTCTTTTGGATAGCATACATACTAGACCGGCTTATCTCCTTAAGACATGAGAGCCCATTGACCTTTGATGAGCGAGTCGTATGTCCTATCGGTGGTTTCATGACTGGCTTATCTAGCTGACATATCGGACAGATAGCGACACGGTTGCCCGCCAGAGAGGAGGCCTTCCAGATGGGTCAATTAAACCAGATGACTGGATTTCTCTCGAAGGCTATTACTGAAGATGGGCCTCTCCCGAAAGCAGAACTTTCAGAAATGGTTATTCTAGCTACACTTTGCGGAAGAACAGTATTACACCGGCAGCAGGCAGCCGCTGAGCAAGCCGACTGCGGCATATCCAACAGCTTCTGGGAGCGACATCGCCGGCTAGACGCTATACTAGTCAAGAAGGGTCAGGTTATTTCGACACTCCAGCCGGTGGCAACCATGATGCCTGCAGAGCTGGCTTCTCTTATCCCAAATCTGATGATACAATCGGCTCTTCTATATCATTGTACGACGCTGCAGCTCCTAGCTGACGGAATTGAAAGCAGTGAGATGGTCCTGCAATGTCGACAACGGGCAATCCTGGCTGCGCAGGAGATTATCCGATTGACAGAGGCAGTGCTCCAGCTGAATTATTTCGAGGTGATTGGCCAGGTGCCTTGTGTTTGGCTACTTGAACTCACACATGATAGATTGCCCCATTCACACCGCTTCCCGTGCTTCTCTGCGCCAAGGTATTGATGATGTATCAAGACACGGATCCCTCATGTGCGCTTCAGCTGCAGGAAGCTCTAGGTATGGTGCAAAATCTGGCAAATACTAACCATTTATGCCGGGAGTGGGCTATCCAACACCCTGATCTGTTTGGATCCGAATCCGACTTTGTCCATATTGAGGAGGAGAGCCATGGCTAGGTTTTCGTTGAGATGTACATACTCTTCATATGGGAAGCTGCTCAGCCTTATAAGCTACGCGGTTTGTTCAGTCGAGACTCGCTTATGTTGGCCTCGTGACATGGCACTACCATGACGAAAATAGCTCGCGGTGAATGAGCAGCCAATGAAGGTAGTTGAGGCGTGAGACTGCCGGATCGCTAAAAGCTCGGCTAAAAAATTGACTTCAATGGGGGTGGTCAGGCGGCTTCATCCGCCTATAATATACCTGGTATACCCCGGATCCGCCGTGCCGGTAGATGAAGCTGTGAGATTGCCGTGTGCGGCGGGGTGAAGCTTTAGCCGCGGAAATAAGGCTCGGCAAGCAACCGCCTTATCAGATCAACTTTAATAAGGCTTGGTTGAATCGATCGATCCACCTACTCTTGTGCTTCTCTTGGGTAGTCATGGCGAGCCAGAAGGTAGAGGTAGAGTTGTCTGATCGCTCACGGTCGGCGGCTGAGCAGGAGCAGGTGGCATCCTTGCCGCAGAATACGAACCAGGCTTCCATTAGCAGGAATGGGCCCGTTCCTGAGCCGGTTTATTCCCAATGGTAAGGCGCTCACGAAAAAAACAAAAAGCCTGGTGATTCTGACATGACAGGCACTATGTCACCGTTGTGGCAGCCGGGTTCATCGTGATGATCACGACCTGCGCTTTCGTGTTCTCGTTTGGAGTCTACCAATCCCTCTATGAAGAGATGGCCCGCGAACCGAACACTCCTTTTACCGGAAGCACGACTGCGCTCATCGACCTGATCGGCACACTGGCCATTGCGCTTATGTCGATGGCCGGCCCTTTTGCCATGTCCTGGGCGAAGCTCTTCTCCCCGCAAGCCGTGATCATCGCCGGCGGCTGGGTGTTTGGTATCGCCTACATCCTCGCCAGTTTCAGCAAGGCTCTATGGCACTTTGCTCTGACACAGGGGCTGCTGCTGGGCATTGGCACCTGTATGGCCTACGTTCCCACCATGGCGGTCGCCCCAACCTGGTTCACTAAACGTCGCGGCCTCGCCATGGGAATTATCATCTCCGGGACCGGAGTGGGGGGCATGATCTGGCCGCCTGCACTGCGGGCCATGATCTCCCACGTGGGCTTCCGCAACGCCCTCCGCATATCAGGCTGCATCTCGCTGACGACCGTCACCGCCGCGGGCAGCATCCTCCGCTGGGAGCCCAAATTCCACGAGCAAGTCAAACTGCAAGCGGCCGGAGCATCCCGCTCCTCCCGCGCCCGTCCCAAATGGATACGACTATTCTCCGTTCCCCTCGTCAACTGGCGTGTAGCCCGGTCCAAACGCTTCACTGCACAAGCCTTAGGATGTTTCCTCCAATCCGCCGGCTACTCAACGCCGCTCTTTTTCTACGCCGCATACGCCCAAGCGCTGGGATACAGCGCCACGACAGCAGCCAACTTCATCACGCTGAGCAACGCATCGAACTTTGTTTCCCGCATCATCATCGGCTACGCAGCCGACAAGCTCGGCAGGATCAATGCTCTCGCCGCCACGACGCTGCTCAGCACCGTCGCCGTATTCGCATTCTGGCTGCCGTCATCGCTGGTCTCGAGTGCCGCGGCGCATGGACTCTTCATCGTCTTCACGATCCTGTATGGCGCCTTTGCTAGCGCGTATATCTCGCTGTTCCCCGCATCGCTAGTGGAGCTCTTTGGCGTGCAGCATTTCACTAGCGTGAATGGGGCGCTGTATCTGGTCCGGGGGGTCGGGGCGTTGCTTGGCACGCCGCTGACGGGGCTGTTGATTCCGCGAGGCTCGGCCTTGACGGAGTCGGGGATTTACGAGCGGGCTGCTATTACAGTAGGAGTGTTGTTATTTGCCGCGACGGTGGCATGTTTCTGGGTGCGAGCCGAAGTCCATGGGAAGTGGCGAGTGTAGCCCCCTCCACCAGATGACAAGATAATGTCATGAAAATTAAAATCGAGTAGGGCAACTAAGTAAGTAACATTACAATCATAGAATCGAATCGAATCGAATCGAAATAGGAATACATTCAGTCCCGAAACCCTCCATCATCTCCCCCTCACCCCAGACCATCATATCATATCCATAAACCCATAATCAGATTTCTAAAATGCCCCCAAAACAGCACTGCACAAAACCATCCCCAACATCCCCAATCCAACCTTACTAACCCCAGCCTGCTTCATCGGCACAGCCGCCGACGACCCCGTCTCACTCGCCGCACTTCCCGTACTCGTCCCCGTCTTCGTCGACCCCGTCGCCTTGGTCCCCGTCACGCTCGCCGTCGCCGTCGCCGTCAAGTTTCCAGAGCAGAAGGGATCCTCGACGGCACCATTAGACTGAATGCAAGAAAGCAGCTCCTTCACATCCTGCCCCTGCGCCAGACAGTAGATTCCGCAGTCGTTGTCGTATTTGGTTGGGCTGGCGGGCGAGCAGCACTTGTCCATAATGGCGCTGGCATTCTTGGTGTTGGGGATGGCGCACGCCGCGTCCTGAACGGGCAGCACGTACAGGTTGCCGGTTGAGGTGCAGCTCGCGGCGGAGGTGGTTGCGGTGGCGGTGGTGGTGGACATTTTTTTGTCGATTATTTGGGTTTCTCTTGTGGAGGAGCGAGTGTGTAGAACGAGTGTAGGGTAGAACAACGAAACGAGTGTTGTTTTTAATGTAGTGGATGTAGGTAGGTAGGGATGAGAGACGGAGAAAAGGTGAGAGAAAGGAAAAAAAGAGAGAGAGAGGGAACAGAACAAAGGAGCCTAATGAATCAATAAATATCCCTCACCTCCGGATTTCCCCAACAGCTGGGTACGTAGTTAGGTACTACTAGTCAGTTAGAATAATCCCAAACAGGAGAGAGGCCTCTCAGCCAACTCTTAAGGCAGAGAAAGATCCACCCAGAACCCTTGGCGGACCCACCAGACCCTATATTTATCGGCGGCAATACACGGTAATACCAGCCGTGAACTGACTAGATACGGGGCCATCAGGCGATGCAGGTTTCAGGTGTGGCCAATCACAGATGACAAAACGCGGGATCTACCCCGGGATTACTAGATCGGGGGGGAAGTCAATCCACGTAGGGGGTCCCAGCTGGCCATCGGGTGACGTGGTTCAGGTATTGGATTTATTTGGTTTTCTTTTTTTTTTTTTCTCTTTGTGGGTTGGGGTTATTGGATTGTTGCTGCATTAATATGAATATTATTGCATTGGTTTTATTTCTTTGGTGTGATTCGAGATGTTTCACTCGGTACAGTACTTTTTATTCGGTAAGTATCCGGTGTGTACTATCTCTGTAGTGGGTATTGCATTGGCATGAATGTACTCCGTAGCCGATGATGAATTAATTTTTAGTGTTGAACTAAAAGCTAGGTATGTATGGATCTATCCATCATCCATTCCATTCCATTCCATTCATTCCATCCACTTTATCCATCTCCTTCTGACATTCACGTCATGTTTATGGTTAAATGCAAAGTACCCCGTACTGCATCTGCACTGTACTGTACTGCACTACACACATCACATCACCCACCCACCGCGTACCTGCACCTCCCCATCCCCATCACCCCTTAAAACACTAACTGCATCTCCTCCACCTCCCTCTTCACCCTCTCCAACACCTCCCTCGCCCGCCTCTCCCTTCTCACCAACTCCCCATTACAAACAACCGGCAACCCCAGCACCTCATTCGCATGACAATCCGAAAACACCGGGCCCTTGATCCCCCGATCCCGACAGATCCGAATCGCATTTTCCAAGAGATTCCTCCCCACCCCGACTCCCCGAAGATGCTGCTCAACGGTCCAGGCCCGGATGACGCCGACTGGCTGACAGGACCCGGAAGAAGTACTAGTAGTAGATCCTGTTCCTGGAATTGAAGGGGTCTGGTACAGTTCCTCCCGCACCACCGCATCCCGCACATGGCCCCAGAGTTCTTCCTCCGTGCGGATGATTCGCAGGACGAGCGTGCCGATCACCCGGTTATGGTATTTCGTTACGATCATTATGTCTTCCTCCTCTTCTTCTTCATTATCTTCTGCGCTGTGGTGATCTCTCTTCACGGGGGTCTTGTATCCCGCTCTAGACGTAGAAGGCGAAGACGATGTAGATGGGGGTGGTGACTGTGGTGGTGGTAGTGGCTCTCGCCGCCGATGCTTATACCTTGTTCCTCCCCTCCATAACCATACCCATGTACCTGTACGGCCTGCTTTCTCTAGGTACGGATGTGTCGTGTGCGCCGCGGCGAGGAGATACACCGTGATGCAGGCGGGCCAGGTGATGAGCAGAAGGTAAGGCCAGTTATCTTCTCCGGTGGTGCTAAGCGCACGAGTGAAAAAGTAGGTTATGAAGAGGGAAAAGGTAAGGCAGGAGAGCACGGCCGGGTGGGTGAGCATGGAGCGGGCGGCGAGTTGGCGTTGCTGGGCGATGCTGTCTGCTATGAGGTGCAGGGAGGCGATTTGGTCGGGCTCGGTGGTGGTGATAGAGGTCGTTAGGGTGTTGTTGGTTGTAGACATGTTGGTTCTGCGTGTGTTTTGGGTTTGGTGGGGGTTGTTTTGGTGGTAGTATGTGAGGTGAGAGAAGTATACAAGTGGGATGTGGTAAGTGAATGGCCCATGGAAACATACTGACGCAGGTTCCAGAATACTATCTACGCTGGTTTGATCGTGTTACTGATTCAGGGTATGTTGCAAATATTGATCGCCTTTGAATTTGTAGGACTAGGCTAATATCTCATAGTTTACTTTTGTGGAATCCCTGCTGCGCATACTATCGTCCAAAAGCTAATATGTCTGGACATTGCTTTTATGGGCTTCTTCACTCCCCATCAAACTAGCTAATATTCTTGTCAATTACCTGTACGCATCTCAGTCACCGTTCCCTCGTTTCTTCGTCTCGTTTCGGCTCCCGCTCTTGCCGAGAGGGAGTGACCGTCGGTGTGGGTGTAGATTCCTCCCCAGACAGATACTCCAGCGTCAGCCGTTTCGTCTCTGGGATGAGTAGCGAGGTTAAGCACCCAAACAACATGAATAGCGCAAATATCTGCATTACATGATTAAGCCACGGCGTATCGGACGAGTTGACGCCTCCCTTGGCCCCCCGATGCGCTAGCGGCCCAAATACACACTGCGCAATGATGGCCCCGACCTTTCCAGCGGCAGCACTGATACCATGCGAAGTTGACCGATACCGCGTAGGGAAGCATTCCCCGGGCACAATGAACGTGGTGGCGTTAGGTCCAAAGTTGAAGAAGAACTGTGCCACTACATACAATGCCAATAATCCGTGGTCGGACTTCTTCAGCGGCTCATACGCGAATCCGATAACGATAAATATAATGGTCAATATCACAAATCCGGTAATCTGAATTGGCTTGCGGCCTAGCCGGTCGACTGTGGCAACCGTTACCCAATATCCTGGAATGGCCCCAGCACAGATTAAGATCAGGTTGCCCACAGCGTTGCGGTAGAATACTCGTACACAGTACCCCCGCCGTTCCAGCCGATGGCCGTCAAAATGATGGAATTGTTGAGTCCAAGTCCGTAGAACGCTACAGAGTCAGCTCGTTCCAGTCATAGTGGAGAATACTCACCAACGTCAAGGAAGAACCACGATCCCGCAGTGCCGAGCAACACCTTTCCATGCTTCCATGTGGTAAAATGCGAACGAAAGTCCGACCAGCTTGCTCTTGGAGTCCGTAGTCTGATATCGGCGTTTTGAAGCACAGCTACCCGTTTAACCTCATCAGGATGACCTTCGTGTTTCCCCAGGATGTAGGCTTCGACGTCTTCATCAGCCTTGAGCAGATCTCTGGCAACATCAAAGGTGTAGCGCGGGGTTTCCGGGATGGTCAAACGATAATAAAGCGCGAGACAAGCCGGGACCGCTCCGAACCCAATGACGACCCGCCACATTTTATCCACGGCCAGCTGACAGACTCCACTGCATTTACTCACAGAGGCTGCAGACTCCAGGGAGCCTTTGAAACCTACAGTCACAATTAGCGCAACAATTGCGGCAGCGAACTGTCTAAAGCCCTGCATGGCAAAGACAGCTCCCATCATGGCTCCTCTATGCTTTGTATTCGCAAACCTAATCGGTTAGCGGAGTAGAATATAACAGGTAAGTACGTACTCTGAAGTTATGATTGATGATAATGGATAGTCACCTCCAATTCCGATACCCATGACTGTACGCCAGAAGACCAGAAGGCCTGTGATAGACACCGCAGGAGAATTTGAGGACAGACATTGTGCCAATGTAGCCAGTATGATGATGATCAGCTCGATCCCGTACATGCGCTTGCGACCGACAATATCTACCAGCCAACCAAAGAACAACTGGTCGATGACGGTACCAGCTGAGGTGGAGACCTTGATGGCAGTGTCCGAGCTGTATGGCATCTTGCCAGGGCGGGTGGTAGCATGCTGCCAAAAGACAACACCCAGCATGCTTGAGCAGAGGTTTATGGCAAAAATATCGTACGAGTCGGTAAAGAGGCCCACCCCGGCTACAACGATCGCGCGAGCGTGGCGCCATCCAAAAGGAGCGTCATCGATACGTGCGAGGGCCAACCGACGACGTTCATTGGGATCCTCCACATGAGAAAGGTCAACATTGTAGTTGGGGAACGCGGCGGTGCCAGAGGCAGCCATATCAGTTCGAAGCAAGTTTCACGACGAGAATATTCTGCAAAGGGTATTATTTTGAGAGTCAGATGAATTGAAAGATCATGAATGGAAAGGTATCCGGAGAGGGGAAGTCGTGCTCTTCATGTGCTTACCGATGTCATTTGCTTCAGTTCCAGACACTCTCCGAAGCTTCCATCCCTGTACACTCGCTTGGACCTGGCACCTCTAGGAAGTCAACAGTGTCTGAAGTGACAACAAGATTCGGACAGACCGATTGGAAAGCGGATGGATACCAGTCAGCAGGGCACGTGGGGTACTGCAGCCTGCCTGACTTGGAAGTACCCATGGGTCAACTCTTTCGGACGGTCTGGAGTTCCTGTAGCTGAAGGTTAACTTTACTCCAGCGCGGAGATTATCTGGAGGTCTCCTCAAGCCCTTGTAAACTGATATCAAAAGACATCATCTGGCAGTGTTTCGGGATGGAGGTACTCTGGATCTGAAGCCACGTTTTGTTTAGGATACGAAGGCATGTGAAACAACAAAGATGGCTAGTTGCGGATGCTGTTTAGCTTTGTGGGTTGCCATAGTATATCCCAGCAGTTCGGTGGTAGTAGGAAAGGGCACAGTTTTGTTGAGAAAGACAGACAGCGAAGAAAACTGGGTAACACGTGACAGGTGAAGAGAGAACATTTGACTAGACGCTACAGTACGACGCGTAAACTACACTGAAGTTCAATGACATCTGTTCAAGCTCTTTTGAAGTACGACTTTCTGTCTCCGGAGTTAGATTCCCCAAACCCCCAAAGGATCCGCGCCCAATGATTCCCGAGACTGTTGCAGCTTCTTCACCCGTTTAACTATAGTCCCAACAGATATAGGTCCAACCAACGTACAAATCGAAATTGCCCAAATAACCACCAAATATATCTCCGAAATCTCGCCATTGGACCCGCTGGAAAACAACCCCTGACTCTCTGCGAGGGAAGCAATGAGGTACCCGACTTCACCTCGAGCAACCATTGCTAGCCCGAGGATAAACGGAGGATAGAGCGATTTCGGTTTGGGAGGGAGAGACATGGTTCTGCTGGGACTTGCTGACGGGTTTTGAGGTTCTGTTCCAGACACAGGCTCATTTTGGTTGGGACTGGGAGAATTTCCCCTGCTTTGGTCCAGATTAGTAGCATTTGTATTCTGATCGGACTGTTCTGTACGAACTGCAGATTGGATTCTAGGACGGGAACCCTGCTCCTTTGACTGCTTCTTTCTCTTGTCCTCGGTTTTACGAGAGGCACACGAGACAAGAGCCCGAGATAATGATCTCCCAAGGATGGATATCAGAGTAGTTGCTGAAGGTAGTGAGGAACGAACGAGCCATAGACCGGTGACCATCTTCCCAAACATCATGAGAATGGCGTAAATGACACCGCGCCATACAACATCTCCGCGGAACATCTTGGTGATAGGTATAGCAAAGCCGATGGAGGCCTGGGCATGTTAGAGGAAGACCATGCAACTAGGTAGATGACTTACGAAGAACAATGGGAGCAGGATGCGATTCACAGGCTCCCGGTAGTACTTCTCATATACTTCGATACCGGTCGGTACCTTTATATGTGGTCTGCACGGATGTGTCTGTCGTGTGTCTGGAGTACTGTTGTTTGAAAGATCCTGAGATGTGGACTGTTCAGAAGTAGTCTGCTCCCCTAGCACCCCCGACTCTGACACTGGCATATTATGAGCCTTATTAGCATTTATACCGCATATATCGGCAGCCAATCCATCAAACCAAGAAGTGATCACTCCCGCAAGATACGCTGCGAATAAGCTGGAGGTTCCTGCATAGGTAGCACCAGCCACGAGTCCTACCAGCACAGACGTCTGCGCAAGGAAAGCAAATTCCATGGTGCCCATGCATTGTGGCATATTACCTCTCATATTGAGAGTCCTTTTCAGGATTGGCTTGAAGCAGAATGCGCACAGGATAAAGACACCTAATGCAAAGCCGATGGAGACAAACAAGGGTCGGATCACAGTGACGACGTTGAACGACGACGTACCACCACCGAGATTTGAGATTATTTGGACCATGACAAGACCCACAACATCGTCTAACATGGCAGCACTTGTAGTGACAGTACCAAGGCGTGTAGGGATTAGATTAGTAGTTGATAGAATGGTAAAAGTGGTGCCAAGACTGGTTGCGCTGAGAGACGCGCCTGCAGCGAAAGCCTGAAGAGGACTCGCGGAAACCAGCTTCATTAAGATGAGCGACAAGGCCATAGGGACCCCAATTCCAGTGAGTGCAACGCATAGCGAGATAAGGAGGTTGGCTCTCATCGATTTGATTGACGTTGAGAGGCCACCTATATAGGTGAGTTATGGATCGTTTCGCTAGGCCGTATTACCCACCTTCATACACCAGCATAATAAGGCCAATATAGCCCAGTTGCTGGATTACTCTTTCAGTCTCCGTATCCAGCCATTTTGCCCCCGGGGTTCCCCAGAGAATACCAATGAACAGTTGACCGATCAGTCCACAGTACAGTAGTTTATCAAGACAGACATTGATGAGGTTCAACACCACAAGTAATCCGCCCTGATTGAGAAGAGTGGAGATACTTGGCTCATGGTACGCAAAAGCTGCGTCCGACTCACTGCTAGTCATATTGACCCCAGGGAACCTAAGAAGTCATGCATGGATGTGGTTTCATTTTCGGTTGCCGATGGTTGCAGATCGTGGTGGCCTTGATTACTAATTCAGGGTCTCCCGATCGCTTGGCTTGAACATTCAGAAATGCCTTGATAAGGGACGACTATAATCACTGACGGTGAGTAGTAAAGCAGTCGGAAATCGCTGTCAAGATTTGGCATACAGTCATACTCGTATTGCATGCATAATGAACACCTAGACTTGCACTGATAAAGGAACCTGATACCTAATGCAGAGAGCAAGGCTCCCCGTTCGCTCAGCTGTACTTCAGGCACATACTTTCCTTTTGAAATATTGTATGATTTGAATGATATCGTCACAATGCCTCAGGGGGGTGATCAACATGGGTATTTCCTGCCGGACTTTGGCGCAACGTAGTCCCGTAGCCCGAACTCATATACTGCACTCACTCACCTGCCGGGAAGCTTAAGGTCCCAGCTCCTGCTCTGATCCACCGATAAAACTGTGCTCGGGATGTTCCTGTTTCTCCGTACCTGCTAACTGGATATCTAATGAGTAAATTCTTTCATGTGTTTGTGCCTGAAACCTTTAGGGGCGGCTCGTTAGGCGGGCTTGCCTGAAATGCATCGAAGTGCATCCAGCACATGCAACAACCTCGAAGGCGTTGATAGCAGGATTCGCAGAAACCATCAAAAATCAGAGATTCTATCTACTAGTCAAATCTTGTGTAATTACGTGACAGCAGTAACTGACGATCACGCTTATCAGCCAGAAAACCTACAGTTCCAGCGATACACCAAGCAGCTGTCTGAAAAACAACCTCGGCACACAACAATGCAGGCATAACATTGAAGCATAAAACCAATTCAACATTGACAATCAAGAACAGTGATTAAGAAGAGCCCCGATGAAGTAGAGTAAAAATAGAATTCCGGGAGCGTTTCATCCTAGCCGCAAGATCGACATCGGCGTCGCATCAAATTATGGCTGGAACCTCGGAAGAGAACCGACCACCCCATCTTGCTCCAACGGAGGTTACAGATAGAAAGCAAGATAAGAACACCCGTTCGTGCTTCTTTTTCAGTTCCTCTCGCAAGTATTACTCTAGATGTCTAGTCAGTCAGTAAATGAATGAATGCATCTCCGAACTTCAAAGACAAGTCAAGCCAAGTCTGGTTTAATTATCAGTAGGGTACCTCGGAACCTCAAAATTGAGTCGAACGGTTCGAATCCAGCTCCTCCGTAGATCACCCGATCACCTCCTTTCAACACAGTATAGGACTCTTCCCCGAACACGTTCCCGACATTTAGATCGAGAGATAAGTCGATCCTTTCCGTATGTTGTACCATAAGCTCCAGTCCGCGGTATCAGATCTCAGACGCACACCCCTGACCCCTTCTACATACTATACCGTGAACTGAATTCTCACGCCTTCAAGCGAGGAGGGAAAAGGTATAAAGAAACCTTCAATTCTTCCCCAGATCTTCTTTTTTTCCATCCAGCATCTCAAGCAAGCAAGCAATCCTTCCTTCCTTCATCCATCCATCCATCTTTCATTCGTTTTATTTAACATTACCTCGTTAGGGTACGTACTTCTTTCTCTTCCCCTCCCTACCTGATTCCAAATTTGAGAATTCGATCTAAAGAAACCCTCACAGAAACTTAATATATCCATCAAAATGCAGTTCACTCTCATCACCGCTTTCGCCACTGCCTTCCTGGCTTCTTTCGTGGCCGCCAACCCTGCTCCCGCCCCGGCTCCCTTCGAGATCGGCATCGGTGCTAACGCTGCCGCTAACGCTGCTGCTGAGGTCGCTGCCAATGCTGGCCTGGGTGCTGGTGCTGGTATCCACTTCAAGGCTTAAGTGGTTTAATTAGAGTGAGTGGTATCTCGTGATTATTTGTGTGGCGTGTTGAAAGCAAAGGCTAATAGTTGGTGTGATTAGCCACAGGGACAGGGTTCTCTGGAGACCATGTTGCTACCTTAGTACCGGCTGTGCTGGTATATCTGGATGGATGGGATAAGGTTGGATTTACTGATTTTCTGTACTTAGTCGGTGTGGATAATATGATAATGTTTTGTTGATCCCTTTTTCTGTATTGTTGGGGAGTAATAGCTAGGAGTTAGTTGGGAAGGTGAAGATAAGTTGAGTTGTGGGACTGAAAATTAGTCTCCCTAGAAAAGTGTAGATTAGTTTAAAAGCATTAGTGTCTGCTCTCATTTAGCTTAAAAAAAGCATTCTGTATATTACCAATTATTCGACTAGTCACACCCAAAACATTATGAATGGACGGTAATTCATACATATCCAACATCTGTCCAGCTCAGCCCTTCCTGGCAAGCCCCAAGCCTACCGGGTGATCACGCCCACATGGCTTTGAACTTCTCGTTGAATTCATCTCGAAGCATTTTGAACGCTTTCAAGACCTGCAAAAACCCCTTCTCCTCGATCTGACCTGGTGAAGCGGAGGAAGTAAGCTTGCTAGTAGCCTTTGAACTACCCCCTCTCTCAGGGATATTGTTCTCATTTCCCCTCCCTTCATCGTCGCTCTGCTCATCTTCCCAGCTGTCAGCTACCTTTGCTTTCTTTGAATTGGCGGATACCGAAGTCAGCGGAGGCTTGGTTGTGGCTTGCACCGGAGTCTGGGCTAAATGGGCTGATTTCACGGCTGTCCATGGCTGGGGCTCCTTTGCATCATAAGCATTATCGTCCAAGTCAATCTCGTGCACATCACCACTGCCGGCCACATCCAACAAGTCCACATCAATGTTTGGGGACAGCTTGAGATAGTTCTCAAAATCAGTCACAATGGTGGCAAGGACTAGGGAGAAGTCGTTCAAGAGAAACCAAATATCACCCTTGCGGATCATGTTCCATTTTTCCAGGGCTTTCACATTGCCGTGTTTGAAGAAGTCGTACAGATACGCATTGAGTGGAAGTTGGCCCTCCTCCGGATAAAGCCCCACGTACGGCACCACTGCTTGTTCTAGCCAGACACCGCTGCGGACCTTTTGACAGAGGTCGGATATGCTACTCCAGTTATCACCATGACCTGACAGTGCGACAAATGATGATGTGACTTGGGTAGGAGGAGTAATGGGCAGTGAGGGGCTGATCTCTTCCGGAGATTTGTCGCCTCCGCACTTTATTCCTGTCAGCGGGAGGAAACAGCCTGGATCTTTGATGTGCTGCTCAACGAAGGTGGTAACATAAGCCGTGTAAATATCCTGGGTCTGCTCGTTATGACTGCGCAAAATCCTAGCCGCCTTTTTCGGAAGACCTGGAAGAACCACAACAGATGGGGATTTCTTCTCTGAGGTTTGAAAGTTCTCAAGGGTAACTGGAGGTAGATGCCGGCGACCGAATAAATGCGACATCACAAGCATCAATGTAAGAACCGTTTCTTTGGGGTTCCTGCCAATGTTCTTGCACAGTTGGTGAAAATATCCACCACTGAGGAGCGCATGGAATGCAAAGCTGGAATTTTCGGTGTAGTACAAATGCGATATGGTGCCCGAAAAATTGAGGGGAAGACCATTAGCATCGAGGAGCTGATTGCGACGGAGGTATTCAACCGAGAACCGCAGATGATGGAGAACAGTATGTTTGGCCTCTGGCCCCCCAAGATAGATCCGCGGGCATGATAGGATCGAGTTAATGGCTTTGACGGCAAAATCAGATCGCTTAGACTTCTGAAGCAGGATAAAGAGTCGTAGTACTAGGCTTGTAGACAACGGAAAATGGCCGTTCAGGCTTGGAAGCTTTGAGCTGAGTAGACGGTAAATTTTGGAATCCGGAATACACTGAAAGACCACGTTGCCTAGGAAGTCGAAGCCTCGACGTCCAGCTCGACCAGCTGCTTGCCGAAACCCAAGGGCTGTCAAGAAGACAGAATCACCTGCAAAGACCACGGTTTTGCATGGCATATTGATACCAAGAGCCAATGTACCTGTAGCAATAACAACGCGTAAATAGCCCTTGCGGAAGAGCATCTCGCAGACTTGACGGTATTTGCGATTCATACCAGCGTGATGTACACCGATCCCACGCTTCAAAGCATCAATCAACCAGGAAGGCACCTGCCGCCGCTGGAGCGCTTGAGCATATTCCTCAAAGTCAGAATCCGCGAGCTTCTTCACATCAGCTAGGGAAAACCTCGGGATTGGCTTTTCTGGGTCAAACGATTCATGCCAACTCGATTCCGCGGACGCAGTATCACGCATCTTATCTGCTTTGGACATGTTTCCATCGTTGTCTCCAGCTCGGCTCTTCACTTTGCTAGGCTTTTTTTGTTTGGCGCGTTTTTCTTCCATTTTTTTCCGTTCTTTCCACTCGCTCATATTGTTCGCCCAGCTTGAGCTTGAGGCCTTCCATCGGTCCTCCGACTGTTCCAGTTCGTCAACAATCTGCTGACATATTTCCTCACACTTACTCCGATCGTAATTGAAGAAAATAGCTGGAAGGGCGCCTTGGTCATGGAGAGAACAAATCAAGGGTAGTGTTGTATCGAGAAGGCTATCCTTCACTGGGCGGGGTTTATCTGACTGGCCGCGTTCGCCAGATGATACCTGGACATCAGGACTCTTTTTTAAATGGCTCCCCTGTGAAAGTTCCTTCAGGACTGAATCGAATGGAGAGTCTGAGTTCATCATCCAATGTTTCAGGACCAGCTTCAGCTTAGCCTCCCACTCCAAAACGTTGGCTTTGGAAATGACACCTGGCAGCGCGTTGGACGGATCCAATGCGTCATCAAGCGGATAGTCTACTGTTTTGTACTTGTCCATGGCCTTCCAAAGTGTCCAGCAATCACGCGGTTCCAGGGCTAGATCGTCCGGAAATCCCCGAGATCGATTGGTCAGGCTTGTCACAGGGTGTATGAACGACATGTTTGGACAAGCATCCAGGCCGAGTGTAGCTAAATGAGTGGCATCCGATAGCCCTTTGAAGATGAAAGATGTTGGAGGTCTGTACTCGAATTTTCTTAAATCCGACCATCGCGTTTTGTGCTCAATCATTTTCAAGTCATGGCCGTTTGCATTTTGAGTCAACCTCAGCCAGTCATTGAATTCTTCAGGATTGCCTACCGTTGCAGAAAGTGCGATGATAGGGCAAGGTGCAAGAAGAAGCAACTGCTCCCATACCACTCCATCATCTGACTGACCAATGCAGTGGATTTCATCGAAAATGATACGTTGAATGCGAGACGCCCACGACTCCGCGTTTGACGGCGCAAGAAGCATAATCTGAAGGATGTGTGGAACTGTGATCAAGATCTGACACCTAGTTGGGTTGTTGATGCGGTAATCACGTGTATGAATAGCCCAAACAGACTTTCCAGCGTGTTTGTAGTTCTTACTGAATCTTGCTTGGACTTCGGCGGCGATCTGGTTGACGAGTGCTTTAGTCGGCGCAACGTATACCAAGACCCCGTCGTCACTGCTCTCGAGGACCTGTTTCATAGCATAGAATCTATTCTAAAGTCAGGACTTGGAGGCACACATTATTATAGACTCTCATATGGCACCTACGATATGAAAGTCTTTCCCGCACTAGTCGGAGCGACAACAAAAAGACTCGCTTTAGCGTCGATTTGGTCCAAGATCTCTCTCTGCCACCGATCAGGTTCAAAATCATGAACACGAGGATCTGGTGCCGATTCCATATTTCTATCAAAGTATGGCCCCGCATGAACAAGCTGAAACTCAACTGGTGACAAGCCCGTTTGCAAGTTGGCGTGCTGTGAAGCTAGTGGCGTGAATGCGGATGTAGCTTTTCCTGAAACGTCACAAGGGATGTCAATGTAGGGAAGGTTGAGTGCTTTTATAGTGTCTTTAACAAGGCATCGAATGCCGACTGTAATGCCCTGCTTTGCCTTTGAGATCTTGAGAATCATAAACCATATGAGTGCCACTATCGCCATAGGTTTATCCTTCTCTGTTTCGCATTTCTGTTTCCAAAGCTGTGCCAGGGTCATTATGAGGTAAGCGAGTACCTCTAGCTCTACCAGACTGTCTCCCTTTCTCTTCAAGTTGTGGAGGTACTCATGAGCATCTTGGTACCTCTGGGTCAAATCGTCGGCATGCTCAATACCACGACGTTTATTTTTCCATGCCTCCAATTGCCTCTCGAAGTTGTTATTGCGCTGTTCCTGGAAGTAAACTTTTGCTTTGGCTTTAACCGACGCGGACGCGCTAATCTTTGGTTGTCTAGCCTGATTGGGCCCAGTTTTCGTGGATCGAGAGGTCCAGTCTCTCTCCATGACTCCAGAAGCCGAACTTTTCCCTGGCAAGGCCTTGAGGTCTGCCATAGCTTTAACGAAAATTGACTCTGTTTTCGTATCCGTGAGACTGGCAGCATATTTCTCAATCTCAGCCATAAACATTTGATTACGGCGAAGAAGCCACTTTGTAAGAGGAATCGTATTCCGTTGATCTAGGGGCCTGCGATGATTATGCCAGTGGGTGATTTCCTCAAAGATTCGCGACACCGCAAGATCATTCCCAGCAACGGATTCGTCAATAGCAAGTGATATCGGCTTGAGATGGCGGTCAAAGTCCGGGTTATTGAAAGGGAGCACGGCAGTGGTCTTTATATGGCTATTGACTCGGCGATTGCCCGAAATATTACTTTCTTCGTTTCTGCTTGCTTTGCTACCGCTAGCCTTGTTGCACACTGTAGAGATAGCAAGTTCAACGCCACATAGGGCTTTCACTAGTGAGGTAAGCACCGAAAACTTTTCCATGATTGACTGGCTGAAGGAACCTTCAAGGTCAGACGAGCAAGCCATTTGCAACGTCTCAAGGAATAACCTTCCATCAATCAGGTCTGCCACATCGCAGCTCATAGGCCTAGCACTCATAGCCTCATGCCACAACTGTGATGTGATGATACTCCGAGATACTTCAGCATATTTTACCAGCAACCACTCGCCAGGGCGACAGTATTTGGGGTCATACACGCGGTTTCCAAGCTTGCACTCACTTAGAACAATAGTGTGGAGTAACAAGGCACGCAGCCCCAACATCTCATTTTCTTCAACGGAGCCAGAGCTTAGCAGGGCACTTGCAGTTAGGGTTGTGACCCACTCTCGTTGAGTGAGAGCGTGGCAGCCTGTGGTGTTTAAGATACGCAAAAAATTGCGCAGTGTAAGCTCCACTGAGGAGGAACTTGCAGGACAAGGTTTTGAATCACTGATGCCAGCATCGACGTGACCATGTACCATACTGATTCCAGAATCTACCTCTTCTGTATCGGAGTCAGATGATTCAACGTCCTCTTCTATGTCCGGGTCTTCCGAATCCACGCCGAAAAGATTCCGTGCCCGTTCTGCAGAGCCCTCTAGAACCATCGTGAACACCTATTTGAGGTCAGAATTGAGCTAAGCTAGGGGGGAACACTGAGCTCACCTTGGTATCACGGCATTCTAAACTGTTCAGCAATGAGATATTGAATCCATGGGCAACAAACCAGTGTATCATCGATCTGAGCGTAATTCGATTCGGCCAAAACGAGGTAAGAGCATTATCGAACGTTTCATCACTGTCACTGTCTGAAGTATCATCCGAGAGCACTTTCGGATCCTCAGACTCTTCTAAAGATTCATGCAGTGCTCTATCATGTCCGCTATGGCTCGAAAACGCACCATCATGGCACATGATGAAATAGACCCCCTCCAACATAAGATATTCCTCAAACTCGGGGCAATTGTATGTATCAAAGCATCTCACTTGTATGGATGGGAATACTTTAGAAGCATTCTGTTGAAGATGCTGTAGAATAGCTTCACGAGCTAGACGGTACTTTGGCAACGATGATTGGTGAACGTGTGGTGGAATAGATGCCGCCGAATTTTCCGAGAAGAAGACAATGTGAAAATTGCAGTTTCGTCGTCGGAGCTGTTCTAGAAATCGCTCCACGATATACGTGGCATGAAGCAACTGAAATCCATTGGCAAATTCCAGCTGGTCGTCAGCGAAGCAGTGCAAGAGAAGTGAGTCTCCTTCGATGATAAAGAGTTCACTGCCTGCATAGTCGCCAACAAGGTCGACGGTACGGGAGTACAGATCATTGTACCTAACGATGATGGATTGTTAGACCTATCTTTGACCAAGTCCGGTCATAGCTGGCCTGGGATGGCCTTAATGAAATACTTACCAAGATAGGACTTTCTGTGGATCTGCCATCGCGATGGTGTAACTTGAACGTGTGCAGAAGTGGAACAGAAGGGCAAGATCGGTGATAAGTGACGAGGGAGAATGAGGAAATCAGAAGGGGAGATGGACGCGTGTCTGTGGTTGCGGGGCACAGGATGGCAACCAATATATACTAGTATTCACTCACTGCCAGGCCATTCGCTGCAAGGCCATGCAAGGCTGTAGGCATCTTTCGAGCGAGCCTTGCGCTGGAATAACGCTTACCCCTACTAGTCCTTTGAGTCTAGTACTACCATGCGGGGTGTGGCATCCATGCACGGACCCTGGTCGCAGCAGGCGCCAAACCGATAGCGATGGGAGAATGATGCGAAGTTACTCAGCGACTATTAAAAAGGCCTCATTACATAGCATCGAATCGAATCTCTGTTGTTCGGGAAATCGAAGACCAGACAGTGGAGCACAGAGAATTACAGACCATATACTATGGAGCTTTGTTTTACCCTATGATCTTGTCATCTGAAACGTTGTAATCGAGACAGCCATCGTAGAACAAAAAGTCCTCTGCTCCACCCATTGATTGCAACTAAGCCTGGACTTCTTGCATCATGTTGCTAGTACAAGAGTACTATGGTCACTGTGAATAGACGGAAGTTTTGATTAATTTGCAGGTGAGGGACAATGCTGGTTACCGTTATTACTTATATATATCATTACTTTCCCCGGGGAGGTTCATTCTGACAGGAGTCAAAATACGGCAGAACTACCGAGAATAGTAACAGCTTCAAAATCTGATGTTCGTACCAGACCAGGATGTGAAATCATGTGAAAATTCCGATTCTCTACAGTGAGCATCAAAGACACCTGGATATTGACTCAATATGAGATAGAAAATCAAGAAAACATTTATGCTCGATATAGATTAAAATGAAAGCCAAAGTTTCAACAACAAGCGTTAATGGTGTAGCGGTAACATTCAACCCTTCCACTCCTCTTGTGAGGTTGAGCTCTGGGTTCGACTCCCAGTTAACGCACAAACATGATTTCTTTTTTTCTAATTCCACCAGCATATTCACTCTAATTTTGCCGGTTACATGGGTATCACCTCGATAGTTGCCAAGTATGAAAGAATAGCACTCACCATCCTATGTACAGCTCAATTTGGCCCTCTGAATAAAGTACAGTAACAGCCTGCCAAAGCCATTGACTCAGGTACATGTCCGACCGAGTGACCGCCTCCCATGTTACCGATTTAGCCTAGCGCCCCACCCTTATCCAGAGCCGCACGTGATCTCGAAAAAGGCCGCCCCTCCAATCTCCAGAAATAAATATTGCACTCTACCAACACCCCTCTCGACATCGCATATCTTTTATTGCTTGCAAAAAGCACAGTCTCCCACTATGGCGCGTGTCCGCCTCGCCCCGCTCTCCACGCTCACTCAAACCCGCTACGTCCTGCACCTCTCCGACGGCAAACGCCTCGTCCTCTTCCGCCTCCCCACTATCGAGACGCCGAAAACCAAAGACAAACCCCGAGCGCGCAATGACGCCAACGGCTGGTCCTACTACGCCATGGAAGCGGAATGTCCGCATGCAGGCGGCCCGATGAAAGATTCCTCCATTGACATCGAAGATTCAGCGTATATTGTGTCTTGTCCATGGCATGCGTATGATTTCAATGTCGAGACGGGAGAGTCGAGTGTGGGGATCAAGGCGTGCACGTTTCCTGTTGACGTGGGTGACGAGGATATGGTGGTTGTTGAATATACTTCTGAGAAATTGGGAGAGGGAGTGGAGTTGGCGAAGTTGGAGGCTGTGAGTGAGCAGATGAAGTTGAAGAAGAGTGTCAATGGTGTGAATGGTACGACGACGACAAATGGAGCGGACGATAAGACTGAAACTGCGCCGATTCGATATCTTGATGATAATGCGACGGTGTGTGAATGGTGTGCGCACATTCTGAACACTTCGAACCCGGAACATAAGATCGAGTTGACGGCGCATTTGTTCAAATTGTTTACGGAACGGGAGGGAACAGATAAGCCTATGGTTATTGGGGATAGGACCAATGTCGACCTTCCAGATTTACCGCCTAGGGATGGCGTGAAGGATGTAAATCGGCAGGCAGTTCCGAAGCCGGGCAGAGGTGGTACGCAAAAGAGCAGGATTAATATGTTGCATGCGCTGGCAAACATTGAACAATGGGCGATCGATCTGGCGGTCGATATCTGTGTGCGGTTCGCGAAGTTTCAGACGAACTCGGCTGATGCGCTGGGTCTTCCTCGGGCGTTCTTCCACGACTGGTTGAAGGTCGCTAACGACGAGGCGAAGCATTTCTCTCTCCTTCGGACCAGGCTGGAGGAGCTTGGTTCGTATTTCGGTGCCCTTCCGGTCCACCATGGACTGTGGGACTCTGCGACCGTGACAGCCCATGATCTGCGCGCTCGGATCAGCATTATTGCGTTGGTGCATGAGGCGCGCGGTTTGGATGTGAATCCAGTGACGATCGATAAGTTCCGCAAGGCTGGAGATGGGGATAGTGTTGACACGCTGGAGATTATCCACAATGATGAGATCACCCATGTCACGACAGGTCATCGCTGGTTGACCTGGATTTGTGCCCAGGAGGAGACGGACCCTGTGCAGGTGTTCCGGGGTAATGTGCAGAAGTATTTCCGTGGGCCGTTGAGGGAGCCGTTCAATACAGAGGCTAGACTGCAGGCTGGTCTGGATAAGAGCTATTATGAGAATCTCTCGGGGTACGAGGGAATTCAGCCTGCTTGATCGCTCCCTGACTCGCAGCTCAATAATGGAAAGCAGTTCAGTCGCTTGATCCTCTGGAGTTAGCTACTCCTCCAGCAAAGATGGCGAACTGCACAGAGTCCTTGTCAACCCATGCGCTTGCTAGGACCCCTCCACTGCCGGTAACCTGAGAATCAGAGATGGTCATACCGCTGAATGAATGTTGCAGACACAATCAATGACAGGCATAGCACTTCGTCACTCTGATAGATCTTGACAGAAAGTGCACCTGCCAGAGGGCCAAAGCACTGTGACTTGGCAAGTAGGGTGACAATCAGGAGTGCTGTGCTAACCGCACCCATAGCGAAGGCGCATGGTCCCAGGTACATAATTGTGGGACTCGTGCGTGGGTCAATGGGACATCAGTTGTGTTCGCAGATGACAATATTTTAAAAGCATGTTCTAGAACCAGAAACATTACGAAAGATACCCCACATAGACTGGACCAAAAGTTTTAAAAAATTCAACAATTATTCCAAATGAATTCCTATACGTCTATCGTAACAGTCAAAGCTCGTAAGCTCATTAGATCGTCAACGTCCCCGTCAACTGGGTATCAAGCACACTCTTCCCCACATAAACCGAATAATCACCCTTCTGCAATCCCCAAGCTTGGTTCACCACATCCCATGAACTGAGATCCCGTCTCGTCAAATCAAATTGGACCTTCGTGTGTTTTCCCGGCTGGATAAGCTTCTTCTCGAAGCCACGGAGGACCTTCGCTGGACCACCAGGGATGCCCAGATAGAGCTGAGCAACTTCCGCCGCAGCGACAGAGCCAGTGTTTGAGACCGAGCAGGTAACCGTAGCCACTACATCCCAGAGGGCGGAAATACCGCCTTCCTCGATGGTAGAGTTGGGAGGTAGGTAGTCAGTGTTCACGCCGCTGTGGACGGAGATCTTGAGACCGGAGTAATCGAACGTGGAGTAGGTGAGACCATAGCCGAATTCGTAACGGGGAGTGATGTTCTTCTGCTCAAAGGACTTGTAATCGATATAGACACCCTCAGTGAAGTTGTCTTGTGGGTAATACAAGTCATTGGTTCCGGATGGGACGACCGGGTTCAGGAGGGCACCGTAGTCCGAGGCGTTCTTGGCGACGGTGTAGGGAAGACGGCCAGAGGGGGATTGTTTGCCGTACATGATCTCGACGAGGGCGCGACCACTGTCTTGACCGGGGAGATGGCCGTAGATGACGGCAGTGATGTTGGGGTTCTCGACCCAGCGGTCGACGAGACGGATACCGGCGTTGTGGATGATCACCATGGTGTTGTTGCATTGGGAGGCGACATTCTCGACCAGAATGTCGGAGTAAGGGTCGGCCACGTACGGACGGTCCCAACCTTCAGCCGCGGCTTCGTTGATGAAGACGAGACATGCGTCACTAGCGGGGTTCACGACTGGAGACTGAGAGGCAAAGTCCCAGGCGAGGAAGGTGTTGTCTTCGTAGGCTTGGCGTTGGAAGGCATCGAATGGCGCGTCGATGTAGGATGGAGTGCTGGAGCCGGAGCCACCCCCGGAGATCATGGTACCATTCAAGGCCACACCAGGGCCATTTTCGGAGGGGTTGGTGCTAGAAAGGAACAAGTATTTGAGGTGAGAGGGGTCCACGGCGGTGCCGTTGGGGTAAGTTAGAGCGTTGTCGAGGCCCATGGTCCAGAGACTCCAGGACAGATCATCCATGGTATTGCGTTGCGCGGCGATGGCATCATAACCGAAAAGTGACAGGATCTTGGGCTCCTTCAAAGGCAAGGCGTTGCCTGTGTTTTTGACAAGGACGTGGCCTTCGATAGCCCCCTGGAGAATAGTGGTCTTGGAGGCAGGGTCGCGAGCGTCAACTGGTACATGGGGTTCCAGGAGGCTGATAGGCATGCCAAAGCCGGGGTCTTCTAGCTCTGCATACTTGTACCAGGCAGCGACGATGCGGGTTGCCATGTCATCGAGACGCGTGGACGAGAGCGATCCATTACGGACAGCCAACGATAGGTTGCCGTTCTCCCAGTAGACAGAGTCAGGCATGACCAGGTCAAGACCTGCCGCCGCACTGGCAATACCCGTGTGCTGGGCATTCCAGTCAGAGACGACGAAGCCTTGGAACCCTAGTTCACCCTTGAGCAGACCGTTCAAGGTCTTACTGTTTTGACATCCATAGCTGTTGTTGATGCGATTGTAGCTGCACATGACGGCACCCGCACCAGCTTTGACTGCATCGTGGAAGGGCCACAAGTAGAGCTCGTGGATAGTTTTATCATCAATGTTGGATGAGACGGACTGGTTATAGCTGTTATCCAGTAGTTGTGGAGTGTTGCGGTTCGTCTCCTGCTCGTTTCCAATGAAGTGCTTGACGCAGGCAATGACGGACTCCTGCAGACCACGGATAGTGTTCTGAACAAGGGAGCCAGAGAGGTAGGGGTCATTGCTATATCCTTCCCAGTTGCGACCACCCCGAGCCATGCGGCCCAACGGGCCTACAACAGGTCCAAGAGCAACATTTGCTCCCTTGCGCTTAAACTCTGCACCCATATAATGAGCGTGTTCATAGGCGAGGTCACGGTTCCACGAAGCCCCAATATGGAGACCAGAGGCGTAAGCGTTGACCATGTCAGTTCCACGTACACCGCTTGCTGCATCTTGGAGACACATTCCTGGGTATCCCAGTCGAGGAACACTGCCAGTCATTCCGGAACAGCCATTTGTCGTAGACGTATGACCATATGTGATGTTATTCTTCTCATCATCGGTCATCTGTGCCACGAGAGACTTGGCTTTAGTGAACGCCTCTTCCCAGTCTCCCAATCCGCTTGTTTCAGCTAATGAATGGGTTAGCTTTGATCGTGGCTCTCGGGGGTAGACTGACTTACGGGTGGGATAAACAGGCTCTGAGCGTCCATAGGACCAGAAGTGTTCTAGCTCAGCAACATCGACTGTTCGCTTTTGTACTACAGCGGCATCTGCCAGCTGCAATGCAGCCGCATAAAGAGCGAGTGACACCTTCATATTCTCAAACTCACTGCGAAAGATTTCGTTGACGGCGAACTGAAAGACATCCTAAGCGAATATCTGGGTCTTTATATACCCACGAGGCACTACCAAAACATCCCACTGTCCGCTCCAGAATCCCCCATGGGTCAACCCCATTCCTCCCGTATTCCGGCCAAGGCTTTGTAAATTCTCGGCAATGGTTGAGCATGATGACGGTGGCATGGACCGTACGAGAAACGTGAAGAATGAACGGCCTAGGGTTTCGGGTCAATCTCGGCATGATAGCCAATTAGACGCTGTACTGAGCGTGACATTCGTGGGGTTAGCTTGCATAGTGAACAAGTCGCGTGGCCGAAATCGGTTCCCTGTCGGCTCCACGAAGTCGGTGCTTGAGTATGGAGCGTTGAATTGCGGGGACTCCACACTCGGAATAAGCGAGACCTCCGCGTTCTGCACCCCAGAACGGGAAAACATGACGAGGATGCCGGCAGAATTTCGGCAGATTGTACCATCATGTTGGGTTTGCAAGCACGCCAAGTGAAGCTAGCTGTGGTTAGGCCGTTTGTGCCATGGTCTTCTTAATAACTGCTGAACCTTATTTGCTTCTCATACCTGTCCAGAGCCATGTCATTCTCCACGGGGATGCGAAGAAAGGTGGGGAGACACGCATGCCACATGACATGACAAACGAATGACTAACTGTGGTCAACTAACTAACTAACTATTCGGAATATGTATCTTCCCTCGTGGGGGCCGATAGATGGGATTCGGGTTCGATTGGAAGTTTCCCGAGAGAAGAGTAAGTTTAGTGTCAAGAGGGAAAGCAAAGGAGGAAGAAAGATTCCTTGTGTCCCGCTTCTCCCCGAACTTGCGGATCCCGTGGTCAGGATCAGGTGATTGCGAAAATGGCACAACAACCATAAGCTTCTTCTCTCTTTCTTCCTTCTTCAGGAACTTGTGGTAGAAGAGGATAGTCTATGGTTGCTACTACGCTCTCCCATCCCTCCTAATCCAGCACTCGGATTCCCACAAAGTCGGCTCCATAAGATTGAAATCCCTCGTCACCCCCCACATTTCCAACTACCACCTCGTTTAACCCTTCCTTCCAGCCACTAGTCAGTAGTCCTAAAGTCGCTGTATCCCACCATCCCAATCCCGGACCGAACAGCTCGCTATGTCTTCCGCTCAGCGGCACTTCGATCCTCACCGGATCCTCGCTGTTCACCGTCACGGTCAAGTTCCGAGAGTTGGACCCCCAGCCCCAGGACGAGTCGAAGGCAATATCATTATTTATCCAGTCAATCTCCAGATACTTGCTCCCACTGGTAGTCGCGGAAATCGTTGCTTTGGCAGTGCCACTGGGGCTGATGTAGCCAATCTTTGAGCCAACCGGCTGACAATAACCGCTCCCACACGTAGTCAGCGTGGTAGACCCGGCAAGGGTAAAGTTTGTGCAAGGGTAGTACGTTCCATTGGGAGGTGTGACGTGAATGGCGTCAATAGGTATGGAAGTGTTGATGGTGATTGTGTTGGAGGACCCGGCGGTAAGAGGAATCTCGGCGGAGACTAGCGTGGACGATGCGGGGACCTGTGCGGATATTATACTCTGGTTGGCATTTGATCCGATGGTGATAGTTTCTGTTGAAGAAGCTGGCTGCGAGAAGTGGACGCTAATGATGTACTTGGCACTGGTTGTCATGGCGTAGACGTTTTGGAAAGTCGTCGTTTGCCTAAGACGTCAGAAGCATGTCTGTTGGAATGAGGACGAACATACCCAAAAGATACTCCGAAAAGTCCTCGCGGATACACTCCGACAGCAGTCGTATTCTGTAGTTCGAGTAGCATCGTGCCATGGCCGGCTACTGTCGCCGTGTAGGAAGTAAGCACATCCTGTGCAGTAGTGCCGTCCCAAATGTTCTTCACCGTCCCTGCATGTTGGAGCCCAACATCCGGCAAATTAAGGGTCAGGTCCCTGCTTTCATTCTGCCAATTGATGACCGCAGCCACTGTCCGACCATTCGACAGCGGCCCACTCCATACCTCATAGCCCTCTTCGGTCCAGCGCCGGCGTAGACTCGCACTCTTCCCCAGTGCATCTTGATTGAATGATATGACATCCTTCTGTTTCAGAACTGCTAGCGACGCGTCATTTATGGCAGTGAGCTCATCCTTTAAGGCAGCGCCGATTATCAACGGGCTCTTGAGAATGGCCCAGAGCGAAAAGTGCGTCTGCTCCTCTGGAAGAGAAAATATATTGTTCCCCACTTCAAGCATGTCAAGGTCCGGCCATTGGCCCGGGCCAGCAACATCTGTTTGTGGAGCTGCCTGGTTTATGATGCGGAAGATTGTCCGCCAGTCAGGTATGATGTCGTTCCCAATTCGCCAAGAATGACCGAGAGCAGGGGCCCAATTCGCGGGGAAGCTGATACCCCACTCGCAGATCTGGAATAGAATGGTTCGATTTTGCTGCAATAAAGCATGAGACATGTTGGCGAATCTGGGCTCCGGGGAGGTACTGGGCGCGTAATTGACGTTAGGGTAGCCAGTTGCGGCGTCGGAGTAACAATTGTCGTCTAGTAAGCCCATCAGAGAGTATCCCCAAGCGCGTTTCTATGAACATACATTTGAGAGATTCCACATTCCACGAGGCAAATGTTCTGGCATCTTGTTCTTCGTGGTCTGCGGCGCGCGATTAGCAGTCCGCATTCACGTCTGTCCATGATGGTTGGCATACACAGGCTTCCTGTCTCATTCGGCGGACTTCCACATAACAGAATCCCGGAATCCTGATACACGCCGAATAGGAGACCTAGATCATGGAGGAAATCACCCATAGCCGGGAATCCTTGAGGGAACAGGGTCTCGTTCCACGTCAAGGATCCGTCAGGCAGCCGGTCTGCGACTGTCCAGCCGCAGTCCGTCGTGACATATCGATATCCGAGAGAGGACAAGCCTAAGTCAACCAATGCTTGTGCATTGGACTGAACGATAGTCTCGTTTGGGGAGCACGAGTAATGATTGTACGTGTTCCATCTGCGCGACTGTATCAGATTTGTATATGGACAAGGCATGCTCGGCCTACCCCATTTGTGGTGTCAATGCTAAGCCATCTTGCAGACGTGGCTGTAGAGATACGCTGGTTACTACACTGCTTAGTGCAGCATACAATATGAAGTGAAGCAGCATGATTTGCGACCCCGGCTGTCAGTACTGTAGGCGCTGGACCATGAGTTTGCGTCAAGTGCGGGGTGCGTCTGCAGACTATTTATACTCATGCATTTAACCGATGTCCCCGGCCTGAAGACTCGGACTTAATGTAGCTCTATTTAATTAACCGGGAACAGAACCTTGCATCGTCGGTTAACAGGTTTGAATATTGTTACAATTTCAAATGTCGCCGACCCTTCAACTGCTCTGAGATTCTTGTATTTGACGATAATTATGCTTTCACCCCACGACCATCTGGCGAAGACAGGATGTGTAAGCGAAGCTGTACTCCAGCTTTTATTCATAGTATATTAGTCTTCTGTTCGGATATCTTGGTTTGTGCATTCTGTGCTTTCATCGGTGGTAGGCCATGAGAGACAAGCGGTGCTGGGTGCTCCGAAATCTAAGTGTAATTAATGGAAAATGAGAATTGGAACAACTGAGAAAATATAGTAGTTTCGTTACATTACACAGCAATGGAAGGTGATTTGATGTCTGATTCAGTTGGAGCAAGCCAGTACGATATCTAGCCACACAGGAAGCAATTCAGACAGGCACAGGCTCTTTCTTTGGAAGCATATGATCCAGGAGCAATTTGCAATCAACCCTCAGGCAGGTAAGCACTACATGCAAAAAGTAGCTCTGCGTGCGTCTGGAGCTCATGCATAATAACAAATAGCTTATAAAAGAAAGACACCAGGAGATATATTTTGTCTGGAGAGCTTCGCGACGCTCAACGAGACATAATTCTCATTAAATCTAAGCAAGCACGGAGGAGTATCAGTAGGCGATCATTGCCAGGCAAAAGGCAGGGATTAGCAGACACCTACATGAACCAACCAGAAGTTGTACTCGAACAAGGTGTGGTTGTTCCACGAACTCTGTTTCTCGCCCTGGACCAACTATTCCTTAACATAGTCGACGAAGCGTAACCCTTGTAATAGAAGAGAATAGGTTTCGCTCTAATATACGTGTAATCGTTGAATAGTCAGACTGCGGAGTAGTTCCCGCCCGGGTCGGATCGGCAACTCCGCCATACAAAAGATGCCTCTTGCAGCTGTGACTTGTGCCAATAGTATTAGTTATGGTTTTATATAAGTATGTATCTAGATAAACTAGGCAGTAGGTTATTTTCTCGATTTAGGGAAATTTCCTGCCTATCATTCTCAGGTGTAGTAGATCGAACATCACTGTTCTCCAATGTCATCTGATACAGTGGGATATAATATGATAGTATAGGATATTTTAACATTGACTCACTATCTATGCATTTGACATACTCAACACCAAAATTTGGAGGAGTAGTAAAATGAGGTTTCGCCACTCCGAACGCCGTCGGACGGGGTTTGGTTATTTCACTAGCTGCATGACAAGGCACATCAACCACCTGGAAAGAAAACACCGTATGCCAATCAATAATTCTCCAGGAACTTAAGCCCATCTGCATTTGAGGTCAGCACGGTACCAGCTTTGTGATTGGGTGGCTCCATGCGTGAATGTAGAAGCACGATGGAAAAGTCACACCGCAACTTCATATGCGAGCATTGCATTCCAAATCACACGATTTATGTGTCATACAGTCATGCAGCATAGCTGAAAATCTAGACTTCCCGTGTCAAAATATTTCAACCAAGAAGGTTATATGATGTTGGCAGATCCTCATTTAACAGTCGCCCCAGATACGCGCCCTCATGGCTACCGAGTCTCTCAAGATCGCTCTTATTTATGAGCTTCGCGAGGCCTACAAGGCCCTCGGTTACTCAAATGCAGACTGCGACAGGTTCGAAGTCGGAGAAGCAGCCGAGCACATAGCTGCTGCTCTCAAAAATTTGGGGCATGAGGTTGTCCTTGTTCCAGACATCCATTCCCTGGTTAAGAGGCTAGCACATGGCGAGGGTAGTACATGGGACTTGGCATTCAATACCACGGAGGGCCTACATGGATTAGCTCGAGAAGGTCAAGTTCCCGCATTGTTGGAGGCCTACCAAATCCCGTTCACATTTTCGGATGCGGCCACGATGGCATTGTGTTTGGACAAGGGCAGAACAAAGGTGGGGTGCTTACAAGCTTAGTCTAACATAGGCGTTCTTTCAAGTGATTACCAGCTAACATACACTTGCTAGATGGTTCTTGAACACTTCAAAGTTCCAACTGCTCCGTTTGCAGTGATCCACTTCGATCATACCGCTGAGAAGACGCAGGTTTCATTGGACGAGATCCTGTCTATGATTCGCATGTCTCGTCATTCCGAAACGCTGCTGAGTCAATATCCGTTGTTTGTAAAGCCTCTTGCTGAAGGCTCTTCCAAAGGAATTGGAGCAACCAACAAAATCAAGAGTATTGAATCCCTATGTGGGGTGGTCAACTCTCTTCGAGATTCCAGCCCCTCATCGCTTGGGGTTCTCGTCGAGAAGTATCTTCCGGGCCGAGAATTCACTGTGGGCATCCTGGGAACGGGCGAGGATGCATGGGTGGTCGGTGTCGACGAGATCATATGGTGCAGCAAAGAGTCGACGAATTCTAACCCCGAGTCAGTAGAGTTCACAACTGAAAAATCGAAGTCAGCCGACGATTGGGCTGGAGAGGCCGATGAGATCAAGATCGGACGGGACGACCAGGAAGCTGACCTTGCCTGTCAAACAGCTCTTCGGGCATGGACTGTCCTGCGCTGCCGTGATGGAGGAAGAATTGATATACGGATGGATCACTCCTCTGGGTCGCCAGTCGCTCATGTCATGGAGGTAGGTGTATCGACTGAGATACATACTTGTCCTTGGCTCACCAGATTCAGATCAATCCCCTAGCAGGTCTTCTCCCACATTGGTCGCAGTTGCCCATGATCGCCGAACACAATAATGTCTCGTACAATGAGCTTATCGAATACATACTAAAGAGTGCTTTACAGAGGCGGAGGGGTCGGGTTCTGAACTGAAGGCATTTGCTGTTACGGGATAAGCTGGGTTCAGGACTGCGTAGGCGGAATCAGCAACAAGCCACTGTCGAAAGAGAATTCCTCCGTCAATACTTTCTTCACAAATGGCGAGCCAGTCTAATAACGTAATGAGCCATGCAAGCTGCCACTATACCTATTCGTGGCCTGGCCCAATGTAAGATTACCATACAGAAAGGGGAAGTCTCGTTGGGTGACTTGCCCCTATCTTTCAGCTTCTGGGATTCGATGAAAGTCAGGACTATATTTGTCTCACCCAACTATCAGCCTAGACTTCTAGGAACAAATGTCTTCAGCCGTGACCATCAGCCTAATCCGTACATAGAAGGAATAATGTCTGCCCGTAGACACTAGGCAAATAGTAGGAAACCTTCTACCATGTCTCGGGAAGACTTTACTGACCAAGTGACCAACATCTCTTAGGACAACAAAATTCAGCTCTGCACGACCCTAACCTGTTCTTTCCATGCCAAGAGGCTTCTTCGGGTTAAGAGCTTCTATTGGAGGGTGTCATGGTGCATGCCACATCTGCAAGCTCCAGTTGGTAGTAACTATGATGTAAACTGCCACTTCACAAGAGCCAGTTGAACAGCTTGACAATCCACCTAGGTGCAGCGACTCTTCATGGTGACAGACAGTCCAACTGCGATACGCGACTCGAAAGCCTTCTCAGGTAGCTGAGGGCAGAGAAACAAAGATGGGGTGGGTGGTTCTATTCATTGTTAGTGTCGCCTGGCATCGATCACTCGAAGGCTTGAATGGAAGTATCAATCAGGTCCTTGTTATTGCCAGTAGTTCTAATCACTCAAAACAAGGAACGAGTCTATCGAACTATGGCTATGTCGATCGCATCTCATCAGTGGGGATTTGTCCCACATCTTCAACGGTGTGGAAGGCCATCGGAAAGGGGGAGAGCCAGTCATTGCACCTCAATCACAGCCTCGCCGGTTGAATAAACGGTTAAATAGCTAACTAAGACAACAGTCTCACTTGCCGTTGGTTCCGAGGCTTCCCATTCCCAAGATGAGGCATTGTGGAGATCGCACCGCACCAATCCCTCAGTTCTATCCCATTGACACCCGAAGCCCCTCTTACCAGTCACATATTCTCCATCAACATGGCCTATATCACCCATATCAAGGCTGCAACATTCATGTATGTCTCACTGCTAACCCCTCCTACAGTCATCCCACATTCCCCGTAAGACACCCCTCTCAATCAATGACAAACTCATGGTGTCACCTCGGCCCGTCCGCCTCCCCCAGAATGAGACATGTCTGTATTAATGTGGGTCTCATATGCGCCGATCGATTTCCCTCGCCCATTGGAAGCGAATCCACTAAGTAGATTTCCTGCAATCACCGTTGTCGTTTCTCCGATGTCTCGCCAGGGGCACCCACATGGCCTCCAGCCACAGCCAATAATCTGGCCCTATAGACCCCGCCGTGTTAATTTTAGGTCACATAATTGCCATCGAGGGGGGACCCTGAAATTGAGTCTAAAGCAATCATATCCCGGCAGAAGATTCCATCGGACCAATCGCCCTTTCTGGGGGTGATGACAACATATTTGCTGTGCTGGGTAAGTAGGGACTGTTTGTGGGTTGAGACATTGTATATTGGCAGCTGCAAAGCAGTTGTTGCTAATTATGGTGCTGGTCGAGCGAGATGAAAGGTATAAAAGGCAGCTCGATGTCCTCGATAATCATTCCCTCATCATCACAACAAGTCTCTCACATCCTTCACATCCGATCAATTAACAAACCAACTCTTCTTCAATCTACATCAAACCATCCATCAAGATGCAGCTCAAGAACCTGATCTTCGCCGCCGCTACTGCCGCCGCTCTCCCGGCCACCGACGCCGCCACTAACGAGCCCTTCGGCGTCATCTCCATCCACTCCGGCTCCGGTGTTCAGTATGCTCCTTTCAACGCCGCCCTTGGCAGCATCTTCGCCGGCCTGAAGAGCCAGAACGCTAGCTGCTCCAACCCCCAGGACCAGACCGCCACCTTCTTCCTCGACGACGGTGCTCTCTACCTGTACGACCAGTCTGCGACTCCCCAGGAGCTCTACGTTGACCGCTCCGGCATGGGTATGTTTATCCTCCTTCCTAGCGTGCAATAAACAAGTACTTTATGACTGACGTGGATATTTGTCATAGGCCAAGGCGTTATCGGATACACCACCGGCGCTCAGCCCGCCCCCAAGAACGCTGAACGCAAGGGCTGGTCCATCGACGCGAACAACCACCTGCAGTTCGGTGGAAAGGACCTGATTGCCTGCCCCAACAGCATCGAGGGTGCCTGGAGCATCTGGGCTGATGCTGGTGTTGCGAAGCCCGGCTACAACGAGGGCTGTGAGGGTATTGCTGCCCGTGTCGAGGTCAGCAAGAACCCCAACGTTTGCTCTTACACTTCCAACTAAGGCAGTACGGATGGATCCGCTGGATACTGCTTGACAAGATGCTTAGTTGGCTGGAAATCTTGAGTTCTGTTGTTTGTTTTGAGTTGTATTCATATAATATAGCGCCATATAGCGAAATCGTATCTATTTTTCTTCGCTGAAAGGTTTCTGAACGTGCTTTAGCTATCTTGAGTGATATGACGAAAGTAAAAGCTCTTCTGCATGAACATGCCTTGGCAGTGCCTGTCAAATAATCTATCCCCTCCCAAGACATCTTTTGTATCGACCGTAGTCCCTTCCGAACAAGCATTGGTATTTTTCTCAGAGATAGTAAATTCCCCCTCATCTATCGAGATGAAGCTAAGATAATCTTGACATGAATACCACAGCGAAACAAAACCTCGGATTGCTGTCCCTTATCTGAGGATCTAATTCACCACCGATACTCGTCAACGGCAGCTCGAGAACTATGGCTATGTTAACCACCGGTTTAAATTATTCGACCCCCATATAGAAGTCGCGCTCGTGTTGTGATTATTTCCCGCGAGATAACTAGTAGTTAAAGAACCTCACGATCCGTCATTCGAAGCCATATTCCAAGTCAAGGACAGAGACTATCCTCAAGATTGTCTGTACTTTGACAATGATCGACAGTAGTCTGCTAGTGAGATATATATTGATAATCAGATAACACTAGTGCGGAGTGCGTCAAGAGGCACAGTTGGATAGAAGGGACCTGGGACAATGTGCACATGCTGTTAGAGATGACACTAACGAAGCAACTAATAATCCAAAATCGCCTTTCCACATTGTATCTCAATCCCGACTGCTAAGCTTGGTTTACTGCTTGTGGCTTCGGCCGCTAAGTAGCAATCTGAACAGGCTGCATGCTCAAGAAAACTACAAATGTCCCGAAAGTCGTAAATTGAGGCATTAGCGATAATGGTTTCCGCTAATCAATGAATGGCAAAGAGACAAAAACCCACTGTGCCATTGATGGTGAAGTTGGGCTGAATCTAGATAAGATTACAAGGATGAAGACACGGGACATCCAGCCACCTGAGGCAGCGACATTTCCTGACTGAGGCATTCAGGGTCTCGTCAGATGACCATTAAATGACAGGACTCATTCTCGATCAGTAGCGGGACCGAGTGGCTTCAGGGCAACGTATGCTCTGCAAGATGAAACCGCAACAGCCAGCAAACAATCAGTCACCCTACGGTGCCTTCAAAATCCAACTATACCATTCTGGATGCTAACTGCATAGCCAGTTGCTTCTTAAGCGAATAATCCCACATCCCCGGATCCCCCGGAATTCATACAGCCCACCCTTTCCATCTACAGCCTAGTTGCACTGCGCTTTCTCGAAGGGTCGACGAATCCGCACTCGCGAAATCCCTAAATGGCAATTACACACATGAAACGCTCTTCGTCAGACTACTACCGAAGCCAAGGCAATGACCCGACAACTCCGACGATCCTCTCCCATCCGGGCCGATATACCAGACCAGTGTACAACATTCACGACTGTCACAAGCTCAGGACATTCGGATTAGAATTCAATAATATAGTGATGCCTGTGAGCACAGAACCCAGTGGTATTCACAACAGACACCCTCTCCATTGTGAGCAGGCAGAACCCAATTTCCAGTCATGCGGTGGCAACTGGTCAAAGCCACAACCGCAAAGTGAGCGAATCGGGATGAGAGCCAGTTCCCAACCCGACGGACGAACCAGGATGTTTCCAAGATTCGGAGTCCGCGGAAAATTTCTATTTCGATAGTGGCAGTACAATCCCAACAACTTACTGTGTACTGGGATACTCACACTTTGACTGTGGTGAACAGTTACTGTGAACCAGTAAGGACAGCCAAGCCGCGCCACGCCACAGCCACAGGTACTAACTAACAAGAAACAAGATGCAAATAACCTCACCACAACATAAGCCAAGCCAGGCCATAATAATTCTACGATTACATGCAGGCTAACAAAACAAACAATCAACCAAACCAAAAACCAAAAAAAGCAAACGTCATCAGGCAACACCATTCCCACTCCAACCGCACTAGGTGCCCCGTTTTGGTCCTATTCTCTCCAGGTTCAAACTTGACCAAGGCCCTGCCCTGAATTGCGTGGACCCAAGAAATCGTATGTCCTCATAGTGGAGCCACGATGCCGTGTTCCGTCGAATACCGATGGCTCGACCATCCACTTTGCAACATGCGACGCAATTTCATTCGCGGGTTGCCTCGTGGATCTCATTGCCACGGTGGCTAGGCACTTGTCCATAGGGTGCTATTCTTATCCGTTTCGAGGGGAATCGATGGTAATTGCCCTGGTGATCCTTATTTGAGCCTCTGGGGTTATAAATACTTTGCTTTTCCTGCTCTATCCAGCCTTCTTCATTATCTCTAATCAATCATATCTACATCTACTACTTTTCTCATACTTCGGTAGTCTTATCTACTTATCATACTACTACTACCAAACCTAAATCTACCACACTACATACATACAAAACCTTCCACACACACTATACAAACCAACAACCACCACCAACACATACTCAAAATGAAATACGCTCTCTCTACCATCCTCCTCACCACCCTCCTCGCCACCCCCTCCCTCTCCACCCCGGCGCCAGACGTCGTCAGCGACGCCATCGGAGTCGCTCAAACAATCGTCTCTGGCGGTGAATCCGTGGCAACCAACATCGCCAACGACGCGACCTCCATCGCCTCAGACATCAGAACTGGCGGCGGCGCAGCCTACTCCTCCCTGACCTCCGACGCCGGGGACGTGGCCTCGAACGCCGAATCTTGGGGCACGTCCGTGGCGTCGAATGCGCGGTCTGATGCGTCGGCCGCGGCATCGGATATCAGATCTAAGGCGTCGGATGTCGCCTCGGAGATTACCTCGAAATGGGAGAGCGCGACGACCTTGACAGGGTCGAATGGCCAGCCGACGAGTACGGAGACGGTTAGTGGGAAGACGACGCTGACTGCTAGCACGGCGAGTGCGACGGGTACGAGTGCTAGTGGATCCAGTGCTAGTGCGACGAGTTCGACGAGTGAGGGCGCGGGCGTGGCTATGGCGACGCCCGGAGTTGGGTTGGGGATTGGAGTTGCGGGTGTCGCGGGTGTCTTGGGGGTTATGGCTGCTTTGTAAGGGGGTGAGTTGGTAATGATGGAGTGGGGGGACAGATTGTTTGATGGGTAATGGATGGGTCCATGATTGATACCAATGTATATGATGTTTTGATTCAGATTATAACATATCAAGTTGTTTCATTCTTGTCTATTAGTATTGGTATCTGTTCGAAGAAGTTGGTATGTGTAAACTATTATTAGTAGGAAGCACCAGTATGCGCTTCGTCCCTCTTCTCTTCCGTCTCTGACTCCGTCCTCTCCTCTTCCACCCCGTCCACTGTCATCTTCGGCCCTGTGTACCACTTGCGCGCGAACAGGAAGTAGTATGTCATGCAAGCGACCCACACGAATCCGTTAATGACGATCGTGTAGTTCATATCGGATGCTGCATCGAATCATATTAGCATAATTCCCACCAAATAAGGAGGTCTTGATCTCCATGAACGCAAAGGAATGGAATATACGTACGACTCGGATTCGGCCCCGTCGTTGGGAACATCGACAGCATCAACCCAAAGGCCAACCACAGCACCGCAACAATAGCAATCGGACGGCTCATAAATCCCGTATAGAACTCGCCCGGTCTGAAGCGCTCCTTGCCCCAGATCAAGCGGCAGAGGATGGGCGTTGCCCATGCGACGTAGTTACTGGCCACGAAGAGCGAGAAAAGTGCGTTCGCTGCGACGGAGTTGATGAGGCAGAGTAGGCCGAAAACGATGCTGACTGCTACGAGGCCGCAGATGGCGCGCACGGGCTGGTAGCGGATGCGATGACTGACGTGGCGGAAGTAGTTCGAGAAGGGGAGAGCGCCATCGCGGGAGAAGGCCCAGGCTTGGCGAGAGGCAGCGGTGATCTGTTTGTGTTATTAGTGTTAGTTGGGTTGGGGATGTTGAATCTGGGAAAAAGGGGGATGGGCGGGCATACCAAGCTCAGGCCAATTAGGAATTGGATTACGATCAGCACACCCATAAATCCGAGCGCGCCCTTTTTGCCTAGTGCCTCGTAGTAGACCTGGGCCATGGGCTGGCCGAACACGGAGTTAATTGTTGCGTTGACGTCCTGGTTCATCACTGCAGCTATAATGCTCAGGACTAGGAACCCGAACACACATGCGCATCCGGAGGACCAGATGATTCCTAGAGGAACCGCCTTGGCGGCGTGTAGGGCTTCCTCGCTCATGTGCACACATGAGTCAAAGAATCCGATCGACCAGATTGGCGCGAGGAACGCTAGGATGAAGTTCCACCCTGTTGGCCATGTACTCTCGTTGTCCACGTGCCCAAAGACCCAAGTGCCCGGGTTGAGGGACTCCCCACGGGTGACTTTGCCGACGGGCAGAGCGATGACTGTAGCGATGATGATGGCAATGTTGATGAAGATGCAGAACGTCTGGATACGGGGCATGATTGGTCCCGAGTAGACGCTGACAACGGCGTGAACTAGGATGAGACCGACATAGACGCCGTAGATGGTGCCGTTGGAGGCGGAATAGGTACCGTCGCGGGTGATGGAGACGCAGGCGAGAATCATAAGCGCGAGGGTGTCTGGCAATTAGCAGCAAATCACTCTTAGGGGGTGAGTGAAGGCTTACAATCCACGGAGCAAATTCCGCCAATCAGGCCCAGCGTGTTGCTGTAACCAACCAGGAAGCTCAACACATTTTTATACTTCTTTCCAGCAAAGTAGTGCGTCCACCAGTATAGACCACCAGCTGTAGGCATTGCCGATGCCATGTCGGCCTATATTGTTGTCTTAGCATGGCTTGGCATGTACTAAAGCGAAGGTCCACATACCAGGGCTAATCCAACGAAGAAGATCAAGATACTTGCGGTAAACCAGCCCTGCATGATGTTAGCTCGTGCCACGCGAGCTGTAACCCCATATGCATATACCCACCCAGATCATCCCTGCAGGCCCGGCCGGTAAGGAAAACGAAAGTGTAGATGCGATTGACGGCACTAAACCCATGATACTGAATGCGACGGCGAATATTTGCACGGTGGAATACTGGCGACGGAGTTCCTGTTTGTAGCCCATTTTGGCTGACACCTGTTAGCATGGGCGTCCCTGACCCTCGTCCATGAACAAATCGGTCGCAGACTCACCTAGTAGTTGCGAATCTCCGGGATCCGAGAGTCCAGCTTCCTCCGCGCCAGAGTTGGCCGAGACGGCCGTAGGGGATGCCTTTGCGGCCATTGTCCCGGGATGGACGAGCAAAAGTGAGATCGAGCGGAATGGGGGACACCACGAGGTCGTCAAAGGAGGCAAAAGGGTCAAAAAGGATTGAAGTCGAGGCCAGTCACGGGGGAGAAAGCAGCAGTTATAGGGATCGGATTGAGTTTGCCAAGCAACGGATTAAACCTTCTCGATCCTCGACTTCTTCAGCTTCGGATCAGTTTGGCTGTCAAGGTCTGTGACACCAGACAATCCGGTTGCAAGGGAAAGAGACTAGGAAGAAGACAGGAAAAGCTCCTCCCGGTAGCCGCCAGGACATCCCTGGAATTGCTAGCAACCTTCGTGTGTCGTGCGCCGGGGTTGCAGGTCGCCCTTCCACGGACCTCTTGTTGCATCTCCTCACTCCGGCTGGCCCCCCACATGGGGGGAAGTCGTGGGTCGCCGATCATCGGGATGGCAAGATTGGATTGTGTGCCACTGGGCACTTCTGCAAGGCATAGAAATGAGAATGGGCAACGTCAAGGAGCAAGATCGGCTGCTGGAACCTGATTGACAGCCTGGTAAGCTGGCTGTCATCCAAAGTATACTCAAATTATCTTTTTTTCCCATCACCAAAGTATGAGCTTAACTTTCTCTTTGTCTCCTTCCTGCAGGAATGATGATCTGGAACCAGTGCTATAGACTGCGCTGGAGTCCGCGCAAAGGAAATCCCGCCGAAGACAGGATGGATCCACCGCCCGGCCAGGAGGTGAGACCAATGGCCATCCCGTTCCCTGGAATTGGCGGCAGCACTAAACAGCCACTGGCAACTCTAGAACTTCGCTTGTCACTGGCTCGATCGTTGCGCCCGCAGATTGAGTGTCTGCAACTGCGTCGGATGTATTCTCCTACATGGCTAGTTTGATGCTAGCGAAGCGTGCTAACGGCTGAACACGGAAGCCCTTACTCTCCTACGCACGATATCGCTCTAATTTAGTATCGTATACTAGTCTAGAATCTATTAGTTGTGGTATGCACGTAATAGTTAGTAGTCTAGTAGCTATTGTTAGCGAGGCAAAGCCAGCCAGCCAGTTTTGCCCGGTCGGAGATGACCCGCGCCCACTTGCTTGGGTCGACTCAAACTTCAGTCATCAGTGCGCGCTTCTACATCTCCACTCGGAGGACGCCGCTGAACCATGAACTAAAAGTTAGTTCGACTGTCTACCAAACTGTTGCGAAAGTCTTTCCAGGTCCTGATAGTCCACTGAAGTGCTGCCTGGTTGTTTCCAAGTGCCATGACGTCCCCATGCGGTGCCGATCGAAAGCTATTAATTGCTATTTACGTCTGTGCATAACTACGTAGTACTAGAAGAGCTACTCTACTACAGCTGGTGGTGAAATTTAGTCCAACATAAAAGATCGTAGAAATAATCATCATGATATTGAGATCGATCAACTGCTTCGCTAAGATTAAAGCCACTGGAGAAGAAGACAATTCCAGATAATGCAAGGCTCCCCTGATCGAGATGCAAACTCCATGTCGCCAAACGAGACCCTATTGCAGTCGCTGCTGTTCACATCATTATTACAGGGTATCTATGTGCCACTTTTATCGTACAGTCTATAATACATGAGAAGGGAAGTCGCGGGGTCTTGCCGCCGCCCGTCATATCCTTAACGTCCCTCAAGGACCTTGAGAACCAGCTCGTATGTCCCGATGGTGATTGCTGCCGACGGCACGGTGCGGAGAAGGTGTGCCGTCAATCCTCCATACAGCGCGATCACCCCCTCTTCCTTCAAGATCAACCGCGCACACTGGAGGATACTAGTATACTTCTGGCGACCGTCCGCCATCGGAGCCTGTCGAAGCCGAGTACGGATAACCTGCAAAGTGTCAGAAGATGCATATGCTGAGATCCTCGACGCGTCAACTCACCTCATGGGGATACGCGATCAAGCAAGCAAACAGCTTCGACAATCCCGACGCTCCACTCAGAGCAAGGCCCTGAACAAACTTGTTCGAATCCGAGTTCTTATCCAAATTGACCTCCTTGGAAATAAGTCCCTTGATGCGCTCATACATGGCCAGATGCAGTGTGGTTTCGATTGTGCCCAAGTAGCTGGCCGTCAGACCTCTGTAGAGACCCTTGGGACCCTCTTGTTGCAGAATCTGCTTGGTACAATCCAGACTATTCTTGTACCGGCGAGCACCAGCCTTATCCAACTGAAGACGAGTTTTGACCACCCAAATAGGGTTGGTAGCTGAGCCCGTGGCAATACCAGCGCATGCTGCGGACATGGCATGTACCAGAGTAGTATCCTTGTCGCAACCCAAGATCTCCGGCAGCAGGCGTTTGCAGTTTCCGTATGTGTAGAACTTCACCGCACTGGCCGGGACGACACCCGTCAAGCTGGGTCCAAGGCCCTTGAACATACCCCGCCAGCCTTCAACACGATGGATAGAGAAGAGAATGCCGAACGTCTCGCGGAAATGGCGGATAGAAGTCCGAACGAATGACTGACGCACGTGCGCGTGTGTGGGAATTGAGCGGTTCACGCCCTGTGTCTGATAGTAATCGGTTTGCAACCTAGGAAGCACAAGATACGTTAGCATGCAAAGCTGGGTTGTTGCTTGAGTTGAAGGCTTATCCTACCGCGTGCGGAGAACATCAAGAGGACTCGTAACGATAGCAGTGACCATGCCGCCGGTACTTTCATAAAACGTCAGTATTCAGCTTCTCAATGATAGCATTGAATCAACTCACGCGCCAGCAACCAAATGATTCCATGATCCCAAGCTAGACACGCTGGCCTTCTCTTCGATTGCCTCCGTCGGCAAGGACGGCGGGAGCGGATCTCCAGACGCGCCTCCCGACTGGTGAGCAACAGGCTGCATCTTGCCGGAGTTGATGAAACAGTAAAATAACTTCCAATCTGCTCAGCGACACTTGAGTAACAGAAGACTCTAGGGGCCAGAGGAGAGATCGGAGAGTGCAGGAGAGATTAGCCTGGCCTGGGCAAGATCAGGAAAGTTTTTTTTGCAGGAATAAAATACCGAGCGGCGAATCCCAGGCGGTCTGGCCTTCCCCATCCAATCATGTGACCTGCCATCGAGGTCCATGGATATCCACTTTGTTACCCATTTGTGACATAGGTGGTTACCTTCCTAGATAGAAAGCTTGCCACTGATTATGTATTCATTGTCAAACTTCTGATATACAGTCCATATTCGAGGTATATGATAGTAACCCCTAGATTGACGTGTGAGCAACTCGCGCGTCAGGAAATACTGCTTACTCCGGAGCTGCCGGGGGAGGATCTGTCCCCGAATGCCTTAGTCAGGCGGCCCCACCCCGCGACGGCCCCACTGGCTTCCCCATTCAGGTCAGCTTTCAGGGCCTCAGGAACCCAGGGGAGAATGTAACGCTGGGGTTTACAGCGGACTCTTTCAGATACTCACGGAGAGCAGTTAGGATAGCGAAGTGATTTCACTTTGGAACAACTAACTTGAAACATACGGTAGAAGGTGTGTACGAGAAGAAAGAGACGATCAGTACTACCCAATTTCAACATAGAACTTGAATTGATTCGATGTCATTCATGAGTGGAATTAGTAGTATGAGACATGGTGCATCTGTGAACACTCCCCAAATCGAACAATCTTTGAGCTTGCTACCAAGATGCATATTAAGAAGAAAGAAAGGAGTAGGTCAAGCAGCAACCGATGGACAGCGTCTCAACATTAATACTCGTCCCGCTCAGGGTACGTAAACTTCAGGACTTTTGAGACATGTTCATAGCTGAGCTTGGTTTCCTGATAGCGGGCGAGAACTCTGGCTGCTTTTAGCACGTTTCTGATTTCTCTTCCGTTCAATTCATAACCCTCCAGATCGAAAAGCTCACTCCCAGAGAATGCTTTTCGATCCGACTTTCCGAGTAAACGGATCCAGATATGGCGGCGGGACTCCGAGTCGAGTTCGGGATAGTGGATGGCAACAGCGATATGGGATTCCAAGGCAGGGTCCATGGTCTCGACACGATTTCTAGCCAAAAATATAATCCCCTAATAGGTGTTATGTTAGGACTATTATTGAAGACTGTGTTGAGCACATACCTCAAAGTATTCCAGTAGTGGTAAGAATACATGGGATAGCGCCTTTTTCTGGGGATCGCTGGGGTTGTGTTTCTGTGTGAGAATATCGGCCTCCTCTAGAAGAAGTACAGCGCCCCATTTCGGAACCATACGCAGGACAAAGCTCAGGCTCTCCTTAATTTGCGCAGCAGTTGTTCCTAGCGCTCCCGCGTTCTGGACGTAAAGCGGCACTTGCCTGACTTCGGCGACACATTCGGCGGTCAGTCTTGCCAACGCCAGGGGGACCATGAAGGAGCATGATGACATTGCGGCCATTGCCTTGAAGCAAATCGTCAGATACATCGGATTTCTTTGACTGAGAAGTCGCGAACGCAAGAACCAGGTCCTTGAGATCTTTGGCCTCGCCGTCAGGCAGTACCAGAGATTTAAACGGTCGCGATTTCCAGACAATATCCGATACACCGTCGATGCAAAGTTCCAGCCATTTTCTGTCTTTGAGAGAGTAACCACGTAGGACTGAAGTTGCGATCAGAAAGTCTTCATCAGAAGGTGAGTCGGATATATCTATCAAGCTTATTGAAAATTTATCCGAGTGGAACGCGAGATATGCCTCCGTGTCAATGATAACTCGGCTGTTTATTTTGTACCTAATCTCTTGACCACCATAGGATGTCAAAGCTAATCCTTGGTAATGCTTGTGGTGATGGCCTTCGTGCTGATACCAGAGCTTTCCACGAAGGGTCAGGCTTTCGCGCAGCGTGTCCTTATCATTATGGAACATAAAGGGAATCATTGGCAAGGACATGATAGGCTTGGTGCCTTCAAAGGCTGGAATGTAGAGGGTGTATTTCCTGTACCCAATTTCGTAGCCATTATAATCAATGTAAACGGCTTGAATTTCGTAGTCTGAATCGACCCAACACATTTCAAAACGAAAGGCGCGCTTGCAATCATTCACGGTACTGAGAACTATTTGACCCGGTTCAAAGATGGTCCAGAGCATGTCGAAAGTGATCATGCCGTTAAGGACAAGGTTCTGCTTGTTCGTGATGATATCGCTGAGTTCGATTGCCAGGACCCCATACAGTAGATCTATGTGGGCCTTAGCTTGCGCGTCGGACTCGTTGTCTCTAGCTTCGGAAAACAATTCCCAGCGGTGGACAAACGGTTGAAAGGGCTTGCTGAACTCTACGCGCTCGAGGGACATAGTAATGCCAGGGTAGCCATCCATGACCCTAGCCAAGACCCCTTTGAGATGTTCACTCTGCACAACTATCGAGTCGACTTCGAGCCTTCCGTGTCCACTGGAGCATTTGATATTTCGAACAAGAAGCGCGTACTGGCCGGACTCAGGGGCCCTTACTGGCTCCACGATACCGGCGGCGGGCTCTCTAGTCCATGACTTAATGCCGTTATAACTAGGCTCCGTCTGGTAGAGGTTGAGAGTCTCGCAGATAGATCCAGCCGGAGCATACTGCACACTTCTGCTGTCATTCGCTGGTACGGTCGTTAGCTCAAGTCTAGCTCTTCCTGCCTAGATAAGGACTCCTCAATGATTTTTTGAGGAGACTTAAATCTGCAGAAAATATATATCTTGTGTATTGCACTTACAGATGATATCCTCACTTATATCTATCAAGATTTGATTTGGATCAGATATAGAAAAAGAACGGGGAGGGAGACGCTGAAGTAGCGGCCTTCTTCTTTTGCTGACCCTATCCGTTCTTCTCATAGACATCTTGTGTTACGATGGATGTGACAGAGTTTTGTTGACTGGCTTTCGAAATGGGAGGGTGGCGAGCAAGATAGTCGATAGATGAAGATAGCAGCAGGATCTGTAGCCGCTTGAGCACGAACGAGCAGCGATAGCTGGTCGGACCTCTGACTTTGTAGTATGAAGTTAGATTCTAGCGCCTCTTCACCTCAAGTGAGAGGAACAAGGAGTCTTCCTAGCCCTTCAATAAGATGACTCTGAGCCCAACTCAAACACTCGCATGCCGTCATTCACTACACCGCATTGCTGTGTTTCCAAAGTGTGGGAGAAGTGAATAAAGGAGACTGGAGATCCACAGGTAAGAAATCCTCGCTAGAGGGATATACGCCTAGGATGAGACTGTCTCGTCATCACTTTATACTTTGGTTTTACCTGAGTATGGCCATATCTCAAAGCTAGCTAGGGATCTACATGCACCAACTGGTCATTTCTGTGACCAGAAATGTATTTCTTGTCCTCTTCCGTCTGACAGCATGGAACAAGATCTGATGTAATTTGATTATCTAGTAGTCAGATCTGCCAACGAGTAGCTTCGGCACACATGTACTTTCTGATCTTTAGAAGGTTCAATAACCAGACTATAAGATTAACGAGTTTGGTTGAGGGAGAGGCGGATTCTGGCCGATTATCTTTACCTGACGGAAGTCTGAAGCATATTTCATCTATAACACGCAGAGCGCTTACATGTCACATAGATATCTCCTATCCTAATCACATATTCTCCTGCTCAATGTCGTCTCCCCTAATACTGCGCCACCATTCACTTTGTCGTACAAGTTCACCATCTTCGCCACCCAAAAGAGACCAATACTTCTTCAAGAACCATACCTTTGCTTCCCAACTACGGACATCCCACGGCGTACCAGTCGAAGCATACCCAGTGGAGACTTGCCGATCCCTCTTCCCAATGCCCGCACCTCCCCAGCACACTAAGCCAGAAAGCATATCGTTGAAGAACTCATCCTCATCTATATCGTGCTGGCGAGTGATGAGGTTCCTTCGTAGCGTTCGGAATGGTAGAATGTCTATCATCGGATGGTGCTCGATAGTAATTTGTTCTTGGAATGGCCTCAGATCTGGCTTTAGAGACTTGAAAGTTTCCTGTACTGTGCGGATCAGATTTCTCTTGGCTGCCTCGTCTACCATCACCGCAGCGGGCCGAAAGAATGGCGAGAGGGATTCGTCAGCACATAACTCTTCCTCTGTAACGCCCACATGCCTGACAAGATCAAGAATTGCAGCGATGGTGCAAACTCGGTCGATGCGAAGACTGTTGGTATATGGATCGGCTGTAGTTGTATTCGTGCCAAATCTGAATATTCTGACTTCATTATGGCCGAGAAGGTCTGGACATTCTGTCTGTATTCGGAAATGCGGGCTGGTACAGCCGCAGTCAATGGTGGTTGTCCAGTACAACTCCAGGCTGTCACTGGGCTTATCGCTAATGAGAAGAGAGGGATCGATACATGATGGAGGGTCCCATACACTTAGGGCTGAGGGAGATTCATCAGAATATAGATAGGGTGTTATGGTGGAATCTGATGTGTATAGTGCCGATGGACTCTCAGCTGAAGCTGGGACAAGTTGCTGGCAATTACCAAGAGTGGCCACAGATGTACACGGAACCGATACATCCGAAGCATCATAGAGTGGAAGGGTCTTTGGAACGATACTACTTGAAGCGTTGGGTAGGCCAGACGCTGTGATCGCCCCACTTGGTTGTATGCCAACAGCTGGGGTGCTTTTAAAGGCCGGGGTCTGTCCCGCAGACTCTGCCAGCGCTTCGAGGCGACCTAAGCGCTCACGGAGCTTTTCTCCTAAACGAGTACGTAATTAGTAATTACTTTTGCTAGCTAATCTCCGATGTGGTGACTCCAAATGAGACCCGCACTTACGGTATCTGCGTTGGGCTTGAATGTTCTGTTGCCGCCTCTTCTCCGGGTCACGGCGCACAGGTTTCCGCTTCTTCTCCCCCACACTTTCGCTATGTTGAATCGCTTGGGTTTGAGGTGGCATGGCTGACTTAACAGTCCCCTAAGTAGCATTTATCACCGAAAGCAAAACAAGGATTAAGCAAATAAGCCACGCAGAGCGTTAGGAACATCCCAGATGGAGGCAAGAGACGTACGAGCTCATGGCTGATGGCGCAGCATCGACTGTGCGCGCTAGGCTATTTCGGGATTGGTTTGTCGGCCGACCCACACATTGACACCTCAGGCACCACATCGGTTCCATCGCATGCCATTTCTTACATTTGGCCAACTGTGATCACTTTAACGTCAATACTGACGACCCTTCTTATGTCTCCAACACCACAAAACCCGAATAGAATTTGACGTGCCATTCCTCCGCAATTGGGGCTTCAACTGCTAGTAGATATAACCATCGAGTAATCAAGGTCCCATTACAAGTCAATTACAAATGATTCCAATTTACCTCTTGCCTTCACGATATGCTAGACGCAACCTTTGAGCCAATTGCTCAACTCTGCAGGATGACCAAGCCAAAATTTTCCATCAGCATGCCGAACCCCCATCAGCAGTTAGGACTTGGATTTTGATTTGGCCTTTACGAGCATTTCTCCGTAATTGTGATGCTCATACAAAGGTTCTTCGCTTTTCCGTGACAATGGCTGCGGGAGAGTATGGGGGTCTATCTTGCCGCCCTGGAACATCACCACAATATCCGAGCCACCAAACTCAAAGTGAGAAATTTCATCACCTTTATTAATGGTAGCCCCCGGCTTAAGGTCATCCCTGACCACCACAGACGAGACTTGCGCCATGCCAATCGGTAGAACAGCAACCGTACCTATCTTGTCGTTCTCTATAATGATAATCCCCCGTGCTTGCAGGAATTGATACCCTTCTTTATCTGTCGCCTCCGCTCCACGGAAAACAGGCCCCGAAGAGTATATAGGACGCATAGGGCGTTTTGGCATCAAAGATCGACTATCAGGCTGGTATTCAACGTCTAGGTAAGCCGCACCATCAATAGTGTCGATGACTTTGATAGTACCTCCCACTGGAGCGTGCTGGCGATGATAGTCAAATGAGTTTAAAAACGAATGCAGCCAGACTCCGCCCTTGAAAGAGTCGCCATAATCGGACTTATACGGCCCAAGGAGATCGCCTATATGCCAAGGCAGACCTTTCAGCTCGACCAATGAATCATCAGTGATATCCCAGTATCCGGAGAAGGTTGAATCCGCAGGAAAGATGACAATGCTGTCGTCACCCTCGCCATCGATGGGCCGTGCGCCATCTTTGAGATGACGACAGAAGAAATGATTGAAGTTCTTCCACTTCCCCCCTTCGGTTTTGGATTCATCCGCCTCGAATACATGGAAGCTTGGAGCATTCCAGAAGGAAGTGAGCGATGCTTCGTTCAACGACTCTGGTCGGTCCATGTGGCTTCCAACCTCCTTGGCAAACTTCACCATCCATTGGGAGAGCTCGGATAGATCTTGCCCCACAGATTCGGGCCTAATCGCAGTTTGACAATCCTTGAGTGGGACCTGGTCAAACACGAAATAGAAGATGCACAAAATATAGTAGATGTCTCTGCCCTTTGCTGACTCGGTGGGTATCCAGCCGTCAACCATCCAGGTTGCAAAGTTTAGAAACCCTTTAGCAGAGGTGAGTCCGTAGCTTTCCATCTCAACAATCCTATACTGAAGCGCAGATTGGATAGCTTGTTCAAGGGCCTCCATTCCTGAAGCATAAGGAAATGATTTGTCGAGTAACTGGAGAAGCTCGTTCACGATGGGTGCGTAACGCATTTTGGAACTCGAAGCGCTGGACACTGCGCCGGATGAGCGACTAGGCAAATTGATGATACTGAACATGCTGGCTGAAATGGTGGTTAAGGGCTGGTATGAGGAAGCGAGACGCTAATATCCGTGTTGTCAGGTCGCACTTGCGCAGACAATATAAACCTAGCGCTCAAGCATTTCATACATAAGGGAAAGAAAAAGCCACAGTGACGTGATGGTGAGACGCGCATAGTCATTATTAACATTGGCACGACCTGTGATTCTGATTCAATGGCTTATGGAGCAGTATATTGATGTGCTCCCAAGGCCTGGACCTTTTTCATGGTGCTCTTAATGAGTCCAGCCTCTCGCATACTTGGAGTTGAACATTGATTCGGCCGAAGTGTAACACATTTCGTTCAATCAAAATGAAAGCCAGGGTATTAAGAAGGCTGTAACTGCAATCGAGGAGCAAGTATGTGAACCCGAGCTGACTTCAATTTTGCAATGTGGCGTTCGCCCCGCGCCCCCTCCCCCCGGGCTCTGATACGATAAGCGATACTGTAGGGTCTTCTCTCCTGTCCTCTGTGACACCTTATTCATATGATGCTAAGAATGGAGGTCTGCTGGATGGTAGAGGGACCATCCTGTATAACACGATCGTAATCATATAGCCATTTCATGTAGCCTAGCTAACCTCGCCATCCATTAAAGGTGGCTAATTGCCTTATTATTCTGCTCTAGCAGACCGAACATGATATATGCCCCAGTTCTAAGACATTAGCACACCGTTGATATAGTAGTGATACAACTCGGTCGATGTTGAACTCCAACCTATATTCATTGACGAAGCTGGTTAGTATATCCTTCAGTAATGGCAAGTTTTCCTCGCATTAAGTTCTCGCTCCATGTCTAATAATTATTTTATTATCTATCTACATTGGTACTGCCATGAAAAATCCGAACCAGTAAAATGATTAGGGGAAGTATATGAAAAACGCAGAAAGACAAAGGAGACCACGTGACGTGAAAGGAAGCACAACCAGTCACCTGATTTGAAGACAGCTTCATGTGAACAACCCAACTCCTCCTGTAGTCCACCACTACGTATGACTTCATTGTACCTAATCTTGTTCATCATTCGATCATCAGCTATGACAAGGTTCAGACCGTTCGGGCAAAGTCTCATCGGCTCTGTTCGTCCCGGATCGGCCCAGGCTACTTCCATCGGCCGATTCTGAACAGACTAGATGCGTGCCTGGCCATTTGTGAAGCATCTACTGTTCCTGACATGCATGGTCTGTGGAGTCTTTCCATGAATCTATGTTAACTGCTGACCGTGGATCACAGATATGAAGAACATAGGGAAGAGACGCTGACTGCAAAAGCCTAGACCGGACCGTTGGAACCAGATGCGTCATCGACTCTGTTCTCGGCCAGATAAGGTTACATATGCCTCGCCAGCCACGCCAGCAGGTCCTACTCAGAGTCTAGCCTTCCATGACGTCGGGCCGATGTGAGAAGCAAGCTCTGCATCAGCGGCGGGTTTATTCACTCGTTGGATCTGGCTTCTATTGTTAGGCAGAGCATGCTCGACAATACTCTTGTCGACTGGCCTCTTCATTCTAAAAAGGACAAACTCGCTAAGCGGGGCTGGTGTATTCAATGGGGGTATCCTGAGCGACTTTTCCCACTCGGCTTGAAGGGAGAGTCGCCTTTCTCGCTGAATGGTGAATCGCTCACACTGGTCGGAGACATTCCGTACCCTCTGGTGTTAAATGCCTCTGATAGGGCAACGGAGACACTGAAATCCGATTCTCATCACTCTTACTTTGACAACATAGCCTTCTGTACCTGTATAACACCGGGTAGCTTGAATAATGTCCGAAGGAAGGCGCAGCAACGAATCAAGCTCAAGCTCCTTGATCAGTTATCACAGTGTCGAGAGACCGAATGCAGACTCCGACGCTGAAAAAAGACATGATCTCACCCCCGACAGCGACTCATCACCCAGCGGTCCTCGTACTCATCGAGTTCACTTCGGGGCGGATCGCAGGTTTGAATATGGGGACTGGGATACAGATGAACGAGTTCTCTCTCCCGGTACATCTCACCTTCGACGCCGTTCATCTGCTCAAGCGTCAGTAGACATCACCGATGTATCCCACAGAGGTCCACCGTCTACTAGTACAAATGGCAGGGAGGAAGAAAATGAGAAAAAGCAGCAACACACGACGACGACCGAAAAAAGATCCAGACGCGAACGTCTGAAAGCATTCAGAGATTCGATCAAAGAGAAAGCAGCGAACCTTGCTGCTCGTCTCGGTCGTCCAGATGATATCAACGAAGACGACCTACAGCCCATCGACCATCGACGTCGCAACACTGAACCTGACCTGTATCTCAGAGAAGAAGATCAAAACCAAACCTGTAGTACCGAGGCGCATCGGATCGTTCGCGAACTGGCACATGAGGCATCCGGCCGTCGTCCGAGTGCCCGTAGGGACTCGGCTTTGCATCGGGCTGCTGGGGTTTCTGCCCAAGATGATGATTCTGGAAATGAAGCGATACCTCGCCGAAGTTCTGGATCGGGAGGCGTTCTATCTCAACTGCTCAGACTTAGCGGGGGCTGGGACCAGTTCCAGAAAGGAGCGCGCGGGCTCCACCTAGCCAGTGACACGTTCTATCCTTTCGGTGGAAGCACCCCAGGCACCACGACTCCGCGAAAGGAGAAAGTACGATGGTACAAGAAGCATGGTAACGTTTCAGCATCAACCTTAGTTGGAGGCGGCAGTGCTAGCGGTGCAAGCACCCCTGTTACCGGTGAGCTTTTGAGCGCTGCATCCAGACGACGTGACAAGAACCGAAGGCATAGCATGAGACTCGAGGAGGAAATCCAGGTTACCTTACAGATTGCCGAGATCATTGCTCGACAGAGGTATATCATGCAACTGTGCAAGGCATTAATGAGATTTGGGGCTCCAACTCACCGCCTAGAGGAGTACATGCGCATGACAGCCAGAGTTCTGGACGTTGACAGCCAGTTTCTGTATGTGCCTGGATGCATGATCATGTCTTTCGATGACTCCAGCACCCGGACCACCGAAGTCAAACTAGTCCGCGTCGTTCAAGGCGTTGACCTGGGAAGATTGGCAGATACCCACAACGTATACAAGAACGTCATACACGACATGATAGGGATCGAAGAAGCCGGAAACGAATTGGAAGAGCTAATGGCAAAGAAGCCCCGCTTCAACCGATACTTCATCGTTTTAATCTACGGCCTAGCTACTGCGATGGTAGGCCCATTCGCATTCGACGCACGACCAATCGACATGCCAATAATCTTCTTCAACGGCTGTCTCCTAGGCTGCATGCAGCACATCCTCGCACCACGATCAGTCCTATACTCCAATGTATTCGAAGTGACCGCCGCCGTTCTCACTTCCTTCCTCGCCCGCGCCTTCGGCAGTATCCGATCATCCGCATTCACCAACGGATCCAACGACTACATATTCTGCTTCTCCGCAATCGCCCAGTCCTCCATCGCATTAATTCTTCCCGGCTACACTGTCCTCTGCAGCAGCCTGGAACTCCAATCCCAACAAATCGTCGCCGGTTCCATCCGCATGGTCTACGCCATTATCTACTCCCTCTTCCTCGGCTACGGCGTCACAGTCGGCACGACCATCTACGGGCTCATCGACAAGAACGCAACCTCAAACCTAAGCTGCCCGACAAGCGGAGGCTTCGGCAACCCCTACGCACAACGTTTCCCCTTCGTCGCCGCCTTCTCCCTTTGCCTCTTGATCGTCAACCAAGGCAAATGGAAACAATCGCCCATCATGATCGCCATCTCCGTAGCCGGCTACGTTACCAACTACTTCGTCAGCTCGCGTCTAGGCAACAACTCCCAAGTAGCCAACACCGTCGGGGCCTTTACTGTGGGAGTCATGGGCAACCTCTACAGTCGACTCTGGCACGGACACGCAGCAGCAGCTATCTTACCCGCGATATTCGTCCTCGTGCCTTCCGGTCTAGCTGCAACAGGAAACCTTATCACAGGCGTCGACACAGCCGATGAGATTCGATCAAATGTCACGAAGAACGCAACGGGAAGTGGGACCACGTCTAGCTCGTCATCGACCAACATGTCAACGAATATTCTGGGGTTTGGAATGATCCAAGTCGCCATTGGGATTACTGTTGGGTTGTTTGTCGCTGCCTTGGTGGTTTATCCTCTTGGAAAGCGGAGAAGCGGACTTTTCAGCTTCTAAATGGAGTGGTTTCTTGAATCGCATTTAAATAATTTGCAGCGTACATATTTGGTCGCTTCGAGTCTTTGCATGCATTTGGAGGAAAAACGGGAATTTGCATTGGAGCGGGCGAGAACCTAGTTTGAAGAAAAGCAGCGAGCGTCGAGATTGATTACAGCGTCGCATGTCAGCCAAGTATTGTTACATAGTTTTGATAGAACAGCTTGATTAGAACTGAGTGACATATTCACAATACTAATAGAATTATATAATCATACCCCGACCACTACTCCATCGCAGTATCTTCACTACAACAGCGATAAATATGAAGATGACTATGGAGGAAAACATTAGTACTATCATTTATATCTAACCATCATCATGACGACTCGTGTTCCGGCACGAGTTATCTCATCTTATCTCATCTTCTCGACTCATCTCTTGTCTTCTCTTCTTGCTGTATGCCAAAGCAAACATCACGCTGTCTCATGCATATATACAACAAAATAAACACACGCTCATCACGCATCATGATTTAAAATAACGCAAACGCAAACGCAAATGCATGCAATGCAATGCAAAAAAATGGATATAATCTAACCATCTTTCCAAGCGGTATACCCGACCATTTCTAATAAATACCGTTCTCGACCGATCATCACCTGCCGGCCCTCGGTATACAAGAAATCCCGATAAAGGTCCAAGAGTCGGGGATGTTCGACATCTGGCAGGCTACGCAGGTCTGCCAGCGTCAGAGTAATCTCTGTATAGTCCGCGTAGAGGCGAAACAGATTATACTGGAAGTCCCTGGGCACAGAGGAATGGGTCGCGAGCCAGCCGCAGAGGGAATCGAAGAGATGGTTTTGGACGATGAACATTAACAGGGAGTCGAGGGAGGACCAGTCGACGTCGATCATGGCGGTCGGATGCGGCGTGAGAGCGTTTTGCATGGCAATGACAGACGCCAGCGTGTCAAGGAGGACGCTGTCCTTCTCTTCGTCGTCTTCTTTGCTTCCTTTGAAATCGGGGATCAGGCCCCAGTGTGGCTGCTCGGTCACGATGGGACGATCGTAGCCCAGCTGGACTCGCCAGAACTGGTTGCAGCCTACTTCGAAGATCATGCAGGGGATGAGCATTACGTATCCCCACCATCGTTTACAGGTGAGCATGGAGGCTGCTCCTGCTACGAGACCCGTGATACCGCTGACGAGCGAATGCAATTGGAAGTATTGGAAGCGACGGTGTAGGCGATCGCGAAAGGGGGTGATGGCGGAGGAGCGCATGCATGCACGATCGTGCCCGTAGAATCGCCAGATGAGGTAGAGAGACCAGACGGCGTTGAGCACGCCGTATGCTGCAGCAAAGGAGTTGCCCACAAAGCCGGAGAGGAGATTGCTAATATAGTAAACATGACGATGAGCCCCCCAGATAGCCATTATTGTGCCGGTGCCAACGAGAAGAGCACCGATGCCCAGGAAGACATCCATGATGACGCGATCGATGAGTTCGGAGCCCAATTCGCGGAAACTGACGCCAAGGCGGCGGTCAATGAGCCGGACGGAGGCCTGATCGACGGGGACGGAAGGGGGCAGGTCGAGATACTGCAGTCGCAGAGCGTGGAGGTACTGTCGTTCTTGCTGCAGAATGCGGACATTTCTCCAACCGAGGATGCCATCCCAAAGGGCAGCGACACTGATGAGCAGGGCTAATGGGCCCCCGATGGCCATGAAGATAACCGCATAGAGCGGGACCGGCACGTCGTTCCACACATTAGCGGCGAAATCACCCGCGTTGGCGAACTCTAGAAAGCCCACGCTGGCCAGTAAACTGTTGCGGTACCACGCCGGGCTGATGAGACGGAATTTCCGTCGCTGGCGGACTAGAGTAACCCGGGAGGGAGGTAAGTCACTCGTTTCATGCTCCTCATGATGGAAGGCCTTGTCCGAGACCAGAGGAGATAAGGTGTCCTGCGAGGGGGCCATTGGGTGGTTGGGTCAGGAGACCAGAGGAGACAAGCTCCTCTCGCGGGTGTGGGACCGGCAGGATGGAAGGTTTGGACACCAAACGCGACCGAGGGAAGAGAGGGAAAGGGGGAAGGGGGTGACAAAAAGAAAAGGAAGGGTTGAAAGAGAAAAGAGGGAGAAGAAGAGGAGAGGAGAAGAGAGGGGGAGAAAACCGGAAGGGGAGGAGGGGAGGGAGACGAGGAATGGAATGGTGGTGTAACGAGTCGATCCGGTCGGTCGGCGAGCGAGTCAAGCAAAGCAAAGCAAAGTCCAAGCAAAAGCCAAAGAAGCGCCAGAAAAGCAAACGCAAAGCAAGAAAAAAAGCAGCTCCACGGAAGGCGCGGGATGGCCCGGCCCTGATTGGCTCATGGCCCGAGGGGGTTCCGCACTTGGCGTGCCTTATAGGGCTGAGCCAAGTCGCGTTTCCTCCCCGGTATCTTACACTGTTTATTTTATTCTCTGTTAGTGTTCTCTTGTATTTCGAGGATAGATCAGGTACTGTACTTTGGATAATACATAGGAAGGAAACAAGTGGGTTAAGATCCCATCAAAAAGAAGGCTGGAAGAGTGACGTGGAAGAGTCAGGGGAGAAGCGAGGAGACGGGCAGCCAGGCATCCGTCCTTCCCGTTTCTGTTTGATGACGACAGTGAAAATTCTTCCATTACATTCTGCTCTCTCTCTCTCTCTCTCTCTCTCTCACATATATCTACACGCCAAGATGTCACGCAACCTTCAAATGTAAATGCAAACTAAACAACTTCTGCTGAAATACAATCAAGAGCCGATAATTCCAACTTCGCAATCACAACCCTAGCTTAGTAGTTTGCCATTTAAAGTTACGTTCACTCCACACCTTAAATGACTATAGTATCCACGTTTACATACACCTCTGCGAAATGCATCTAGGCATGAGCCCCTTTGCTTTCGATCAACAGGGCCATGTCAGCGAGTCTCTTCGCACTCACGAACTCGATCACTGGCAGCGCGACTTTGTACTGCATCTTGATTGCCCTCTGCAAAATGACAATCAGCAGCGAGGTTCCCCCAACCTTGAAAAAGTCAGAGCTGGGAGTAAGGGTCAGCGAGCCAGAGGCAGGGAGGATCCCTTGCCAGACCTCAGCAAGACTAGCTTCCATCGGTGTCATTTCTCGGCTACTCCAAGTCACGACATTAGATTCGTCAATTGGCAGCTGGTGGATAGCAAGTCGGTCCACCTCCGAGTGAGCATTCAATGGCAGTTTAGCCAAGGGCACTATAGCGGAAGGGACCATATACTCTGGTACAGGCAGGCGCATCCGGAGATTGTCTAGGAACTCATCGGAATCACTCGGAATCACCTGGCTATTAAAGACAACATGAGCAGCCAAAAATTGGTCTTCATCATGTTCTCTCAAGGTGACCACGGCATCGGCCAACAAACCCCCAGCAGCCTCGACCAAGGCGTTTTCGATCTCTGCTGGCTCAACTTGGAAGCCGCGAACATTGACGTGAGTGTCGCTATTCGAACGGCCAACTAGGACAAGGGAACCGTCCTTCCGCAAGTAGCCGTAGTCTCCAGTGCGATAAACACTCGTCCATTTGTTCGTAGTGAAATTGGTATCCAAGTGTGAAAATGGTGACTCGATAAACTTCCCCTTTGTTGCAGCATCCGGGTTGACATATCCATTGGTGACGCCAGCACCCCCTATGATAACTTCTCCAGGAACACCAATCGGAAGAGGCCGCAGCTTGGTATCGACGATATAGATTGCTTGGTTGGGTGAAGGGTATCCTGCGGCGAGGGGCAACTCTAAGACAGACTTGCGGTATTCAATTCGACCCTGCCAGGTAGAACCGAAACACGTTCCAGGCGAAATATAGAGATTCAGAAGCTGAAGAGACGCGCTCTCAAGAGAACGGAAGCTTTGCAATAGCTTGTGAGAGACTTCTCCACCTGCCATAGCAGCAAGAGTCCAGTGAGGACACTTCTGAAGCTGTCCCGCTGCAATGCTGAGCCAACTTTGGTACTCAGACGGGGTCGCCAATGTATAACTGATATTTTCCTCCCGGACTGTTTTCGCAATTTCGATTGGATCCCCCTGTTTGTCCGCAGATAGGATAACCAAGCTTCCTCCGTTACACAAGGCATCGAAGGCTTGGGTGAGCGACAGTCCAATAGAATGGTCCGAATGTTGGAGAGCAATCAGTGGTCTCTCATCGGAGAAGTTGTACTGCATTGAAGAGGCCTCAAGCTGGGCAATCATGCTTGCATGATTGATTAAAACTCCCTTTGGCTCTGGGGCAGAACCGCCCGTGAAAAGAATGGCTGCGGCCGAATTACCATCGGCCAGATTCGGTGCGCGCTGAATCTGCTTCCGCGTGGGCACTGAAGAGACATTCAACACCTTAGGCTTGAGATTTTGAAGTGACCTGGCCGTATGGGATGTAGCTTGATCAACAAGCAACAACACTGGCTTATGTGATTGCAGTGCACACTTTATTTGCTCGGTGGATATGCGTGTATCAAGTGGCATATATACTGCGCCAGCACGGAAAACAGCTAACATTGAGCAGATCGAATCAACACCGGGCTCTTGCATAGCAGCAATAATAGAGCCTTTTGGAGCCCCAGCTTGGCGCAAAGCCGCGATAATCGAGTCAACGCGGCGGCCCATATCGTTGTAGGTCAACATCTTGCCACTGCCATCCTTGAGGGCAGGTTTGCTTCCGTATTGCTGCACCATCTGGTCAATCCGATGAACAACGGTCTGCGGCCATCTCATAGGTGCCACAGGGCCTATAGGAAAACGGTTAGTCGGAAGAAAGATACATGTGGGGGGAAGTGTGTTCGCATACCCGTAGCAACTCTTAGTGCCATCGAAGTATCCTCGGATGACCACAACTCAGCAGCTTCCAAAGGTGCCTCTGGGATCGTGGTCAGCTGCTCTAGTAGGTTAACATAGGTCTTAACAAGAAGATCTGTGTGTTCCTGGCTGTATAGTCCCTGCTGCGTCTCCAAGCTGACCACCGCATTACCCTCAGCATTTTCGACAATTTCCAAATGAAGATCAAATCCCGTGCAAGGTTTCAGAGATTTACCGCGGCTACGGGTAGCATTGCACCATGTAACCTGGTCTTGATTTTCAATGCGGTGCTGTATCATCACTTGGAACACGGGTGAGCAATTTGCTGAACGGTCCAGCTTGAGCTCGTTGACCAGGACATCGAACGGCACGGACGAATGTTCTAGAACGCCATTGATTGCATCTCGCACTTTGCCGAGAAAAGGGCCAAGCTTGGTGTTGGTCTCTGGTCTGTCTAGCCGGATCGGCAACGTATTCAGCACGCAGCCCATGGGTTTGTCCCAACTCAGGTCGCTACGGTTGGCATCGATGCCAATCAATACGTGCTTGATGTTTGGCAATAGGCGGAACAAAAGAACGCCCAGCACGGCGGTATAGATGTCAAAGGTTTTTGACTGGATCTTCTGAGAGACTTGGTTAAGCAGAGAAGTCTGCTTCGGCGAAAGAAGCATGTCCGATCGATGAGTGCTAGACGTGATCGTTAATGACTATCTATATCTGGGACAGGCTGTACTTACCGGTATTGGGACTGCACTGGCCTAGATTTGGCTGTGGCAAAAGAAAACAGTTCGAGCGGCGGATTGTCTTCGTGGATAATGCTTTTGAAGTAGTCAACGTGCTCTTGAAAATATCCTTGACTGTAGTGTTGTAGCTGCTTCTCTGCAAAGGAAGAGTACTGAGACGCCTTGGAAAGCATTGGTAGGCTCTGTCCCAGATAGGCTTCATTCATCTCATTGAGCAAAAGCGAGGCACTGTTACCATCGAAGGTGATCTGGTGGTTGCCAATAATCATGTAATGCTCTTTGTCAGACAACGTGAGAAGACGAGTTCTCACAAGCTGCCAGTCATTGAGGTCATAGGTATGGTGCCGCATGGCATCCAATTCCCGATATACCTCCTCCTTGTTGGCGATGCGCTTGATCTCAAGCTGGACAATGCACCGCGATAGAATTCCTTGCATGGGCACATTATGGTTCTCTCCCCCCCAGAAGAACCGGGTGCGCATCGCCTCATGTCGATCGCCAACCGTGGTGACCGCCTTCCTGAGCCTGGGAAGGTCTAATGAACCCTCAACGTGCCAGCAATGGGCCATATTAAGAGCGGAAGGATCTTGCAGGGCATGCTGCATGAACCAGAAACGGGCCTGGTTGAAGGACATTGGCGCGATCTTCTCTGTTGCTGATTGGATGGTGGACTGGCGCAAATCTATATCAATTAGAGGCTCATATGTGTTCTCCTCATCGGGCTCAGTGTCACTAGTTCCATAATTAGAAGGTGTATCGACACTCTCACTGTCTGAGCTGGAAGAGCCGGAGTCCTTGTGGTCTGAGAAAGAGGTAGATGGCTCGGCATCGAGACTGTCCAGAGTAGCAGCTGGCTTTTTCTGCGGCTCAGTTGCGGAAGCAGCAGGTGACATTTGCTCCACAGGCTCATTTTGACCCTCGCCAGACAGGCTATTGAGGTCAAGCACGGTCTTTGGGATGTACTGAAGACTATCCTCGATCAGAACGGCAATAGAAGAACCTCCAAGGATCCTGATAACCGGCATATCAACCTCCAACTCACGGCCAAACCATTCACGAATGTCAATAGCAACCAATGAATCAATACCTTGATCAACCAGGCTGCTGTTGACGTCCAGGGATTGCTCGGAGGACATTCGAAGCAGGCTTTTCAGCCTTGCAGTGAATGAACCTAAATAAAAGGAATATCAGTCAGCTCCTTTGTCACTGCACCTAACGAAGAGGATCCTTACCAAGAATTATGTCCTGGACTTCCTCCAGAGAACTGGCTTGCTGTAACTGAGCTTTCACAGATGAATTGGCACCTGAGCCCGAGCCTGCTTTACCCGTCGTCCGCTCAAGATTGAGGTGACTGAAACGAATATCACTGCGGATACGGCCACGAACAACATCAGCCAAAACCATCGGGGAACAGCCCGTTATCAGTTCTGCGCGGTCATGGCACTTTGCTTGACCCTCTTTGATAGCCTCAGCAAAGGCATAATGGAAGTCTGTCTCTGAAAGAAGGGAAATACCCATCGACCGAAATTTATCGCCCATTGTTTCGTCGGTGCGATTGATGTATCCCAAGCCCATCAAGGGACTGTAGGCAATGGCAGAGCCAACAACCCCACGCTTACGCCTCTTCAAGGCTAGACCGGCCATGTACATGTTAGCTGCTGCGTAGGTGCCTTGTCCTGTGTTGCCGACAACACCTGCAACCGACGAGAACATGATGAAAAAATCTAGGGGAGTGTCATAAAATGCCTCGTCCAGCAGCTTGCTCCCAAGGACCTTCGGCTTCATTGACCTTTCCATGCTTTCGAATTCTAAATCGTCAAATAGCACGTCCTCCATAATCATGGCACCGTTAGCCACGCCCGCAATCGGGGGCATGCTGCGCCTGATTTCCCGGAGGCAGCGTTGAAGAGAGTTTCGACTGGTAATATCCCTACGTCAAGCCAAGATTAGTGTAAACCTTAATACCATACGGGAGGGAGGATTTCATACAATGAAAGCGACCGAACAGTTGCACCCAGATCTTCGGCCTTTCGAAGAAATGCCGGGGTGACCTTGGGGTTACGACTCGCTAGGACAATAAAACCGGCCCCCTTACGAGCCATCCAGTGGCAGAGAGACTGGCCAACCTCACCAGTGAGACCAATCATCAGATAGGTCCGATCGCGCCGGAAGATTGGATCATTGTCAATTTGTCTCAGATGAACCGGCACCACAGGAACGTCCCAGTCAACCAGCTGAATAGCTTCTTCTACCGGGTTGTGGCACGAAACCTCTCCCAAAGGGATAGGCTCGTTGAGCTCGAAGGCCAAGCTTGACGAGGAAGCAATCTGCCACGTATCGTGAAGAAGCTTGCTGAGAACAGTCGGGTCAGCTCCCGAGCGGGTGTACAACTGGTTGGTGAACAGGGTTGTCGCCGAGGCCTGCACACCATGAGGGGGCATACAGCCTGCAATGGCTTCGGCTACCCGGGAACCCGGACCCTTGGGAGACTCGAAGTTGATGAAAGCAGATACCTCACTGGGAAGCCTCTCCTTGACCAGGCGAGCGGGAAGGGCAGGGTGCAGGTACGTCCAGTTAGAGTCACGGCCGGGCTGGCAAGTGGTAAACCACACATTAATACGACTCTTTTCTGCAGCATCTGAAAGGGCGGCATAGAGAAATTTGTCCGGCTCATGAACCACGAGGGTACCATTGTAGGGAACCATGGCTAAGATTTGCTGAGAAATAATGTGGGTGGCCACGGTCACCAGAGCCAAGTTTGCAATATCAAGCGAGGTGGGTATCTCAATAGTCCAACCAGGCTCAACTGGTGCCAGCGACTCCGCTGTCTGGGTCACAGCCAAAACTGTGGCTTGGGAATGATCCTGCTTTGTGCCAATACAGAGCATAAAGGAGCCATTTGACCCAAGCTTGAGGAACTGCAGCAATGATTGACGCACGCGGATAGTTGGCAACGTTGGGGCAACTCGCAAGGAGGATACCTCTTCCAACTGGTAGGATTCACCTGAGCTGACCAACCGTAGGGCCGCTGTGGACGGATCAATCTCATGCACTATAGACCGGCGGGCACTGTTCATCCGCAAGTTCTCCGTTTCATTTATACGCACGCGCGGGATGAGCATCTGCTGGCCATCGAAAGCTACTTCATTTTCATAGCTCCATAATAATTTTTCCGTGGAGTTCTCCGGCGACCAGGTAAGAAGGAAATGGTGTCTCAACAATGTCTCGGACACCAAACTTGCAGTTCTCTGGTCAAGGAAGGCAATGTCCAGCAACTGCACGTTGAGTTCGATCTTTTCCGCTCTGACCACTCGCGCGATCCCGGCAATCATGCTAGAATACGGCTCACTGGAGTAAGCTCCCTTGGTAACCCACAATACCTTGGCCGCTTGGTCCCAGAGGGCCTTCAAGGCCTCTAACTTGTCAAGGGTCCATGACTTCATTACTGGGCCATCCAAGTCGGCGAGACTAAGCACGGTAGCTTTTGGTGGGACGGAATCTCGATTCAACGCCTCGAGCGAAGGGAAACGGGTGACGTTGGAATATTTAGTCGACAGCAGGGTACTGATCTGCTCTATCAGCTGCACAGTGGCCATAGATTTCCCTCCGATAATAACAAGGTGTGGCATCTCCTCCGGGAACTCTGGTGATGCAGCCAGAGGGTCTCGCAACAGTCGCACACGTTCATCCACTGCTTGAGCAGCCCAGACGGGAAAATCATGGAGGGCGTCCTGGACTGGGGTGCAAGTGTCGATACCAGAAAACTGGCATTGGCGCAGGAGACTACCCCAGCTGTCTAAGGTCATTCGGCCTGCGTCGGCACCAGCCCACCATTCTGGGCAATCGCTCATGGAAATCCCCAAACGCAACGAGTCATCCGTGATCGGACTGGCACCGATGAGGTACCCACCAGGCTTCAGCAGTTGGCGAATACTGGAGAGCGCCTTCTCCTGGTCCTGAACCATCTGGAGATTGTTACCTACGAGAACGAGGTCATACTTGCCAGCAATAAAGCCCTGAGCAGCGAGATCCTGTTGAATATCCAATGTTCTGAAGACCATGCGATCTGCGTACTGACCAAAGCGGAATTCAGCTTCACTGAAGAGGTCATCGGAGACATCGGTAAAGGTGTAAGAGGAGAATGATGTCCCCAGGGAGGGCACAATAATCTCAGCCACAGCCCCGGTCCCAGATCCTATATCTGGTCAGTATTGTCTTCCAAGCCCAAGACAGGACGTACCAATCTCAAGGATATTCATATGCGCGTAGCGATGGTTTATCTGCTTTACCAGATTGGCCAGGCGCTCATGTATCATTTTGATAGTAGGCGCTTCCTCGTCCATGGAGATATAGTGCGCAAGAACACCCTGTTCTTGAACGACATAGGGAAGGCTAGAGCCAATCTCCGCTACGAGTCTCGCTTCCACAGAGTCATGGTGGCTGTGATAATGATGAGCATGCAGTTGACGCAGGTAAAATCCGTGGCAGGCGGGAACTTACTGGCGGGCCAGTTGCTGGATCTGCTGCTCAGAGTCGGATATCCATTCCTTGGCAATGAAAGGATGCTTGCCTGCTGAAACCCGATTGAGGGTAGAGCTTGCCCACCTGAGGAGCTGTTGATGATGCGGCAACGCGTTGTTTCGGTGCTTCTCTGTGCTCGTCTCGCACAGTTTGCGCAGATAGTACAGAGCCATTCGCTCCACGTCACCGGTCACGGATGAGTCTAAAGCGCTAGAGGCTTTGGCAGCCTCCATATCTGCGTTCGGGATTGCCGGTTGCCATTCCATATGGCCCAGCAGCTGGTTATCATCCTGGGCTTGGGCAGGACTAAATGGTGATAACACAATGCCTTCTGCCTGCAGAAAGCTATGTTTCCTGTCCTGAGTGAGAAGATGAAACGATCCCTCAATCACGCTGGCTGCCTGATCGGCGACGTTACTTTCCCACCGAATGAGTTCTTGCTTCGAGGTTCGACTGAAAGCGAAATGGGGATTAAATTCTATCGAGGCGATCCGGGTTGGCACATGGAGGGACCATAGCCGTCCATCCTGGGGCGCAGAGTAGGCCACAATGATTGTCTGTACAGCTGTATCCAACATACCTGGATGCAGGATAAGCTGATCCTCCCAGGCGTCTCCCGACTGGTCAATCAGTGTGCCGTGAGCAAAGTTCAAGCGTCTGTGGATGCTGGAAATTCCCCGAAAAGGCGGCGAGTAGTGGTAGCCGATCATTTGCATTTCTGAATAGAATCTTTCGGCGTTTTGCTCGTTGATATTGTAGTACTGATCGTGCTCGAGCAATGGTAGTTTGTCGGGGATGGATCCGCCCAGTTCCACCTCAATGAAACTTTCCACATTGAGCCGCAAGGACAGGTCTCCTTGCGAGGCAGACTCGACGGTGAATTTGGCTCTGATGCGCGACTCATTTGACTCCAGTATTTGCAAGCTGGAAATACACTCCACGCTTGAGTTATCGTCATTGAATACAATCGCGCGCCTCAGTAGGACATCGGTCATCCGGAACAATGCTATTGCAGCATCCCCAGCCACCGCGGTGATTGCTTCCAGAGCCATAACAATGTATGCAGTCGCGGGCAAAATTAGCTGATTTTGCAATCGATGTCCCTGTAGCCAAGGTATCTCTGTTGGCTTGAGGATGTTTTTCCACTGCGCATTGCTAGAGCTCCTCGTGGTAGCCAGAACCGATCCTAGTAGTGGATTTGGGGGTTTTCCTGACAGTCTGTCAGCCCTCCACGTGCGACACTCAGCCCAATAGCGATTCTGATGGTCGAATGGGTAACTGGGCAGATTAACAAGGAGTTTTTTGGGCTCCTTGTCGCTGTTTAAAGCCCGCTCCAGTCCGTCGAAGTTGACCACACCCGAGCCAAGCTGGGTCCAGAGGAATCCCATAGCGGCAGAGAGCTCATCTACATCATCTTCGCCACGAGCAAATAACCCGGTATAAGGAATTTGCATGTCTATCTGGCCTAGTGAGTCCAACGCAGGACCCTTGAGGGCCGGGTGAGGGCCCACTTCAATGCCCATGTCAAATGGCTGTCCGCCCTTGGCAGCCGTAATGAGGGCCGGTGAAAAGAGAACAGCCTGCACCATATTATGAACCCAGTACTCAGTGGTCAAGGTATCGGCACTCATCGCAGTATTAGGGTATACACTGGAAAACCAGGTCGGTCGGTCTCCCAAAGGTTGTTGCACTGAGACACCACAGCGTTCCATAGCCTTGAGATATGGATCTACACATGGCTGCATGTGCGCCGAATGGTACGCTGTATCTACCCGCAGGCGACGGGCAAATTTGCCTTGGCGAGAGAAGATATCCACCGCTGCGTTGATGGCGTCCTCATCCCCGGATAGTGTAACGCTGGATCCCGAGTTCAGCGCCGCGACAGTAATTCGATCTTTCATTTTCTCAGAATTACAGAGATCGTGCGCCTCTTCAGCCGAAGCACCGATGGCAGCCATACTACCCTTACTACCACTCGGGGAAGCTGCGAGCTTCGCGCAGACACCACGGAGATATGCCACTCGAATAGCATCGCATGCAGACAGGAAGCCAGCGGCATACGCCGCACCAATCTCCCCTGCATCTAGATTAATATACGTTATGAAATTCGCAAACGGAAATAGGGAAACTTGCCCGAGGAATGTCCCACGACTGCACCAATCTTTATCCCCGCTGCTTGAAGGAGATCAACAAGGACAATCTGGACAGCGGTACAAAGAGGCTGAGATATGGCCGCTTCAGTGACCCTGGAGAATTTCCCTGCGGCCAGAATCTGGTCGGTAAGAGCCCAATCTGGTCGATCACCTTCAGGAAGAGTGGCTAGGCACTCGTCTAAGAAGGCAATTTTATCGCGCACAAAGCTTGAAGACTGTAGCAAGCGAGCACCCATCTGAGGCCACTGAGCGCCCTGACCAGTAAATACTGCCAGAATTCGAGGCTCCGAGTATTGAGCAAACCGAGTTTTCAGATCAGCCGGTTCGGTAGATACAACACTATGCATTTGAGCTACAATTTTCTCGTAGTCTGACCCGGTGATGGCCTTCCTGAAAGGTAGAGTTGAGCGATGATGCTGCAGCGTCCATGCAAGATCACGAAGGCTAGTTTCAGGATTTTCGACCAGGTAGTCGAGATGCTTGGTAATCATCTCCCGGAGAGAGTTAGCCGAGCTGGCTGAAAAGAGCAACGGTGTGTACAATGTTGACGACTGAGGCGGCTCGGAGTGCGTGGGCTCGGACGGTATATAAGCCTCAAGAATGGCGTGGGTGTTGGTGCCCCCAAATCCTATTCTAGTCACTTAGATATCTGCCTCTATTCATGCCTGCTGTTTCCAAAAGGGAAGCAAGTTCCTTACCGAAACTGTTGACACTCGCTCGGCGAACCTGACCTGGCTTCAACGCCGGCCACTCCTGGACAGAGGTTGGCACCTCAAAGGCGCCGTAATATGGAAGAATATCAGGGTTCAGCTCGTTGAAATGCATATTCGGGAATATTTCGCCATGTTGTAAGGCAAGCGAAGTGCTGATGACACTGGCAAGGCCCGCTGCGCCCTCTGTATGCCCAATGTGTGTTTTGATAGAGCCCACCAGCAGCTTCTGCTCTGGTTCGGTCTCCTTCGTGAAGAATGCGCGATAAATAGCTGTTGCTTCCTGTGGGTCACCCGCCTTTGTGCCCGTGCCGTGGGCATGGAAAAACTGAGGCTGGTCCAGCGGATTGCGGACATCGAGCCCGGCGCGGCGGTAAGTATCGCGAATCAATTGTGCCTGGGCAATGTTACTGGGCATGGTGATTCCGGAGGTTCGGCCATCTTGATTAACCCCAGTCTCCCGAATGATGCATTCAATGTGGTCATTGTCTTTCTGTGCCTGGCTAAGGGTCTTGAGCACTACACAAGCAATTCCCTCACCACGTCCGTAGCCATCTCCCGATGCATCCCACATCCGGCATCGACCTGACGTAGATAACATCCGGAGGTTACTTTCACTAACATAATACACTAGATACTCGGTTAGCTCGCATGGTCAATCGATCAACAGAAAGTACTAGCGGCCGCCATACTTGGATGGATTAGAAAATTAACACCAGCCGCCACAGCGACTGCAGAGTGACCACTCCGCAAGGTCTGAACCGCCTCGTGAACCGCTACAAGACTCGACGAGCATGCCGTATCAATATTCATACATGGGCCATGCCAGTCGAAAAAGTACGAAACTCGGTTGGCCATGATACTTCGTGACGTCCCCGTGCCAGTGTATGGTGGGGCTTCATCGACCTGATGCTGGAGGATGCCAGCCCAGTCATCGCACATCTGACCCACATAGACGGCCGTATCAGATCCTCGCATCTTCTCCATGGGTAGGCCGGCGGCGGATATTCCATCATAAACTGTTTCCAGGAGAACCCTCTGTTGCGGATCAATACATTCGGCTTCTTTTGGATGAATATTGAAGAAGTTTGCATCGAACTCGCCTATGTCTTGCTCTAGCAGATATGAATATTGAGCATTTGAGGTGCCATGGTGCGTCGGCTCGGGATGATATAACGCGTCGGTATTGAAACGATCTTTGGGAATTTTCTTAATGACATCGCGCTGCTGCTTCAGCATCTCCCAAAGCTTGGAAGGGGTATCACAGCCACCGGGAAACCGGCAAGCGCTGCCAACTATGGCAATGGGCTCATTTGGGACATTCATTGTGGTTCGCAAAGTATTTTCTATGATCAGATTGTTAGTGGCCACCCGGAGATAAGTTGGAAATGGAACGGTTGGGCTTAACCAGTAGTACTTATAGATCGAACTCTCGCCAATAAAATTTTCAAAAGAGCCTAAGCTTGTTTGATTGTTGGAGAATGCACAGATCCCCAAATACCCGCAAGCCTTGTCATCTAGGTATCATATAGGCCTAGTGATCTGCACTTGGTCAACCATGATGCTGCTGGGCCTACAGGCTCTTCTTCCTCTTTTTTTTTTTTTTTTTTTTTTTTTTTTTTTTTTTTTTTTTTTTTTTTTTTTTTTTTTTTTTTTTTTTTTTTTTTTTTTTTTTTTTTTTTTT